CAGCCTATTCAGCAGGGCCTGGGGGTGGGCTCACAACCCTCTGTGGTCACATCCAGCACCACACGATGGTTGAGGTTGGTCCTTACCATACACCCTGCAGAATCAAGGAAAACCCGTGGACAGGAATGTGCCATGGGTAAGAATGGGGTCAGCAGATGAGCGTAGCTGACAGACTGCTCTTCTAAAGGGACGCCCTCTCGTGGAGGAGGACTTCCTGAGGCAGTTAACGTGGTTACCTGACGGTGTAAGGTGCTGGAGGTGGGAACGGAGGAGGCCCATCGGGACTGCTGAGGGTGGCTGGAATGCTGCAAGTTCTAATGCTGGGGCTGGGAGCTAGTGAGAGACACCTGAAAGGAAGGGTATGTAGGGTTTGGGTATTTTGCAAAGAGAAGCATACCAACCAGTAGCACGTGTGTGAATAAAATAGAAAGGGAGCCATGAGTGAGGTGTGCTCTGAGAAGGGGACGGCCGGCTGCCTGGAGCTGCTGTTCTGCGTTGGGAGATGGGAAGGGATTGGAGGACCGGGGTCTGGAAAGGCGAGAGAAAGGCCTTCGGTGTGGTGCAGCGCGAGTCCCCACTGGTTCTCCTTTAGATGTGCGTGAGAGTGTCATGCCGGAAGATTAATCTGTCCAGAATGGGTGAGAGGGCTAAGAAGCTGGACTTCGGGAGACCTTTGCAAAATATATGTGAAAAAGGGAAGGAGTTCCTTTTTTGTTTGTTTGTTGCGAGTTTTTATGGAAATTCCAGTTAACATATAGTGTAATTTTGGTTTCAGGAGTAGAATTTAATGATTCATCACTTATATGTAGCAGGTAGTACTCATCACAAGTGCCCTCCTTAAAACCCATCACCTATTTAACCCATCCCCCCACCTCCCCTCAAGCAACCCTCAGTTTGTTCTCTGTAGTTAAGAGTCTGTTTTATGGTTTGCCCTTTTTTTTTTTTTTTTTTTTTACCCCTTATATCCATCTGTTTTCTTTCGTAAATTCTGCATATGGATGAAATCATATGGTGTTTGGCTTTCTCTGACTTATTTCACTTACTGTAATACCCTTAGTTGCATCCACATCGTTGCAAATGGCAAGATTTCATTCTTTTGATGGCTGAGTAATACTCCATTGTGTATATATACCACTTTTTTATCCATTCATCAGTTGATGGACGTTTGGAAGGAAAGGGTTTTTTTCTATTTTCCAAGGGTCTTAAAAGCATACCATCTTCCCCTCCTATCTGTAATCGTTTACTATAGGAAATTTCCAAATTTTTCACTGTAGCAAGTAAACAAATTTAAAGAGATGTTGAATAAGGTCATATTGATTAAGTACAGGATTAAATATTTTTTTCTAGGTTGCAATTACTTTCTCATCAGCATTGGTTTATTTTAATGTAATTTGACAATACAGCAAGATTATTTGAGGTGGGCCTGAAGCTTAGAACTCAAACATTTGTTCTGTCACATAGGATTCTTTTCCACCTCTGTCAGAGCACTTCATTTGTAACATAAACCTGCTGTTGGTTTATCTTCCTGGACTGAGCTCTTTCAAGGCAGAGCTGGTGTCTTCTTCATTGTGTATACTCAGCCCCCAGCTCATTGCTTTTAAAATAGCAGTTGTCGAATGGGTGGGTAGAGTATGATTATAATGTACTTTTTCTCCGTTCTTTGTTACCCTGATTTATGCTTTAAGTTTATAAATGACTAATAATACTCTGGATGTGAAGAGATTTGCATGGGTCATTTGAGAGGGAGATACTGTTGTAGCCGCACTTTACTCTGACGGACAGCACTAATCCCACAGAGCTATTTTGGTATGTGTGAGCACTGATGGTTGTGCTTTAAAAGTGTCTGCCCCTCGATGTTAACCGGACTGGCCGTGTGGTAGATCCTGCAGCAGAGGGTCACTGACATAGAAGTCAGGTGGCCTAGGTCCCAGCCCGGGCACATACAGCTCAGAGCACTCCCTCCCCCTCATCCGCAGCCTTTGCCTGGGTGATGCCCCCTCATCCTTTAATCTCCACGTCACTTCCTCAGCATCACCTGTCCCGACTGTGTCATGAACTAACTCTGGTTGCCAGGTCTCTGTTTGCATGGGAGTCTGATTTTCCTTTATAGCGCTTACCACAAGTAATTACTGCAGTGATTATTCTATTAATGATGAGGCTGAAAGTTCCACAATGGCAGGAACATGTCTAGCAATTTCTCCACCGTGTTCCTGTCACCTGACATAGTACTTGGCACAAACTATGTGCCGGGTAGGTAACTACTTGTGGAGCCAGTGAACTGTGGAAAATTTGACAGGGCACTTAACCTCCATGAGATAGCGCTTTCTCCAAATGTTTAAAAACCTCTGAAAGGTTTATCTTTAAAGTTCTTCAATTCAAAGCTTTGTGGATAAACTCTTCAAAAAATTTTAACTATCAGTTATTCACACCCATGATTAGATATTCAAATAGTGTGCAGAAGATTGAAAATGTATTCAGTCCTTTACCAGAGATAACAAATATGAAAAGTTCATTGTCTTTATAAATAGAATAAAATAGAACAAATCACAGTTCACCGGGAATTGAATGGGTTCACAATAGGGTGGGATTATTTTCCTTATTTTCAGATCCCATGAAGTAGCTTTCCTATTTCAGTTTCAAAATATTTAGTTGGCTTTGTGATGGGATAGGACTTCCATGGAGGGATCTATGCTGAGAACAGGTGTGGCCAGGGCCTTCAGCTAAATACCCATAATTACCTCTCCATGCTTATTGATGGCTATCCATGTAGATTTTACTGTTCTCAGGTGGGGGGACTTGGAAAGGCTATAGGATTTGAGGATCACATCCAGCTATTGCTTAATAAAGTAGTAAGGCAGATTGGAAACTCGAAGGCTATAAGACTTCAGGAATGTTTTAATAAACATAGAGGTTTAGAAATAATGTTTACCTAAGGATTTGCAGCTTAAATGCACTTTTAAGAAAAGATTTATTTATTTTAGAAAGGGGGGAGGGGCAGAGGGAGAGAATCTCAAGCAGACTCCCTGCTGAGCTCAGAGCCTGACGGGGGCCTGATCCCATGACCCATGAAATCATGACCCTGAGATCATGACCCAAGCCGAAACCAAGAGTCAGACACATAACCAACTGAGCCATCCAAGAGCCCCTGAAAAGCACTTTTATGTAGAGCGTTTGGTCTTTGGTTTTGTATGATTGAGGGAAATCATTGAAGGAATGGGCTGTGGCAAATGGGTACGTTAATTCTCACAAATTAAAAAAATCTCAAGGAAAAAGGAGTATCCATCTATTTGTTCATCAATTTGATGGGAGAATCTACCTTGGTCCATCTTCTCGCTCTTTGTCCCAAAGAGAATGGGAGAGCGCCATGCCTGCTACAGTGACCAGGTTTGGTATATTTTGGAGAGAGGGGGTGCCCAATTGGTGCCAGAGGGTGCTCAGGAATAAAGTTCATATGGTTTGTTTGAAATATCAATATACTGGGGCACCTGGGTGGCTCAGTCCGTTGGGTGTCTGCCTTCGGCTCAGGTCATGATCCCAGGGTCCTGGGTTGGAGCCCCACATCAGGTTCCCTGCTCTGCGGGAAGCCTGCTTCTCTGTCTCCTCCCTGCTCATGCTTGCTCTCGCTATCTCTGTTGCTATCTCTGTCTCTGTCTGTCTCTAATAAATAAAATCTTTATTTGAAATATTTAAAATCAATATGCTAAAACTTTGGGCTTTTTATCTGTAAATTGTGGTAATTTACTAATAGCACCAAAATGTTCTACATTAAGTAGGTCTGTGGGGAAGGTGATTTTGTTCCTGGGCCATGAGTTATAGTAGGTTCATACAATCACGTTGAGTGGTAGTGTGTGTGTGTGGGGGGGGCGGTAGAGCTAGAGGACCAGCCTGGACGGGCTCCTCCAGTCCTGGGACTTGGCCTCTGAAATGGCTCAGAGCCAGACATCAGAGACAGACTCTGGGTATTATTGGCAGGGCAGCAGCTGTTGACTGGCAGCCGGTTACTTAAGAAGGCACCTTATGCCAGGTGGAATCCCTAAGCTCTAAAACCTAACAGACTCAAATATTAAGGAGGTTTAAGTGAGCCTAGGTTGGAATTCCCAAAGGTAGTGATTGATTTATTATTAACCAGGGTAATGAAGGTTACATACTAGGACAGTAGTCAGTACTGTGCAAGTATCCCTATGCACATCCCACTGCTTGGGTGATTAGATTGCAGGGACTAATTCCACCGCCCCCTTGCATCCCTAGGAATGGTGTATCTTGAAACTTCAGTTACCATTCATCATCTCTTGCCCTCCAGGAGGAGCCTGGATGAGATAAATAGTATAGCAGTATCCCCTTTGCAACCCCACTCCCACCTTCTCTTCCTTATGTGACACTGAAAGGACAATTCTGATCCTCCTGAGTGTTTTCCAGCACTACATCCTGCTCCTTCTGTCTTGTATAATGTCTTAGGAATAATGCATTAGTAATTTAATGAGCACCTACGATATGCCAGACATTTTATTATCTCAAATACTTAAAATCCTGCAAAAGAGATGTTGGCCTCCTTTTATATAACTGGGAAACTAAGACTGAAAGTCACAGAGCTAGTAATTGGCAGGGCTTGCATTTGAACAAAATTCTGTCAATTTGGAAAGTAATACTGTGTTCTTTGGAAAGTAATACAGTAATTAAGATACTGACCGCTTATGTACCAGGTAGTAAGAAACTTACAAGATGGTGATCTACTAAAGAAAAATTGAGAAAGGGGAAACGAAAGATCAGAAAATGGCCCAAGATTATTTAATAAGTAGTACACTCAAAAATTTAAACCCATTTGATCTGTTTATAAAGGCTTTTGCCCACTGGGCAATATCACCTACTGGACTTTTGTGGGGGTTGTCCTCTAGAAGAGGTAAACCAAGGTAGAGTTAAGAACAAGCATGGTTAAGAGGAGCCAAAAGACAAAGTATTTGTAGGTTAACCAGAATCAGACTTTCTCTTTCTTTACTTTCTAGGCATCAGCTTCTTCTGCTTCCACCAGCAAGTCTTCCAGTATGAATCCCATGGAAGCCAAGGTATGAAGGGTCTTCATGGGTGTACTTGGGTGAATGCCTCTAAGTGATTATTTTGTAAAGCAGAACAAATGTAGACTGACGGACAAATGATTTGTGTGTCCTAAGAAGCTTAAGTTATGAAAGGAAACATTTTCTTCCTAATTTAGAAGGGTCTTTGGAAATTTACCTTTGCTTTTAATATTTGCCTCAAATATCCGGTGTACACTTGTACATTATTTCAGAATATCTAGAAAAGAGTAGTCATCCAGAGATTTTTTTGGTCCTAGACTTGATGGAGTTTTTAAATTATAAGATGATCTAGGTGCATTTCTGTGGATCTAGTGAAGAATATGAATTCTTAACTTCTTATTAAAATGGTTTTATTATTCTGGCCACTTAAAACTAAATGTAAGAAAGAGAAAGTTTACACTAAGTTTACACTAAGTGACGACACACAGATACTGTTATTTTGGATATTTTAAGTTTCTTTGTGAAATTTTAGTCCTATAGGGCAACGTCTTATTGATAAACCTTTGAGCTCTATTTGGGATTTATTCTAGTAATTATTTCCTGGAATCTGAGAAGAAAAAATAAAAGAATATTGTCCAGTGTTGTGGCCACATAGAGTAAACCCTAGTTCTGAAGAGTTGCCAGAAGCTGCCTCCCCCTTCCTTACCATGTCTCAGGCTGTTTCTCGGGACTATTCTGGGTTAGAGAATTAAAGCAGGGATATTATCAAGATGCTCTCAACTAATTTTTATGAGCCAGTATTCCTGGGTGTTTTTAAGAGCTAACCCAGCTCTGTTATTAAGTTGCCCTTGTTTAAAATCACTGACATGATTTGTTTTCTGTCTTCCATATTGCTTTGCTGTCCCAGGGGGATCCTATGCCGTAATTTAGTACTGGCACTGTAATTTCGTGCTGTTGAGAGATCCTATGGTCTCATGTTGAACTGTTTTTGAAGGACATTGCAGATCTCTTGAAATACACTGTTCAAATCTCTTATAAATGTCATTTAGCATTCATTTTGATTTAAAAGTTTTTAATCTAAAATTGTTATTTAGTATTTTACATGAATTTTTTGTTTTCAGAATATACATGATCTGATCCTTAATTCATCTATTAATTGTCCCTACGTACTTAGACCAAGTTTAATCTTAAAATAGTAAAAAAAAAAAAAAAAAAAAAAAATCTGATCTCGGTCTTAACCCTAAGACAGTAGGAGAAGCATCAGCCATTATCATTGAATTCAGAGTCCATGAAAAGTACAGAAAGAGCCACACATCTAGGATTTCCTCCTCATTATTGTGGTTCTCATTTGACCCATTGCCTAACTCTGATCCTTTGCCCCAACTCTGCTCAAGGACCAATGCTTCTTATTTCAAGGGTGTCCTGTTTTCCATAGCAAGTGTCAACAAACCCTTCAGCTCTTGCTAAGCATTAATCATGAGAATTCCTGGCAGTCCTACAGAACTGGAGGCTGGGAGGAGAGAGAGAAGAAAGTGGGGGAAAAGAGGGAGGGGCAAAACTAAGTGTCTTGATGGTGGAATATCACCAGTGGCTGCCTCCAGACCACTTTTGGCATCAGCAGTCTTTTCTGGGTGGATTTCAGTCACACTGTTCTCGTTAATTAGATTCGTGTGCTTCTGATGTATGGGTCACAACATTTATACTAGCCTTCCCTTGAAGATTTTTGTGAACTTGAGCATATTTCTTCAAATAGTTTGAGCTTTTAGAAAAAATATTAATTCAAGATAATACCTATACCAAATCTTTGTCTTGTTCTACATCTTTCAAATAAAAGTCTACCTACCTCTGAAGGGGGGTGATATGTCTAGATCTTAAGTTCTGTCTCTCTCGCCCTGGCACATTAGAATTGGTGGTCACACTGCTGTGCTTCCGGTGGAAGGTCAGATCATTTCTACTCAGGGTGTGACCACTGCAAGACTACATAGCGGGAACCATGCAGCCAGAGGGCCTGCTGTGAATCTCCTTTCCTACCAGCCATGGTGTTTGGAAACTCCTCTTTGCTTTCATTTCCTTATTTGTACAGTTTGGATAATAGTACCTATTTCACAAGGCTGTGTAAGAAAACAAACACGTAAGGGTATTAGATAGGGCCCATCCCCCAGCAGGTACCCAGCAGGAGCTGACTAGTGCTGGAGAGACGATGCAGTGAAGTGCAGTGATTGAGCACACAAAACCCCAGCTCCACCCTGGGTGTCCTTGGGGAATTATTTAACTTCTGTGTGGCTCATTTTCTCATCCACGAAGTGGGGATGATGATGATGATGATGATGATGAGATACCACCTGTCTCAGAATTCTCGTGAGGACCAAGTGAGTTGGCACATGTGAAGTTCAGAACAGTCCCTGTTACTAAGAGGTAATCAATAAGCATTGATTGTCATCACTATTACGTTAAGCCCCACCACCTTCAGTAAAAATAAATTTAGGTAATGTATTATTGAGTACTAATAAAAAATATGCCATTATAAGCTGCTTGCATGTGTGAACGTGAATTCTTAATTGTTTTCTAGAGTTCTTCCATGCAAAATCTTGATTACCAAATTACAGAGTAGAAGCTATTAATAGATCCAAACCACTACAATATCAGCTGGCTTATTTTCCTTCTTAATCATTTAATAAATTGCATTTGCATAAACTCAGAAAAGCGTAGTAGCAGTTGCAGAAACTAATTAGCAAAAATCCAGTTTGGAAGGATCCAAAACTTAAAATTTCTTTGAAAAGATCCCTGTGATTATGAACTTTGTTTCCTTCCCAAAACAATGCACATGTTGGTAACGAGGGTCCATTATGGGAGGAACGTATGTATCTTCATGGCTGAAGCACATGACATGATAAATTAAGAGGATATTTGGTGTTGGCTTTTTAGATAATAGAATAAAAAATGAGAGTTTATGTTAATACCAGCAAATAGATAAAAGGGAAAGAAATGGTAGGAAGTATTAGGCCTAATTTTTAATTAATACTTTAATTTTTACTTTGAAAAGTTCAGAAGTGTTTAATCCGGTTTTCATGTTTTGCCTGTACCGAGAATTCATGTATGTACTTAAGGAATTGTATTTTTTGATACAGATGACCTTTGGTTGGGTAAAACTGTGTAAAATACTCCAGTAGAGGGCTTAAGTCACAACCAGCTCTCTCTCTCTCTCTCTGTCTCTCTTTTTTTTTTGATAGCAAGTACAAGCCAGGGGTGGGGCAGTGGGAGAGGGAGAAAAAGATTTTCAAGCAGGCTCCATGCTCAGTGCAGAGCCTGATGTGGGACTGGATCCCAGGACCCTGAGATCATGACCTGAACTGAAATCAAGAGTCAGTGGTGCCCCACAACCAGCTCTTCTTCTTTTCTTTGTCCATTTTGTTATTATGATCAGTTAGCCACTGTGTAATACATCATTAGTTTTTGATGTAGCGTTCAATGATTCATTAGTTACGTATAACACCCAGTGCTCATCGTAAGCAATAGCACCGAGGACCATAGGGGAAGGGAGGGAGATCTGAAGGGGGAAAAATCAGAGAGGGAGACGAACCATGAGAGACTATGGACCACGGGACACAACCAGCTCTTCTGAAGCATTCCTGGAAATTTAGATTATATTGTGCAATAAAAATCTGTGCACTATTTACAGAATTGTAAAGTTTCAGAAAACTTTTGACACCACTTGTGACTGTTGATTTGTTCATAACCAAATGTTAGAAATAAAGGTGGAAAAAATGGCCCAAGCAGCCTGTACACAGTGAAGGTGAAGGAAAGGGGTCAGAAGTTAGTTTTCCTAATGGCAGTCTTGCAGATTCTTACCACTGAAAAAAAGTAAATCCAAACTGGAATATTTGCTGGAGGCTTTAGAATTTTAGTGTCTGCAACTTCTTGGAGTTATATAGTACATATGCATGGAATAGATGCAGTAGCTGAGCGGAAGGGTATTTGATAGAAACATTTAGCCCTATGATACAGGTTACCTATTTGATTGTCATAAAATAAAATCACACTTGGGGCTGTGCTTTTGTATTAGGCTATTCCAGTCAGCAAACAGACAGAACGACAGCATTCTCCTAACAAGAAAAGACACAAAAAACAGGTGATGTGGTTCATCATACTAGGGGATGTTTCTGTTTGCTAATGGCCACTTCAGCTGCTCAGCACACACTAATAATGGCAGTTCCAGATCTTCCGTAACTCTCACCCATCGCAGACTTTCTGGTGGGCCTTAGTGACCCATCGCTGATACTCTGGCACTAAAACTAAATGTCACTGCTTTCTACACCTCTGTCGCCATCCCATTGTTTCACACTGGCAGCCAAAAACCCGTGGTATTTCACTCAGAGATATGGCATTGCCTTTGAAGGATGAGGATGTGTATTTCATTTTGCTTATATATTAGCTACAGTGTTCATAGTAATAAATGTTTAAGTATCTTTGATGCATATAACAAAGGTAAGATGTAAACTGCTGTCTGAAGGTAAGAGTAGAATATCCGAGTGCTTAAATGTTTACTAAAGAGTTAAAATGCCAAGCAAAGTATAGTAAACTTAACTCATAAAGTGTATATTTACATCAGAGTCCTCTCCTCTGAGCTTTCTTAGTTGAAGAAAATCTATGTTAAACCTTGTAAACTATGTCTATTTTTCCTTTCTTCCTTAATTCCTTCCCTCTCCCCTTTCTGTATTTTTCTGAGTTTAGGCTGCAAAAACAGAACCTGAGAAGAATCCACAGTCAACTAAGGTAAGCGATTTAAGTCAACTAGTGAGTTACTTGGATTCTTAGTAATAATAATGAATAGCCAGTTCCCTCTGTTGGTGCTACTGAATGGGAAAAGGAATTTTTGTCAGCTAATTTAATTGATTTTGGATTACCTTTTTAAACAAGATTATACAGAGCATGCGTGATTAGTTATAATAAATACATATATTGTAAAAATGAATGTATTTTATGCCTGAGAACAGTATGTTTCGGAAGGCATTTTGTTCAAATCTACATTTTTGTTAGAGGTGAAGTAACTGTTAACAAACAGCAGGAACAAAGGAGAAAGGACAAAGGGCAATGAGAGTCCAATTACTTTAAAAGATGGGACGTCCAGAGTACACGTGTCTTCTGAACTCAGCACTCAGCACCTAGGTGACTTACAGATGAGTCTTTCCCAAGAGGCCCACAGGTTTATCTTAATAGTCTTATCTCAGCTTATGGAACTGGTTCTCAGGTTCTCAGGAGACAGCTCTGACTTTCCCTTGGGAATGGCTTCCAGACTCATGGCCATCTAGATTGACAGCCAGTCTGTATCCATGTGGAGATGGACCCCAGGGTGTCTGCAGTCAGGGCAAATGTTTCTCCTTCGTAAGATGCTACATATTACTTCTTTTAAGTGACCATGCTTAAGCACTCAGATAAGAGCGCAAGGTTTCCTGTGGGAAAGCACAGAGATGTACTTGAAATGGAGGCAAAGGTGAGGTCATCTGGGTAGAAGGTAAGGCTTATCTGATTTTATGTAGGACCTCTGGGTTCCCATCCCCTCAGGATAATTCCATAGCTCCACTGTAGAGGAGGAATTCACCAGCAAGCTGGAAATTGTCCACTACTCCATATTGAAATGTTTTGACTGTTTGCCCAAACTCAAGAGAATTGGGTTTCTGGTGTTACCTTCTTCTCTAGTTGTGATACCGAAAAGACTATGTAAATCATTAAATTACAGTGTTCATCTCCTATGAAGGGAGATTTTTAAAAGAACTTCTAGAGTGGGATTCCCTATCAACAGATTCAGAGGTCACGGTGCTCATGTGACATCTCTGTGATTAGAACTGCAGTTACCAAATGATCTGTATGAATTGTAAAACACAGCCAGTAAGTTAGAGATACATACCTAGTTGAAAAATCTTTCTAAATGAAATACTGAATTTTTCATTACTCTTATTGTTGTCATTATCAGTCTGTTGGGAGGGTAACTGTTGACAGGTAGCACATGTGTATTTCTCTAAGTGGGCCTTTCCCAAGAGAGGCAGAAGGGTCTAATTGGGATTTTTGTTCTTGAGCCTATTTGGAAAAAAATAAAGGTCTCCAATGTGATTGAGATTTTATCTTTTGAAATTGACAGCCATCTGTGGTTCATGAGAAAAAAACCCAAGAAGTAAAGCCAAAGGAACACAAAGAGGTAAATGACCATCATTAGGACTTGATAATTGATGAAGCCTTTTTGTGTGTGTGAGGGATAGAATTCTGAACTGTCCTATGTGTTTGTTTTTCTGCCTATAATGGCACCACCATGTGGCAATAGTAGGATTTGCAGTTTGCAAATGGAAGGAAGGATACGTATTTCAAATCTTGTATCTCAAAGTAATCACATTGATGTCGCATGAATTGAGATTAGTACAATTCAAAACTACATAGAACACAACTGTTAGGAACACTTGGCATCACACAGAGAAAAGCATTGCTGTTTGTCATCTTGTAAACAGTGTGTGTGTGTGTGTGTGTGTGTGTGTGTGTGTGTTTCAGCCAAAGAGCCTATCCAAGCATGCAACAGATACAGAAAGCAAGCATGTTCATAAGGAAAAAGCAGCGTCCAGATCAAGTGAGCAGCTGACGTCAGAGAAATCAACAAAACCAAAGGTAAGTAAGTCAGATTGATTAAGAAAACACTACCATCAAATAGGGAGTAAGATGCAGGTCCTCCATCTACGTGGACATGTGTCGCCGAATCTGTGGAGCTATGCTGAATGTATTCTGTATTGTAATGATTTGGGGCTATCATTTTGCTGGTTTTGCAAATAGGCTTTTGGAAACTCGGCCCTATGAAAAGTTCAAGAAGTACATCAGATGGGTTGTGGGGACTTTTGGTCCAGCCTCTACTGCCCAGCAATGCCCAGTCGTGACTGCAAGGCAGCAGGCTCTGGTGTCTCACAGGCAGGAAGCTTGGGATAGAACTTGCCTCCTGGACCCCTCTCCTCAGGGCTATAGGACCACACATGATCTGTATGATCTGCTCTTTACATGGCAGTCTGAAAGAGGTGTTGAGAATTTTGTTGTAGGAGAGATGAATTTATAGAGCCAGAAATAGATTCCATATTTGCACAGGTAATGGAGGTCAACTATTAGAAGAATAAACATTTACGAGAAGAACTCTTCCATCAAGAGCTCTTGGAAGACGTCAAGTAGGCCTGCTTAACAATGGACTTGAAAGAAGAGGTTACATGTTTCTGGCCCACCAGTTGTATGCAGCCATTTATGTGTTTTGTTCAAATTTGTTTTGTTTGGCTTATAGTATTATTGAAATTATTTTTAATGAGCTGCCAACAATTAAAGTCATAATGTTTCATATAAAATCCAAATTTCTAGCTTCTCCAGAAAAAGCAGGTGCTATGGCAACAATTGACTAGAGCTTTATACGTGGTATATGTAGTCCAGTTCATCGCGGTCCCTACCTGGCCCACTCGACTCTCTGCACCTGCACGGACTCTGTCAGCTCTGGAGTCCAGCCTCATGCACTGCCCAGGGTTGTATCTTGTGCAGTAGGAGCTAGTACCCCTTCCTCTGCAAGATGTCCATGATAGTGAACTGGCTCAGTAGTGATACTTGCAATGCATGATCTTGAAAATAGTCATTCAAAGATACTTAGTTCTGTTCATCTTTTTTCCCCACCTTTAGACTAAATTACAGGATGCAGTTTCTGCCGGCCGGGAGGGCATTGTTGCTGGGCTAGCTGCAGCATCTGCCACCCCAGCTAAACAGGTGAGCGCACACAGGCGAGCGCACACAGGCGGGCATAGAGTGTATGTGGGCCTTGCCGTCTATGGGGTCTGTTCTGTGAGAAATGCGTGCTTGCTGAAGACCCCTTCCAGACCCCTGGGCTTTATGTCTGCTTCTCAGGGACAATTCAGGGTTGTGGTGCTGCCACACTCAAATAACCGGTATTTGGGAAAACCAAACACTGTTCTTATGTGAAATTTAATGAAGAAGAGCACGCATCTAAAGGATATAGAATGAGCAGGTTAGCAAAACTGATTTAAGAATTCATATATTGAATAAATGCTTATTGAACACCTGCCATGTATAAGGCGTGGTATCAGTACCAAGAAAATTAAAATGTGAGTTGACTCAGATCCTGCTTTTAAGATTTATTGGTTTGAAATAAACCAGATAAAGTTGCTATATTTGAACAAGCACTTCTCTCAGCTTTCACCATGGACAGCATCTATCTTGGTGTAGGAGTAAGTCACCAACAGTCCAGACTTCTCCATGAGTTGATGGGGGAAGTTTTGGAAGGAGATATTCCAGCCCTCCCAGGAGAGAGGATGTGTGTCCTTCTGACTAATGATGGGCGAGTCTTCCTTAGATCATTTGAGGACCTCTTTCAGATACTAGCCTGGAAATGTAAGAAGGGAAGTAGTCTACTGTTTGTACCCATAGCAATGCAGAGTCAGTAATCGGTTTAGAGGCCATGTCTCCCTAGAAATGCTACCTATCTCTCTTGAATAAGAAAATAAGAAGATGGAAATGAAACTTTTTTTTTTTTTAAGTCACATGTATTTATCTGTTTTCCTGCTTTTCAAAATGGGAAAGTTATCCCCCTGCAGGCTAGATGGTGAGGAAAGTCATAGTATAAAAGTACTGCACCTCTCCTGGAAAGATCAGTTTTTCTCAGATCTTGAAAAGGAAGAGGCACATTCGTTTGTGTCCAAACTAATGCAGATACTGTTTGGAGTGATAGCAAAACTTACATGAACGTTTAAATGAAAATACTCAAATTTTTAAAAAATGTGTTTTCTTCCAGCAGACCACTTGAATATGACCTTGAGACTCGCACTCCTGTCCCCACTCTGGGGACACACGTTACTGTGTGGTGTTGATGAGGGGTACTTAGATGAAATGGCTTGAAAAATGGATAGATTTAAGACAGAGGATTAGATTTATTCAAAAAGACTTAAAACTGTAATCATTCTGGAATTTTGTGCTAGGTATCAAGTAGCCAGGGAAAAAGTGAAAGCTAAACAGTAAAATAAGAGGCTTATGTGGAAGTCTGGAGTGCATTGACCTGCGCTCGAACTTGGGGCAAAGCATTTCATTTTTGTTTACGTCTGATTCGTCTCCCATAAAATGGGATTGATCAGATCTTCCTTTTGGGGAGGGGGGTGGTACGTACCACATTTAAAGCACTGTGGTGTGACTGCAGGACTCCTTAGTGGCAGGCCAGCCCGTCCAGGGGTGGGAAGAAGATGGAGTCTCCAGGGACTGCATTCCAAGGCAGATTAAGACAGCTCCCTGTAAGGAGCTGTTGAGGAGCCAAGGGATTCTGTCAGTTTTCAGGAATCCACGGCACTCTGAGTGGATCCAGTTTGAGCTGGGCACGAAGGGATAGCTAGAATGGCAGGCTTGCAGATGCATCAGAGTGGAAAAGTGTGGGATGTGTTCTGGGTACAAAGCACGTTCGACCACGGGTGGGGCACCGGGGAGGTGCGTGGTGGGAATGTAAGACCAGAAAGACAGGTCCAGGCACAGCTGTGCGGAATGCTGAGAGGAGTTGACAGGGGTGGTAGCTATTCAGCCTTGAAGGTTAGAGAGCAGACAAGTGATGTGAGTGCACCCAGCTGCAGGACTGGGCGACCGCAGTGGGTGGATGAAATGGGAACAGAGATCGCAAGGCTGGTCAAGGACTGTGCCCTAGTCCTGCTGAGTCCTAATTTAGTGTAACTTAGAGCTAGGATAGAATGAGACAGTGGGGAGGAATGCAGGAGGCATTGCCAAGGGAAGATCTTTGGGTCTTAGAGAACGATTGCCTGCAGTGGGCAATGGTCACGTCAACTCTGAGATAACCTGGGGCGTCAGGGTCTGGATGAACTAGGTAACCCTGAGGTGAGGCAGGGGGTTGCTGTCAGGTTCCTGCAAGCACAGGGCCCACTCGGATGCTGAGAGTGAGCGCCTCCCTAAATTTCGAGCTGGTCCCTGGTTACCACTACTGGTGGACAGAGTCAGAAGGTTGAGCGTGAAAAGTGGATAGGCTGATGTGGCATGTTGGAGAGGGGTGTGCAGAGAGGCAATTGGAATGAATGTTGTTTTGAACTACAGGAGAATGGAGAGAGTGAGCAGAAGGCTGGGGCGGGGGCGGGGTGGGGAGGAGGGGAGAACAAATAGGAATGAATATCTGCATAAGGTTGTGGTCAAATCCTGGAAGGGGATTCAGTTGCCCAGACTCAGCCTCTCACCCTGCTGGCGCCCACCGTGTTTTTAACAGTTGCAGTCATCACTTACTTAGCACTTAGTCAGACAACAAGTACCTAGGTGGTGCTTAGCATGCACCAGACACTGGCTTCCACACTTGAGTAACTGAGTTTGTCCAGTCCTCACAAGGCCCCGAGGCAGGCGCAGTCCCTGTCACACGTGACAATACTGAGCTACAGAAGACGTGACCTGCCGGATGACTCATGCAGCCAGCGCGTGGCAGCTGGTGTGCTCTCCACCCCCAAGCTCTGCTGCCTGTGTTCCAGAGACCTCCACGGGCGATGGCGTCCTGTTGTTTTCAGCCTGACCCCTTTGCCCGTCTAGTTCCTGCTGGTCCCCGCAAGCGCTCGGCCCTGGCCCCAGAGAATGATTTCGCTTAAGACCCCCCAGTGCTGGGCAGAAACATGCGCAGTGGGTAGGGCTGGGGGCAGAGCGGAAGAGATGGCAGAGACCGGACAGCACAGATGCCAGGGGGAGACTGGGATGATTGGGAGAAGGGTGCTTACTGAGGTCAGGCTTCAGGGACGACTCTGTCCGGGGGGAGGCATGGAGAGTGCAGATTGGAGGGTTGTTGGCAGTCTCTGAAAGAGCGACGGAAGCAGTGCTGGGAAAGAAATTCATTGTAGGGAGATTAAGAAAGGAGTGGATGATGAAATGCTAAAGCCGGGAGTGTGAAGGTCTTACTGCGTGCAGTAAGAGGTTGAAAGAGCAGCAGGGAGAAGTGGCCGCTTAGAGGAAAAAAGTCCTGAGCGCTGCAGACTGACTGGATCCTGGGGGAGGCAACCAAGAGCCACGAAGAAAGAGATGCAGTTCTAGATTCAAGCCTTGGTCTTTCCTTTACTGTGTGACCTGGGAAAAATTACTTAACCTCTCTGAGTCTTGCTGTCCTTATCACTAAATGAAATTAATGTTATTTAACGCTGTCCTGATGGAGGGTAGAACGCATACAACATGTTACCTGGCTCAGAGCAGGTGTTCAGTATATGATCAATGCTACTAATATTTTAATGAACTCATTTTTAAATATGTAATGTCATTGAATTTTATTGGATTATTTAATCATTCAATTTGAATTTGTTAAATTATTGAATATAAAGGTATGTGAGAAGGAGTTTTTATTTCTTTCTAAAACCTCACCAGAAAAAAGAAAAGAAATCATTAACGTCGGCTGTACCAGTTGAATCCAAACCGGGTAAACCATCTGGAAAGGTATGAAGATAGCAGTGCATTTCTACATCAGATACTTACTTATTCGTGGTCTCTATAGTTTATTCTTGATCTGGTTTTTTTCAAGGGCAAACCATATGAGGTGGGATTAACCTAAAGACCTTTTTAATGAATTATCGCTGTAAGCTAAAAGTGTGATTTTTTTTTTTTTCGGGTATGTTTGTAACATTTTTTATTGTAACCCTCTGTTCTGAAAACTCATTATACCCCGTGGAGTTTACATTCCAGTTTCTCTCTTGGAAATATAACTTCTTTAACCAGAGGTGTCACTAAAGAGTATAAGGCACTTCTTCATTCTGAAATTCTCAAATGAATGGGTTTAAAGCTAAGAGGTCCCAAATTGTATGACATGATCAGGTGAGTTCCTAAAATTGTAGTGGGAATATGGTAGTTGAAGGGAAAAAAAATTAATCATTTTTAATCTTACTTAAATAAAGTAAATAAAGGGTCTTTCCCAGAATTCTTGTTTTCCCTTTTAAATGCAGTGTACTCTTCACACTGAATCATTTTTAACCTCAGAGATAGGATGGAGGCACTCTTTCATTCATTATACTGATTCAAGTCCATATTGACGGAGTAAATTGTCACTTCTTGTAAGCTTAACATTCCTTTCGGGTAATTTGCTTTGTAAACATCTTTGGGCAAGCAAGAGAACAAAAAACCACAAATGAATGAAAGAACACAGGCAATCCATTTTTGAAATACTCTATTTGGAAGAGGTGCTATATAGAGATTTTGTTGGAGTTCTTTGTCAATATGTAACTGAAAAAACTACTGATAAGTAGGAAAACTACTGATAAGCGATAAATACCAAGCTATTTCTCCCATTGCATACAGTAACATGATCATTCATTTTTTTTTTTAAACTGTCATTACATTGGACTGGCAGCTTTAACAAACCATCCATTTGTTCATGTAGTTAATGCCATTAGATTTACTGAAGTTGTAATTTTTTTTTTTTTTAAGGGGGTAAGGGGCAGAGGGAGAGGGGGAGAGAGAATCTTAAACAGGCTTCCTGCCCAGGGTGGAGCCTTATGCAGGGCTTGATCCCATAACCCTGAGATCAAGACCTGAGCCAAAATCAAGAGTCAGACATCCAACCAACTGAGCCACCCAGGCACCCCTGAAGTTGTGATTCTTACTTGAACGTGGCTTTCTGTCCTTCTAACCTAGAATGTGTATTCTGGGACCTTATATAATAAAGTATTAGAGACCAGATTTTAACTATTTTGATGTTTGAAGAACTTTTGATGTTTGGTGTTTTTCTGTACAGAATTTTTTTTTAAATCAGAAGTGAAATATATATTACAAATAGCATTTAAATACCTGCTCTCTTTCTTTTCTAGTCAGACATGGACTCTGCTTTGGATGACTTAGTAGACACCCTAGGAGGACCTGAAGAAACTGAAGAAGATAACACAGTGTATACTGGACCTGAAATTTCAGTATGTGATTTTGATATCTGTAAAGATGCATACTTAATGGGTAGGAAAGCAAATAAGTTCATGGTCATGGGGCACCAAATAGCTAATGTTCTATGGCTTGGAGAGAATCAGGATGGTGTCACTATCAATAATAGCAACTAAAAATTAGTGTTGGGAATGGAAATGGTTTGTCCTGTGGCAACTATACTATTACATTCGTTCAGCAAACATTTATTGATTGTCCATGTTATGACTGGCGCTGGGATACACCTTATCAGGTCACAAAGATTTTTCTGTCCTTGAGATTTAAGTTTGTTGGATTTGAACTTCTTTTGATTTTCAGACACTTCCCATCCTATGACTTGACCTTATTTTGACTTCTAAAAATTTACCACCCTCAGCCCATCCGCATTCCTAACTCCTAAAAAGCAAAAAGATTGCATGTCCCTTGATATTAAAAAGATTAAAAAGACATGCCATAGACCGGAGGAAAATAACTTGCAACAGACATGACAAAGGATTTGTTTCTAGAATTTATGAAGAATTTTTAAATGAAAAAGACAACCCAGTAGAAAAATAGGAGAAAACTTGTTTGGCTAATAAATCAATAAAATTCTCTAGTAAGTAGAGAGATGATAGTAAGATATGGAGAGAACATTGCACACTCATCAGATTGGCCCAAGTGCAAAAGTCTGACAGCTCGTGTAGGGCTTGTGGATATTGAAGATGTGCTTACCCCTCAGCTGGCAGTTCCATCTCGAGAGGTTCCCTGGAGGGAGCCTTGCCCGTGTGTACCAGAAGTTACAAGAACAGATGGAACATTTGGAAAGGATTTTGATCAGCAGCAGACAAGATAACATAATGGAACACTTCATAGTGGCTAAAATGAATTATTCATGTATCAACATGGATACATTACAAAAACATAATTTTGAATAGAAATGTGGAATGATATCTAGACTATGATGCCATTTATATAACATTTGAAAGTATGCAAAGTAGTCCTCCATAGCAGCACATATGCTAAAATTGGAATGACACAGAGAAGATTAGCATGGCCCCTCTGCAAGGATGACACGCAAATTTATAAAGCATTCTCTATTTTTTCAATAAAAAAAAAAATACGCAAAGTAATGCTGTATATCGTTTGTGGATACCTACATAGGGAATGATTGTTTTAAAATGTGCTCAGTTTTAAGTCAGTGGATATAATAAAGTTCTGGATGGTGACTGTCTCTGGCCAACAAGGAACATGAATGAGATTGTAGAGGGTTAAACAGGATACATTAGCTGATCCTTTTTTCCTTAGAAATTACTGAAAGACTTGGGTATTAGACTCTAGAGAGTTTTTTTATTAACTATACTTTTGTATGTTTTGGAAATAGACAATGAAAAACATTTTAAAATAAAATGTATTTTAATATAAGATTCTAAAATAGTGGTTTGAATATTTTCTAGTATTACATAGAGGTTAAGCTAGTTAAATGAAGTGTTGTATAAACTTAGAATTTCATTGTTGTGTAAAGCGTTGGCTTTTTAATGGTTTACATTTCAGTAGCTCCGTAAACTGCTGATGGGAACAGTACTTTGGTTGCCGAATATGCATATAACATTCTCAGCTAATTAATTATATAATATCCCTGTGTGTGGATTTTATTCCAGGATCCAATGACTTCTACCTACATAGAGGAATTAGGTAAAAGAGAAGTCACACTTCCTCCAAAATACAGGGAACTTTTGGCAGTAAGTTAAATAATCATTTACTTTTACTTTACTGTTTGCTTTTTGGAACATAATCATAATCATGTATTACATGATACATAATCAATGTATTCACATTTTTTAAATTTAGAAAATAAAATGGGGCATGAGAAATTGTTACTCCCAGTATGTCTGTTTGCTAGGGCTGCCATAACTCAGTCCACAGACGGGATGGCTTGTACCATAGAAATACATTATCTTATAGTCCGGGAGGCAGGAAGACTGGAACGGGTGTGGGCAGCGTGGGTGTCGGGTGGGAGGAGCTGAGGCCTCCCTCCTTGGTTTGTACATGGCCATTTTCCCTCTGCATCTCTGGGTCCACATTTCCCCACTTCTATAAGGGCAGCAGTGCCCATCTTAATGTCCTCATTTAACCTAAATTACCTCTTTAAAGGCCCAGTCTCCATATGCTGGAGTACTAGGGGTTTAGGACTTCCAACAATATGACTTTTGGGAAGACACAATTCAACCCATAACACTCACTGAGCAGTACACTTTGCCAGTTGTAAAAATTAATTTTGGGCTCTTAACATGATCAAATTATGTTTGTTTCAGAAAAAAGAAGGTATCACAGAGCCTCCTCCAGACTCTTCGGTGAATTTACATAAATGTCTTCTAAGATCCAAGTTAACCTTTTTTTAAATCTTTAGTTGTGGGGGGTGCCTGGGTGGCTCAGTCAGTTAAGTGTCCATCTCTTGGTTTCGCCTCAGGTCATGATCTCAGTGTCATGAGGCTGTGTGCTCAGCAGGGAGTCTGCTTGAGATTCTCTCTCTCCCTCTAGCCCTCCCCTCACTTGGGTTCACTCTGCCTCTCCCTCTCAGATAAATAAATCTTAAAAAAAAATCTTGAGTGGGGGGATAGGGCATGATTCTCTATATTGTGTCTATGGCTCATCTCTAAATCAGATTAAGTTTTCATCTCTTCCGAGGAAGGGATGGACATGGGGGTTGTTTCAGTGCTCATGGTTTCCTATGTAGTTTTTTTTGAAGGGAATAAGAATGGAGCCAAGAAAGTTGTAGGATAAAATAAATGTTAATAAAAATAGAATGAGAATATCCTAACATGGAATCCATTTAAAAGAGGGAAACGGGAAACTAGTGAGCAGCCATTCCCTTCCAAACATAGGCTTTCATCTGAGTTACTTGATAATGTATTTCATTTGGTAGTAAGGGAATGGCAAGTCCTTCTTCATTTGCTGAGTTTATATTGTGATCCTTAACTTGAATGGCTCTCATCTGTTCCCCATCGTGGTGCCTGTTACTTTAGAAACCCATGGGGCCCAGTGATGCCATAGATGCTTTGTCGTCTGACTTCACCTGCACTTCTCCTACCCCTGGTGGAAAGAAAACTAAGGAAGAGGTATTGTTTTCAAAATAATCGCCGGGGGTGGGGGGGAGAGCTTGTTAGAAACCATATAAAACTTCAAAACAACTTCTTTTTAGTTCTGGTTATTACAGTGACCCTTCTTTCCCCTGTAAGTCTAATCATTTGTGCTTTGCCTTTCAGAAATCCACAGAAGAGATTTTAAAAAAAGCTCAGCCGGCCACGGTAATCAAAAGTGCTGCTTCACCCCAAGAAAAGAAAAGAAAGTTGGAGGAGGTATAAATAATAATTTCTTGGGAGATAACCGTGGTCCATCTGACAGCCGTAGCTTCCCTGAGCCTGATCTAGCTGATTCAGGATAATCCCAGTAGAGCATTATTCATGATTAGGAGCTCTAGTGAATCCAATCAGGGTTCTATTGATTATCTCCAGGCAGGCCTTCTGTGTTTCTACAGATGCTGTTCATGATTTCAGCACAGTTTTCTTGGTTGTGAAACAAGAGTCTCTCACCATTAAAAAACACAGAACGACAAGACACCAAAAAATTTGCACTCTCGGAACATAAATCGTCACCCTGATTTTTTTAATGGAGTTTGACCTGTGAGTCACTAGTGGGATGTTGTCCTAGCTGCTTCTGTTCACTTCTCCGAAGCATGATCACTTAATCGTCACAAAGCTTGCACGGTGGTCCTGCAGCTCTAGGCTGGATGAGAAAACAGGCTCCATCTGCAGACAGTGCAGATCCTGCAGGGGAGCAGTGTCTGTTGGATCCGCTCTGCCTCTCCCTTCCTGGAGGGCACAGTTTATTTTTATCTGGTGGGCTCAGCACAGCAGTGAGAGCACCACACCCTGAGAGTAGGAGTTCCTCCAGCCATCAGCCATTGTGCCTTCAGAGAAAGCTGCCAGGGCCACTGCAGGTTTCCCAGCTTCCTGGGCTTAGCTAGTTTGCTGAGGGACAGCGTTGTGAGAAATTATTTTTAGAGCCACATTTTTTTAAAAAAAGAACACCAGAAAAGTGAAAGTTTACTTCTTGCAGCTTTTCTTTTGATACAAGTATTTTATAATATTATAGTTATAGCTTGCTAAGTAAGGGGTGAAGTGTGCCTGTGAGGGTACACACCGTGTAAGACACTCTAGAAGTGTCTCAGCCCCAGTTTCTCCCACTGGTAACTTCTTTTCTCTTTTCTCTCTTTTGCTAGGTTTCAGATAAAATTGCCTTCCAAAAGTCCTTCCCTAATCCACGACTCCTAACTTTGAAATTAGGATTTCACGAAGTAGTGGCTAGATTGTTCAGGCTGAGGAGATGTTCTCTTTTTTAATGCACAGAATTTTTCCTTTTTAGCAGGACACAATGAGCGATCAAGCACTGGAGGCTCTTTCAGCTTCGCTGGGCAGCCGGAAGCCAGAACCTGAGCTCGACCTCAGCTCCGTTAAGGAAGTCGACGAGGTACTGACCTTGGAGTTCATAGACAAAGCTTGTCAGTCTGCAGGTTATGAAACTAAATGCAGTTATGCGTGTTTAGAATTCTCACACAGCTTTTCTTTATTGGAGATTAAAAACAAACTACTCTTCATTCTGTCTTACTTTCAGAGTCTGGTTAACTCAGATCTCCATTCCTGGGTAGTTAGCAACCAAGAAGCATAGTTGAGAATTAGCCTTATAAACCATCTAGAATTTTAATATTTAAAGTGAATGTCAGTCTCTTTTGCCAGCGCTTCAGTGACGCCTGATGAAACAAGATAATATAGAGGCAGTGGCTTGGTGAGGAATAGGTCTGTCTGCTCTTGTGGACATGGAAATGTATATTTTCAGAAGGGTACCAGGTGCTTCTCTTCATAAGGAAAGAAGGAGAAAGCTGTAGATGGGATAGGGAGAGCCTTCTTTTTATAACTGTGGAGAAAAATGTTGAAAATCTTGTCTCAAATTAGAATGAAATCAAGCAACAATTAACTCTATAACTGGAGTTCCTGTATGCTTAGAGTGTGATGCTGGGGGGTATTTATCCCACCACACTCGAACATCTTAACAAGTCTTCTGAGCCAAAGCAAGCTTATATTTGGTGGAGAAGAGTTCTAACATTAAATTACAGTTTGTAAAGAATTTTTCAACTGAGTCATGTGGGGTGAAAGAGGAGGGAAAAGAGGGAGTTGCCTGCGGGCATTGCCAACAAGGCAGTGTGGCTGGGGGGCATGGAAATGCAGCCCGGGGACCCTCCGGAGCACCAGCCTATCAGCGCAGGGAGGGGAGCTGACAGGTGTCGCTGTCACAGTGCTGTTGCCTCCGCTGTCACTTCCTGTTCTGAATCACTGAGGAGGGTGAGTCTGCCGACCCCCGGCAACTCTCCCTGAGCCTGGGACGGCTCTGGTCCGAGATGGGCCAGTTTCTATCTTCAGCTTTCTTTGAGGGCTTACCGGGCTCAGTGTGGCATGACGAGCTCTGTGAAGGCGAACGCAAGGGAGCGGGGGAAGCAGTCCTTGCCCTCCACGACCAAGTAATGTATAGAGAAGAAGGGGAACTTTCATAAAGACATAATGCGAGACGCACGCTAATTAGAGCAGCCACCTAGACCAGGTGTCTTGGGGGAGAGGGCGGTCCTGGCCGAACCCCGGGGGTGGGGGGGTTGGGTTCAGACCAGGTGGAATTGTGCCGTTCTGCCCCCAGAGAGCTACAGAGCAGTGAGTCCCTTGCACTTTTGTTTCAGGCTTTTTACAGAGAATTGGTGTGATTTATTAAGAAAAGCAATTTGGGGTGGAAAGGTATACACATAAATCTAAGGACAGAGTCTTAGAGTAACTAAAATTGGATCAGGAGAAGTAAAAAATGCTACATAAAAATGACTTCTTAAGCAGTTGGGGTATGTAGTTTTGGGATGCATATAAATGTATTAGATTTCTTCTAGAAAACCTCCACAGCAGTCAGCTCCTAAAATTTTAACTGAAAGAACTGTTCTTCCTGCTCTTTATACTAGTTTCCATTTTCTTTTCTGCTGTTTTCCACTAGTTTTCCATTTTAATTATGTACAGAGTATAAATAGTTCCTAAGATCTTCCAGTCCTGTGGATTCTTAAGCTGAATTTTTAGTGCCTGGTGGTGAATGTATTACATTCTGGATAGTCTGATGTTTTGATAAGCCTTATAAAGTTGAGTATCCTATAGGAGTCCAGAGCCACTCCAGCACATTCCATACTAGAGAGGTCTCTGCGGAAAAACTCCGTAATGCTTCAGAGAAGACATCCATGCCTACTGATCATTCTTACATAACAGAAAATAAATATTCCATAATGATACCTGATTCATCTTCCCCATTTCTGTGTATAGTTACCTAATCTGGTGCTTTGAAATCGGTAGACGTCCCTACAGTGCCGGCATTTAAAGAATATAAAGATCAAACAGGAGTAGGAAGGATCTCACTGTGCCCAGATCCTCATAGTCCATGAGCCTGGAGAAGACAGTCTTAGACAGGTGACCCTTGACTTTCATGAAGGCTCTTTTCTAGGTGGAAACCTCACAAAGCTCTTGAGTTGGGGAGTATCACTACATAGTAGGACTCCCTCCATATGCTGCAGTAGAAGAGAATTAGAAATAAATTTTTTAAAGATTTTATTTATTTATTTGACACAGAGAGAGCACAAAGTAGGCAGAGGGAGAAGCAGGCTCTCTGCTGAGCAGGGAGCCCGATGCGGGACTCGATCCCAGGACCCTGGAATCATGACCTGGGCCGAAGGCAGTCGCTTAACCGACTGAACTACCCAGGCGCCCTAGAATTAGAATTATTAGAAGAACAAAAACAAAACCTTTCATTCCTTAATGAGAATTGTTAATTTATAGGATAATAAAACTAATTCTAAAGCCTAGAAGAGTGCTTGGCTCACTAAAGGTGCTTAATATTTTTAAAATTAATCAACTAATTCAGTGGAGAACTACAGTTTTAGGTTGAAGTGAGAGGTGGGTTGAGCTGGAATTTGCTAAGTGATAGTCCCCTTTATGCCCAGGAGTTCCTTGTTTTGTTAAATCCATGCCTTGATATAGGTACCAATTATTACATATCATGGAACTTGCCATCAGGCACCAGTAGTTTAAAATGGAAATGTTATATCCTCGAAGCCAGTAATCTATAGAAGTACAGTTTCATCTCTTAATGCTGTTGGTTTTTCATAGTTCAGTAATCCAGTAAGGCCCTAGTGTTATTGAAGGGGGTTCTTTTTTTATTGAGGCATTATTTATAATTGCCAAATTATGGAAGCAGCCCAAGTGTCCATCAGTAGAGGAATGGATAAAGAAGATGAAGTATATACATACAATGGAATGTTACTCAACCATTAAAAAGAATGAAATCTTGCCATTTGCAACAACACGGATGGAGCTAGAGAGTATAAACCTTAGGGAAATCAGTCAGAGAAAAACAAATACTATATGATGTCACTCATGTGGAATATGAGAAACAAAACAAGCAAGCAAGCAAACAAAAAGAGCAACAAACCAAGAACCGGGCTCTTTACCTGTAGAGAACTAACTGATGGTTACCAGAGGGGAGGTGGGCGGGGGACGGGTGAAACAGGTGGAGGGGATTAAGAGCACACGTATCACAATGAGCACCAGGTAATGTCTAGAATTGTTGAATCACTATATTGTACACCTGAAACTACTGTAACCCTGTGTGTTAATTACACGGAAATTAAAAGAAAAAAAAATTTAAAAAGGGAGTCCTTTCAAAAGAGGCCAAATGAATTATCCATGGATCAGCCAAGATTTGTGATGAGATGCTTCTCCCATTTCTGAACTGTGTTTAACGTTCATGGGAACTAGTTGTTTTCTCCCCCTGCAGATAACCGCCTCGTTGAGTAAGACAGATGAAAGCTATTAAAATAATGACAACTAACTTCTGCACTGTGCTTAACTGTCTCAAACGATATTTTCTTTACTTTTCCCTAGTGGTCCTTCCAAGTCCGTGAACTAGATAAAAGTTATCAGTAGCCCCGTGTTACAGCTGAAGAAAGACTGAGTGGCTTCCCAAGGTCAGAGAGCAGCTGAGAGCAGGGCAGGGACACCTCTCCAGGATTCCTGGCGGTGTCGTTTTTTTCTCCGTCACTTAATGCTGCCTTCCTCAGAACCAGCACTACTTAGCATGGTCTTGTGCTCTGCTCTCTACAAAGCACATAGACACACTGGAATCTGATTTCGCTACACCACTCATGAAGTACATAAAGTGATATCCTCTTGTCTGCATTGCCAAACTGTTTTGTGTTTTATTTCCACCTTCCACTTTGATCAGGCAAAAGCCAAAGAAGAGAAACTAAAGAAGTGTGGTGAAGACGAGGAAACCGTCCCATCAGAGTACAGATTAAAACCAGCCACAGTACGTTGTTAGCCGCGGTGCCTAACAATATCCTCCCCTTGCCTTCACATTATGTTTTGTTGGGTCTGTCCCCAGGGTTCTTAATGACATTTCTGTCCCAGTTCATATACTAGTGGAAAACCCTGAACTCTTTCTTTTCTAAAGTTAGTTAAGGAATGGTTTCCTAAGTGGTAACCATGTGGTCATTAAAATTCCCACTAATTTACATGTTACAGCTCTTAATGATGCACGACATAGGTCATTAACCTTAAAGCACAAGGAACAATTTGGGAATAATTTTTTTCTGTAACTGCTGTGTGGATAAAAGCAGCATAGCTCTTCTAAGGGGTAGACATAAATGTACGACAGTTTACCAGTATTCTCAGTTAAGGCGGTTTTATTGTTGTTGGTTTTGGCTTAAAGTGAGGATGGTGGACTAACTTCTGTAGTTATATTTGTAATTTATCTGTGAAAAAATACACAGAAATACATGGTGGAAAATGCTTCAGTTCTCATATGTGCTTATATATGGGAGATTTCTCAGTTTTAGAAATATTCTGGGTTATGAAACTCATCTCCAGAAAATGAAAACAGAATTGTATGAATGAGATCTATCTCTTCACCCTAGGTTGGAGAACAGAGACTTTTTTTTTTTTATAGTTCAGCTCTTTATTCTGATACTTGATAATAAAAAAAAAAAGAACCCTGAAAAATTTTTTCACTGAAGTATAAGAAATTTACTCAAAGACAAATCACTCAAATATAAGAAAAAAAAATCTCATATCCTTCCCTAATAAAACAAACTTAATGGGCCATGAAAACAAAATATTCTATTTCATTTTCAGTGAATTTTCTATTTTATTTTCAGGATAAAGATGGAAAACCACTATTGCCAGAGCATGAAGAAAAATCCAAGGTTAGGAAGTGATTCTTCTGATAGTTAAAGACCGAAAGAACTGTTAAGTATTAAGTTGCGATAATTTTGACAGGATTTCGCTGTGGAGACTTGAATGCCAACCTAGTATTGAAGAAAGGGGAGCTTGTGATGGCAACACCTGGCTCATGTTCCTGATTCCTTTTCACGTATTTCAGTGAGGAGTCCCCTCATGAATGATTACTAGAGTGTTACGGGTTTCTAGGTGACATTCACCGGACATTAGGAGCTGGTGTCAAGAGGGCCTCAAAATAGATTGTTCACACCTCAGAGTTTGATTGGCATCATGACATCAGTTACTCTAATGATTCTACGCTGCCTTCACTGAAGTTGGGATCAAGCAGTATAGTTGCCTGTTAGGATATAATAAGCAGCAGCATTTATTAATCACTTATGTGCCTGACACTGCACCGGATGCCTTTCACGTGTTACCTTGTTGGGTCCTCACCGAATGAAGAGGGCACTCTTACCGTTCCCCTTTTACATGTGAGGAAACAGAGCCAGAGAAGTTATGTGACTAGCCCAAGGTTACACAGCTAGAAAAGAGCAAAGCCAGGACCCAGAACTCAGACTTTCCAACACAGAGGCACAGCTTCTCAATCAACATGCAGTTCTATTATAGATGACTGGTATTAGTCAAAATTTCCACATGCTCTAAATGAATTTCATCTGAAGGAACTAAGGATAGGAGAACTTTCCTGCCCAAATCCCACATAGTCATAGGAAAGGAGTATGTGATCTGTGTTTCCTGAGCTATTCAGAAGGAAGTCATCAGGAAATAGTAAAAACAAGCACCTAAGAAAGATCTTCATTGGAAAGAATAGGCAGTTCTATTTGAACAAAATCCTTCGGAAATTGAAGGATCAGGAAAACTTTTGACTAAATGGATCATGGACACTCCTGTGGTACTCAGGTGTCCAGTATTCCTTAGTTATTGCATGACATTTGTCTTACATTGATAAATTAAAAAATATCCCCAATATAAATTTTGGTTTTAGATCCTAAAATATGGCCTAATATGTGTTAACAAAAAAAATTTCCTATGAAAAGCTTGTTTTTAACAAAAAAAATGAGTCCCCTCATAATGTAGTGTTTCTTCTATTACAGCCTCTGAGTGAATCAGAACTCATTGATGAACTTTCAGAAGATTTTAGCCAGCCTAAAAGTAAAGGAAAACAATCTAAGCCATCTGAAAAAACGGAAGTATGTTTCTAAAAATACATCTCTAATTCTGTGGTTTTTAAAAAATATTTGTCTATAATCTTAAAAATGTGAGGCCTAAACGATTTTAGCATGAAGGAGTTGATGGAAACCATTTGTACCATCTTTTTATAGGCAGTTTTCTTTTCTTTTTTAAGGATTTTATTTATTAGTCAGAGGGAGAAGGGGGAGAAGCAGGCAGAGGAAGAAGCAGACTCCCCACTGAGCAAGGAGCCCGATGCGGGACTCGATCCCAGGACCCTGGGATCATGACCTGAGCTGAGGGCAGACGCCTAACCGACTGCCATCCAGGCATCCCTACAGGCAGTTTTCATCTTGATGTTTTCTAGATGGGCTTTCTCTTCCCAAACCGACCCTGATATTCTTATAATTGAAGTCCTATAATTATTCCTTCAGGAAAGCATTCACACCCATGCTTTCCTTTCTGTTCCTCCTTCTGAAACTCATGGTGGCAGGGGCCTCTGTCATCAGTCTCATTTCAGTCCCTCCCATATGTCCGCCAGAAATAGTGTTTCCCAAGCAAGTGTGTTGGTAGCCACATCATTCCCCTGCTCCAACCCTCAAGAGCTCCCCGTTGCCCACAAAATAAAAGTCTCTGCTAATGTGTCCTGGCCCCAGCTTCCTTCCCTACCAAGGTGTGTCCTCCCATTACTAAACTGTGACAATAAGTGCTTGTGTGTGTGAGGCCTTGGCTTTTCTCATGTGGTCCTTCTTTGTGGAATAACCTTCCTTCCTAATTCACGATCATCTAAAATGTCAGTCATGCCTTTAAAGCTCTGCTAAAATGTAGCGTTTGTCTCCTGTTTTTCCCTCCCAAACCTTACCACTCTTCCAAACCTTTCTAAACAGAATACCGCACCCCCGGGGCTCTGCTGTTCTTTCTATGTCCCTGTTGAGATATTTATTACAAGCAAGGTTTTAGCTGTCTTGGTCTTCACCTCTTGACATGTATACATAGTTTTAAGTAAACAGTAAGTTCCTTGGAAGAAGAGATAGTATCCTGTTAATGATCATCTACTGAGCACCTTACCCATAGGATAAGCTTTTGTAAGTGCCTGGATTAAAACCAGTTTGTTTGAAATTTTACTCTTGTGATCAGATAGCACAGTGGTTCTCAAATTTTAGTACCAAGATCACCTGAGGGTTTGTTAAAACACAGATTGCTGGTCCCCACCTCCAGAATTTCCATAGTAGTTGGGGTGGGGGCCCCAGAGTTTGCATTTGTCACAGTTTCCCTGATTGCTGTTGTTCCGGGGACCATACTTTGAGAACCCCTGGGATAGTATTACTTCCTTACATTTGTACATACCTATTCACAGTCAATAAGGTGCTCTTAAGTATACAAAAAGGATGCATTTATATAAAACGTTGCATTATATAATTGGCATATTATTGTTATATATTATATGAAAGTAATAGTTGCTAATTTTATTGCGCTCACAGTGTTCCCAGATAGTATGCAAAGCATTGGACATGTTTTACCTCATTGAAAGCCTCATGTTGACCCTTGAGATGTAGGTACTCTCCTTGTTCTCATTTTACAGATGTGGAAATTGAGTCTCAGGATAAGTAACCTACCTAAGATAAGAGGTAAAACCAAGTTGAAATAATGGTAGAGGAGTTTTAACATGGCCTTGATTTATTCACTATTCAGCAGTCCTTCAGCATTTAAGAAGATCATGCTTGCAGCATGTAACATAGGAGAGTGTTTTGTTTGTCCGTTGTTGTTCAGTCTCACTAACCAGGTATTTCTAGAAATTCTTCATCGTACTTCCTTATTTCCACAGGAATCTCAGGCTGCTGCCCTAACTCCTGTGAGCGAGGCCGTGCCTCGGACTTCCATGTGTAGTATACAGTCGGCACCACCCAAGCCACCCACCTTGGTGAGTGATCCTCTGGACATGGAGCCGTGTCTTGAGAGCGTAATGTTCTTCCTTCCATGCACTTGCTGCTGTGTATTACCAGCAGATTATTTAAGCTAACAAAATAAGGAAATCTTTTAGAGCTATAGTATCTGCTTTTAATTAAACTGCCGCAAACAGTATTTTTCCTTCACCTTCTGAAGGGCTTTCTGCTTCCTCAGCTGTTGTGGATAATCATGGCTTTTCACTCTCCCACATCCTTCAAGCCTGCTTGGAAATCCACAAACAGCCTGATGTTATCTTTCGTTGACTCTCCTAGTGGAATAATCTGCACCAGAATCATCAGGACTTCTCCCCACTCCCACTGGAAGGGAGGTTCACTCAATTCCTTTCCATTTTCTTCTTGACTTGCCACTCTCTCAGGTTCTAACTTTTGTATGAAGTATGGTAATTAAGTAGTTGAATCTTTCTTTTTGAATTCAGTGGGTTTTGTGTTAGCAGGTAGAATCTGACTCAGCGTAACAGCTGATGGAACTGTGCCTTATTACTACAGACGTAGTGAATCTACACTCTGAAGAGTTAACTTGTTGTAGATGCTTGACAGTATCTTCTTAAACTTTCATAAGGACATTGTGAGCCTGGTTCTGATCATCTCTCTGTTACAGATGAGGGAAGTGAAGCTTTGAGTTGACCTTGAGCAATCCACTTAACTTTTCAGAGCCTTGGTGATATAAACGATGAGGCTCTTGCTCTTCGTTACTTTAGCATCTAGTGTGGGTATGGCCAGAGAGCAAGCTTTTTATGGTACATTTTGATCTTTCTCAAATGGAAAAAGGGCAGGGGGAACTTGGCCGAAGGACCCGCCCCCAGGAGGAATTAGGAAATACAGAAAGGAGGGAATGATCCTACTGAGAAGCTGGAATAGTGCTGGCTTCCTGGGGAGAACAGTGAAGCAAGGACAAGCCAGCACAGAGGGGAGGGGTAAAGCATTTGGTGTACTTGGGTTTAGTGCATTTAGTTGTTCGAGAAAAGGGGATGAAGAGATTGTGGGATGTGTGTCCTGGGTGCCCTGAAGCAGCTGCTTCCTGCCAGGGACATTCTTCGTCCCAAGGGAAAATCCCCTCAAAGGCCAAGGTCTAACTCCTGCCTCACACAGGACTCGACCTCTTTTTGAGGTCTCTGGGTACGCCCCAGAACTTTGATATTGTGGGAACAAAGCCACAAGCCCCGGTGGTCAAGACTAGGAGAGGAGGAGAGAATGTGGGACGAGACAGTGAAGGAAGTGAGAACAGAGGTGGTGAGTGGAATCAAAAAGACAGTAGCCAACATTCCAGAGCAGAACTCTGTGACTTAAATGTGGGTCTTCCACCTCTCATGCCCCGGGTGCTGGGGCCTTCGAGGGTACCTTCCTTTCTTGCTTGACGCTTACTGCAGGGCATTGAGCATTGGATGTTTAGTGCACAGAAAAGGGCCCTGTTTTTCCATTCTCTGACCATCTTTTCTGGGCGTCTGCTTCATCTGCTCTGGTGACCACGGTTGCTGAGATTACCGTCACTGAAATTAGTTGACATTTCCGGAATTGTGACAGCCATGGGTGCCAGAATGAACAGCCATGAGGTGTGACAAAGGTCAGAGGACCCAAGAAGGGCTTGAGGATTAGTGAGCAAAAGGAAACCAAGGGCAGAGGAAGGAGATGAATGTGTGCCCTGTGTGGTTCTCATTTGTATAAAAAGGAAGTTTATTGAGGAAATCCAGAAACCTGAGTTCTAGTTGTGAATTTGACAACATGAAATAACTACAGAAATTGAAGTTTCAGCCCTTAGTCCTGTTTCCAGTTTCCTTCATCCTTAAGAGTGCTGTTGTCTCCTAGCTTTGCTACCTCAGGTTGGTTTATTTCTTAAGCCAAGGGGAGCAGGTTTAACAGGAAGTAGTTGTTTCCAAAGATTCTACAGCAGAGAGTAGGAGAAAACCGAGCTCAAGTGTGAGCGTGTGTCTTAGATCAAGCTAGCAGTTCCAATTGCTTGGTTAAGGCTTTGGTCACTGTACATCTTGCATTTTAGATAGAATCCCAAACCGGTTAGATGAATCAGGGATTTTTGTTGCTCCTGGGAATAAAATCTATGCAGCGTCCAACCACTAGAGGGTGATAAATCACCTTCCACTCAGACTCCATTTTCTCATTGGTTATCTCTTTTGCAGTGCAGCTAAGCAGAAAAACTTTTCTTACATCGATGGTTAAGGCATATAAACAGAAAGACACTTTCACTCTGATAGTCAAATATGTACTCTATGTAAGGTCATAGAGTTTTAGAGGAATAAACTTCAAGACTTTTTAATTCAGAAGCTTTCATGCTTTTGACTAAAAGCAATAAGAAATTCATTGATATTTCAACTCGGTATCTATACAATAGAAATAACATTTTAATGAATAGTAGTTATCCTTGTTATGTATGATGCATTCCATTTTCTATTCTTTCATTAAAAGAAAAAAAGACCTGCCCATGAACTGTTGAATTGATTTTATGAGCCATCAATGGATGGATCATGACCTGGGGTTTGGAAGAAGTCAGATCAAGTCCCATTTTTTAGCCCCTTTATATCATTTATGTTGTCTTCACCCAGTTTCATTAAAGACGAGCATGGCCAGAGCTCACTGCATCAGCAGGGAGTACATTCCCTTTTGAACAGTGGGACCCCAGGTAGACCATTCCCATTGTGGCACTCAGGTCAGTCAGGCACAGGCAGTCACCCGAATCAGCATGAATCCGCCTTGACAAGTAGAAGCCACGTGAAGAGCGCGAGCTTCTGTGTCTCAGCAGAGACTCTGCCTGAGCCACCTACGGGAGGGGCCAGGCTGATTTCACAGATCATTGGGAAGAACGTCTTCTCATAGGCCTTTCTGAACATCTTTCCTGTGCCGTCTCTAGAATGATCACCGTAAAGATCCCTTCTTTCCTGGTTTTCTGCTTCTCTGAGGTATATACCCTTTCCGTTGTCTTGTTTTCACACCAAGACACTGGGTTAGATTATGTAAGTTGCTCAGTGTCAATACATGTTACACCCACTTAATGCTTACTTAGCATAGGAAACTTGGTCCAATTTTTAACATTGTAGGTTTCTTAAACATAGATTCTAATTCAATTGGTAATTAAATTATTAAACGATGACATGTACTTCTTATCTAGACCTGAAATAAGGATATGCCTTTCTGAATTGTTTGATGTAGTCTCTTTTAAAAGGAGTGATTAACCACCTTACTTAGTGTATCCTCGAATGTGCTTTTAGAAAGGCATGGCGCCCGATGATGCGGTAGAAGCCTTGGCTGGCAGCCTGGGGAAGAAGGAAGCAGACCAAGAAGATGTAAAGCCCATGGCGGATAAAGTGAAGGTAATAGCAGCTCAGTCACTTCTAGAAAGGAGCTGTTACTGATGGTCTTCACTCCCCAAGGAAGTTAGTCATTTTTCCCCCCCCCACAACACATGACCAGCTGGCTTTCTCTCTCAGGGAGCACACCTGTTCGATAATCTAACCCCGAGTAGCATCGCCGCTACAGTGTTTTGCTGTAGCGGCAGACGGATAGCGCGCTTATACTCTCTGCCTTGCGCCCGGGTTGTGTGCATTCGCAGTGCCCAGGAGGCCTGAGGGAAGTGGCCGCTTCCCAGCCGCTCGGCATCGCCCTTCAGCCCGGCAGGTGATGGGGTGGCATCGGGAGGTGGCAGAGGTAGGGGAGGCTGAGAAAGCGGAGGTTTTTCTGAGACCTCTACACACTGGGCCATAGGTACGTTCTCGTCTAACAGTGGAGCTCCTTACCTCAGATGGAACCACTTAGGCATCCACTTTATGGAGGTGTGTTAATCATGAAAATGGTATAATCTTTATGTAGGAGAAAGCCAAAGAAGAGGATCGTGAAAAACTTGGTGAAAAAGAAGAAACCATTCCTCCTGATTATAGACTAGAAGAGGTCAAGGTAAACAGCCTGGGGTGTTTGTCTGTTTTATTTTAATTAATCCTGAATTTTATAAACATAAAGCAGGGACATGGAAACAGGCCCGGAATATAAAGAGCTTGTTTTTAATGTTTCAGATGCCACACAGTTTGCTAATACTCTGTTGGCATACCAGGTATGAAGCTAAAATACTCCTCAGTGACCTTTCACTCCTCCCTTAAGTGAAAAAAATCTAATGTCTAAAATTTTTTCCCATTTAATACATGGTTTGTTACAATACCGGAAACAAAGAAAAACTTCAAAAACCTTTATGTAACTAGGAAAACTAAAGTGAGGAATAATTATTTCCTAGGAAGAAAAATTCGCAACTCTTAGATATAAATTGGAAAAGTAAGAAAGCCTGTTTGACCTTAAGTAGAAGGATAATTATTCTGTTTCTTTCATTTTGAAAGTACAGATCGTACGGAACAAGTGACACAGTGGGGAGACTGCATGATGTATTTGTAGTTGAAGCACAATCACTTGATCAGGGACACATGCGTGGACAGAACACATGTCCGTTATCTTCATAAGATGCTGCTACTTACATAACATTAAAAAAATCACTAAAAAAAAGATGCTGCTACTTAAGAGCATATTCAACTAAATGCACATATATTCTTATGTATTTATGTACAACTACACGTCTCTAGGCTTGCGCTGAGTTATTTGTGTGTATGTGGATAAGTGGGATTTACCATTCATTTATAAATTTTCCTTTACTAAACAGCTTCAGATGTTTTCACGTCTTTGTCCTATTTCTCAGAAGTAGCACTTAGAGTCATCTCAGACTTGGCATCATGTGAGCCATAAGGATGAGCTCAGATGATAGGCAAGAATTTTGTCTATCCTACTTTCTGTAATATTCTCGGTGCTTACTACAGGGTGTTGCACAGAATCAGTGCATAGTAGTTGAATGTCTTGCCTATGAAATTAACCAGATTTCAGGCAACTTTGGCAAAGCCCATCCCCCAAGCAGGTGAGGGGTGCATCCCTGTGCTCCCAGTGTGTCCTGTGAGCGCCCTGACCCGGTACCTCGCGTCACACTACTTCAGCTACTCACCTGGGTTTCTGCTGCACTAGGGTGTGGGCTTCTGATGTCACAAGCCGTGCAGTTTGTTTTGTAGTCCCCATGCCTGGGGAATGCCTGATACATGTGAGCTGTTGGTTTACATGAACTAATTAGAGCATATTCCCTGGTGAGAGAATCTTTTTCCTGAAATGATGAATCTGATTTATAACGTACAACATTGGGTATAACCTGTAGATGCCTTACAGTGTTTACAAGGGTTCGTACTTGGCATCAGTCCCCCAGGATAAATCAAGTGACATGAATCTGTGCTGTGTTTTTCTCTCCCAAATAGGATAAAGATGGAAAACCACTCTTGACAAAAGTGTCCAAGGAATCGCTTCCAGTAAGCAAAGCCCATTTTCTCTAAGTGTATCTTTCTCACTTGGCCCTGATTGTTAATTCTGGAAGGGCATGGCTTTCTTTTTAATAAGCTGATCAGCCATAAATAGTGACATCCTTTGAAGAGGAAACAGATGAGGGGGCATTTGTTGATACATTTCTTGGTTTTTACAGCCCATGAGTGAAGACTTCCTTCTTGATGCTTTGTCTAAGGACTTCGCTGGTTCCCCAAACTCTGCATCTCTTGTAAGTCTGAAACTCCTGGTTTTATTTCCTTACTTGCAGGGTGGCAGAAATAAATGGAAACACTTAAATTACATTTAAAGTGACTTAGAATCTGACTTTGGAGCTGAGGAAACAGTCACAGAATTAAAGGCCTTCAACCCATTGTGGCCATGAGATGTGTGTCCTATCATGAAATAGTGTTCCAGCACAGTGGATATTTGCAAGTTTAACTAATTGAACCAATGAGCATGTATTCTTTATCAAGTATACTTAGGAAAAGAGAATTTATAACAGAATTTACCCAAAAGTACATCTCAAGTAACTTTACCTGTTGATATTTCTAGTTTATCATCTTCCATAATTGCCTCCTAGGGAAACTTAGCTCTGTGTAGAACAGATAGTTCCTCAGAGGGAATTTTGTTACTAGAAATTTCAGGAAATATGGGTAATTGTAAGCAGGTTGCTCTACTGTAGGATTTTTAGAGCTTATTTATATGCAAACGTATTGTAAGTCTGTTGGAGTGCCCAAACTTGTATAATTCCAGATCGTTTTTTTGTGGGATCTGGGTTATCTATTTACAAAGTTCTTATGTGGACAGTGGCATAGACAATATATCAGTCGAGAAACGAAATGAGTAGCAACTAGGAGAAATAATGATTCCTTGGAGTTGCTCATTTTTGGACTTCATGAAGCAATAAACCCTTCAAAGACGGGATTACTAACCAGTGCATGGTCCTCACTGGACCCCTATGAAAGTACGATGCCCAGGCAGTACATATGAGTCACCCCATTCCATGACCTTCCCCTTTTCCTCCTCCATACAAACAGATTACAGTACAGAGAAGCTCCCGAGTCCTGATTTAAGGGAGAATATAAAGTGAGCAGTATGCCCAGGAATGTGGAAATCATATCGTTAGAGTGATGCAAAACAACAGATTGGGGGGGGGGGGCATGCCTTAATCACCTTCCTCATACTGTCTGTATTATTATGATATTATGTTAGGGCTTTTCTTTTAGAAATTCAAAGAAAATGTAACTGTGAATTTATACCCACCCAAGAAGATGTATAGCAGTGAAATGACTAGAGATAAAATAACCAACCATTTAAAAAAAATATATATATAATCTTAGAAAATTAGTCTAGCAAAGGGAAAAATTTATTAGTGTCTATCGTGAACAAAGTAGAAATAACCAATTATGGTAAGTTAAGAGGTCAAAGTAGGAAATTATTGGGGGAAAGTCCCAAGAACTTTGGAGGAAAAGTATCATATTCTGACTCATAATTAATGTTCAAATATAAAGGAGTGCTTGCTGTGCATTCCATGTTTTTTGATCACAATAAAATAGAAATTCTATTTAAAAAGAGAAATTTAGGGGTGCCTGAGTGGCTCAGCCAGATAAGCGTCTGCTTTCTGCTCAGGTTCTGATCTCAGGGTCCTGGGATCCAGACCCGTGTTAGGCTCCCCGCTCAGCTGGGAGCCTGCTTCTCCCTCTCCCTCTGCTGCTCCCCTGCTTGAAAAAAATAAAAAAAAGAGAAAGTTAAAAACATTCTACTACTATCACTAAAATCAAGAAGTAAATTCTGAAGAGACTATTTTAAAAAATCAAGTATAAGACATTTGCAAATCAAAATCTTTGATAAGTAGGCAAATAAGTATTCATGAGATACAATATCATAAATACCTTCATCAATAATGAAGGAAAAGAGAAATCTGATTAACCAAATGTTTATTGGATTTTGAATTTCAAACTTAAGCTATTATAAAGCTATTATTATAAATAAGTAATTATTTTACATTTAAATAAGCTATTATAAAGTAACCACCCAAAAGAAAGTAGCAGTCAAGTATAGTAGGAGATGAAAATCGCAGCCTGAGACCTAACTGGCCCATGGTTGCTTGATTTGAAATAACTAAAATTTGATAAGATACCAACAACTGTAAAAGAGAAAAAAGTCTTACAAATAAAATTTGATTAGATTTTTAAATGAGAACATAAATGAAAGAATCAACAGTTATTAACATTCTATAAAACATTGACAGAAATAATAGCAATCTTACCAATAAAACTCAATTTTAGTAATTTTTTAAAAGATTTTATTTATTTTCTGGGGGGCGGCGGTGGCTGGCAGAGGGGGAAATAGGCTCCCTGCCCAGCAAGGAGCCTGATAGGGCACTCAATTCCAGGACCCTGGGATCATGATCTGAGTGTAAGGCAGATGCTTAACAGATTGAGCCGCCCAGGTGTCCCCAAAACTTAATTTTTTAAAATGAGATCTAAGAAGTACAAGATAGCAACTAAATTTTACAAACAACTATGTGCAGTATTTTTTTAAAGAAAATATAAAACACAATTCATAACACCTAAGCAAAAGAAAAACTGAAGAGATTAGAACTGTTTTCAAACTTTGCTTCCAAGAGAAGTTTAAAATTGACTCTTAAATGTTGAACATCAGATAGTCCTGTGTGACATAAATATGTTCTCAAAAACATGGCCTACATAGTTGCTTCTACAAGTAATGATGGTCTTAATCTTAAAACTCAATTAATATAGCATTATTAACTAAAGTCACTCAAATCTGTAGATGTATAATTTTTAACAAACAGAATATAGAATTATTAAAGTAATTATTTATCACTGTCAGAAATTCAAGATTTATTTAATATCAGGGAAATCCATATAGCATAGTAGTGTATCAGAGAAGAACAGTTACATCGATATAAAAGATGTATTTCAAATTTCACATGCCTTTATATTTTAAATAAAAACCTCTAAAAAGTAGATAATCCCTTAATGTATTAAAGAGTATATTTAACTTCAAGAATCAAATATTCAGAATTAAGCTAGAGGCATTTCCTTTAGAAAAAAAGTAAAAGAAGTTGATTTTATTGTCATTTTTGTTTAGTGGTGTATGAAAAATCAATAACAACACATGAAAAAGAAATGACAAGTATGAAAAAGGAAATTTGTGCATTTGTAGATATCCCTAGTTGTAGATACCACATTTGTAGATACCATTGTGCATGCTGTGTACATCAGTAACAGATTGGAAAATAGTATGAGACGTCAGACATTAAAGAAAAGAGCAGCAGATGAACAGAAAAATGAGAACGTGAAGAAATTAAAACATCTAAGATAGTTTGACTCTGTGTCTTAAAAGAATCACGACAAATCTCTACAGTCGTTTTATAAGTCAGTTTTTTAACTTAAAATAGCACTTCATATAACTCAATAAAATTATTCTAAAATATGTTTGAAAAGCTAAAGCAAATGTATAAAAACATGAAAAACTGAAAAGCATTTTTCAAAAGCATTTTTCAGTATTTTTAGGAAAGATGACCTCAAATATAGGGATTGATTTATATGATAATGATAAATTCAATTCTGATTCAGAATGCAAAGCTATAGATCAATGGGAAAAAATTGAGAAATGAACATAAAAGATTTAGTATATTTTTTAAAGGAAAATAAATCATTATTTCAGAAAGATTCTGGAATAATATACTATTTAACATTAAGAAAAAATAACACTGAAATCACACAACATATACCAGGTATAAAGCAACACTGGGACATCATTATACACCTTGTATCAGAATTAAAAATATGTAACAAATTTCTAATTGAGGCAAGGGAGGCCACAGAAAGCAAGCATGCTCATTCATTGCTTTCCACAGTATGAATTTCTATCAACTCTGGAGAGGCAGGGCAATTTGTCAGGATAGAGCCAGCTCAATAAAAAGAACCACTGTGAGAACTTACACAGAGCAACTAATTATAAAGAAGAAAGCTGAAAACTGCAAACAACCTAAATGTACACCAAAAAATGTGTAAACAGACCATGCAACTCTCATTAGATTTTTGAACATTTGGAATAATAAATTTCAATAGGAATTAAGAGATGGTGTAACCTGCAACTATGGAGGAGGAAGTAGAATCAAAATTGCCTTTAAGATTTGTGTTATTTTGCATGCATTTGGATGAAGAGAATAAATAGTAATAAAGCTGTATTAAAAATTTTATTTAAGGGGCTCCGGGCTGGCTCAGTCGGTGGAGCCTGTGACTCTTGATCTTGGTTTGTGAGTTCAGGCCCCTTGTTGGGTGTAAAGATTCCTTAAAATCTTTTTTTTTTTTTTTTTAAGATTCCTTAAAGTCTTAAAAAAAATACAGTGTATTTAGGGATGCCTGGGTGGCTCAGTCAGTTAAGCATCTGCCTTTGGCTCAGGTCATGATCCCGGGGTCCTGGGATCAAGCCCTGCATCAGGCTCCCTGCTAGCCGGAAGCCTGCTTCTCCTCTCCCACTCCCCCTGCTTGTGCGCTCTGTCTCTCTCCTCTGATAAATAAAATCTTTAAAAAAATGTATTTATGTGATGGCATTGCAGGCATAGTTCTGTATATATTACTGACATGTATATATGAAGTGTAATATATTGTGTATATATTTGTGTGTGTGTGTATATATATATAATTTTTTTTCTTTTTTTCCTTTTTTTTTTTTTTTTTACAAAAGAAATTTGAAGACGCTAACCTTCCTGCTGTCATCTCTGAAGTGGTCTCCCAAACCCCAGCTCCCACCACGCACTCTGCCGGCCCACCCCCTGACACTGTGGTAAGCAGCATCTTAGAAATAGGTTTTTACAGTAACAACAAGAAGAAAGAAAGTAGGGCCCTTGCCTTACAGTAAATGAAAATACATAAAATCGTTAGGAAGATAAAGCCCCTTCTGTTTTAGAAGAAAGAAGACTGGCGATTTTGGGAGATGGCAGAATATCTGAAGTAATTAAATGAAACAATGTTTATGAAGTATTTTACACATAGTCCAGGAGCTTAATATTACTGTTGCTTTATTAGAATTGAAAGAGCAGGAGTATGCATTGTGTATATATTTGAATTATTAGATTTGATGAATTCTTTAGCTTTCCTGATTATTTTCTCCTCCTCTATGTTTTTCCTGACACATGCTATAAATACTCTGCATTATTGAACCTCAAGTTTATTTTATGGAATTGCTCAGTGTTTGAGCTCCTTCTCCCAGAAATTCAAATATGTCATGTTAGAGCAGTTTTCCTCCCATTCATACCAGGAAAACTTTGTCATTTTCATGGTAGCAATACAAAAACCTCAGCATCAATACTGTTTTAATTATTTACATGTGCTGAGGCAGTTCTGTGGGACCAAAGCTTTTCCAGACTTCCTTGATTAATTTTCTGTGCAGTACCAAATTATACATTATTGAGGCGAGGAGACCACACCACATCAAAGAGATTGCCCTAAACCAGATCCCCATCTCCTTTGGATGAGAACAAGTACCTCATTTGCTAGATGGAGATGAAGTAGCTTTAGTGAAGTCAGCTATGCTTCCTTTCCTTTTGATGTAGCATCAAAGCTTGCTGCTTAGTGCTGTAGTCTGAGATTCTGAACGAATTTGCATCCTGTTGGGTCAGCCTCAGGATCATCTGAAAATATCCAGAGGCCCAAATGGCTCAGCATGGTTAGCTCCACCATTAACAGCTCTAATCCTGGGCTCCAACGAAGCTCTTAAAAACCAGTAAAATGCCGCGCGCGCACGCGTGTGTGTGTGTGTCCATCCCCCCACAATGACGAAAGTGCCTGTGCACAGGAAGAATCATTAATGAGCCAGGCTGCTGTTTACCCTTTAGTCCTTAAAACTCACGTGAGGGCTCTGCCCTGGCTGAGGGGCGTGGTGAACATGTGCAATCCAAAGCCTGTATGCCTTTCACAGGTGTGTTTTAGGATGACACCTTTCCCATCTCGTTTCCCATCATAAAGTCTAGTTTCAGTTAATATTTTGTATGAAGCCATCACTCAGACTCTTTGTAAATCTTTACTTAAATGAGTAAATGTGGGAATCAGAAAATAAGCTACCATAATTCATGTTTTCTTTCCTGAGCCCTCAGACTGTCACCAGGAGTGTTGCACACGCTGAATGCCTAGGAAGATGCATTTTCCAACAAAATAGGCCAGGAACTCCCTAATTTTTGGAGCCTTTTGTTTTTTTTAGGAGAGAGAGGCATCAGGGGGTAGGGTGGGGTAGACAGGCTCATGGCAGTGTGGATAGGGAAAGATTAGGGGAAGGAGCGCCACCCAAGGGCCTGCCCACCTCCCAGGTGAAAATCTCATGAGTTTATGGAAGTCTTAGTGGCCGTGTCAGGGCCACATTCCAAGAGGACCTGATTTGGCTAACCAGTGACTAATTCAGATTGACTTTTTAGCAGAGTGACAACAAAGAACTAGACGATGCGTTGGATCAACTTTCTGACAGTCTAGGACAAAGGCAGCCTGATCCAGATGACAACAAACCAATAGAGGATAAGGTCAAGGTAAAAAAAGTATATAAGTTAAATCTAAGGTTTTCATAGCGTAGAGTATCCTACTGTGCACATAAAAGGAAAAAAAAATCCACTTCTGACTTTGGAGTTTTAGTGAACAGTCGGGTAACTTAAGTCTCATTTTTTTCCTTCTCTGTAGTCTGTTGAATTTTTTGCCTCAGTGAGGACTATGCTGGGTCACACGCTCAGGCGGATGTCCTATTTGTGAGACCAGACTTAGTTATGATGGAAAAGTACAGCTCTGCTTTACTTTCATTCGTTTCCCACATTAACTTTTCTTGGTTTTATCTGGCAGTAAGCATCTATCATATATATGACCCACAGATACGTGCATTTTTTAGGGTGACATATTCTGTGCATGTAGGGGCAGAGGTCCCCTATTTGTCAGATTTCCCTAGGAGACTCCTGAGCCGTCATAACTCTGCGTGCAAACCCCTAAATGAAGCATTGGGCCAGGAGTCAGCACTGAGCAGAAGCGTGTCTGCAGGGCGAACACTGTTAGCTCTACACACCTTCTAGAACATCAGTAAGTGCTTATTCATGCTAACAGTATCCAGTAAGTGTACTACATGATCCATTTAGCTTGGAAGTGACCAGCCAGATCCATGTCCCAGGGCATTTCAAAGGATCCTTAGGTCTTCATTCTCCCACTGTTATAGGACCATTGATGTGAACTTGACCTGTATTTGAAAAATGAAATAATGATGCAGAAAAATGAAGCCTCTTCCCCCCTACCCCCCCAGGGGGAGGGTGGGGAGTGAATGTCACCGAATCTGTGACAGACGTGCCCCCATGAGGTGAGGATGCAGGGGTGAAGCTGCCGCTTCCCCAGCAGCAAATGCTTCCTCCCCCACAACTCAAGCAGTCAGCACACTCATTCGGGTTGGCTGTGTGGGCTGGTCCTTCAGCGTTGCTCTGAAACATCAAGGTTGTAAATAGTTCCTCTCTCAAAATCAAAGTACAGTGACTTACCTTATTTAAAAAGTGAAACTGACATAAAGACAAAAGATAGTTTATACACTTGGTTTTTCTCTCTTTCCGTGGTTTCTAAGGATAAATATTTCATCATTTATCTTAAAATACAGGTAGAAATCCACACGTGTGGATTGACATATAGAAGCACCTAGATTCACTTTTTTTCATCAAGTCATTGTTTGTTGACAATGTTTTGTTTTGTTGTTACTTAGAAAATAAAGAGACTGTTTATCTTGGGGAAGTAGAATAAATGTTGACTGCTGCGTTTTAGGAAGTACTAAGTGAAGGAGCAAATATTCTGTCCCATGTTTACAGGAAAGAGCTAAAGCCAAACACAGAGACAAGCTGGGAGAAAGAGATGACACCATCCCCCCTGAATACAGACACCTCTTGGATAATGGGGAGGTAAGTGAAGGCAGATGTAGGTTGGATATATAGCACAAAGCTGTTTACATTCGAATCTCCCTTGCAAGGAACAGGAGGTGCACTTTTCACAGCATAAAAATGTCACATAAAGGAGTGCTTTTAATGTCTCTCCTGAGCAGCTTGTCTAGGATTCTGCTGAATATTTATTCGAGCCAGTGTTGTTTGATGTTCACTACCCTGGGCGCTATGGTGTACACTGAATTGAATAGTGTTCAGTCAGTCACTGGTGCTTAAGATTCCAGGGCATGTGCACAGATGCATTCTCTTTGCAAGAAAAGGCTATAAAAAATGGTAGTTGTACTCCTGCCTAAAGCAGACAAAGGAGCTTGTACTGGACTAATTCATAAATAAATAAATAAGGCCCCTTTGCAACTTGGGCTCTTCCTTTATTCCTCTGTACCACCGGCAGCACTATTCCGAGTAAAGACAGGCAAAACCATATTCCCCGTCCCAAGTCCTCTTGCTAGATCTAAATATACTGTCAGGTCTTCGGCTGTTTGTCTCTAAATGAAACCAGTTTTCCTTAGGTCAGCTGGGCCTGTACCCTTCCCTTTCGGCTCCTCGTTGCAAGTCAGTGAGCTGAGAAATAACCCTTTCTGGGCCTGTTGAGTGAGAAACAAGGAAGCCTAAATTAGATCCTTCCCATTCTGTACTGATTCATTGGGTGGGGTTGAGGACTCTGATTGGAAGTGTTTTTTTCAGTGTCTCTTAGAGAAATCAATTCTCCTTGCTTGCATTCTCTATTCCTGAAGATAGCATTTCTGCATCCTGCTAGAAGCCTCCCTGCTTTGATAGTGCTGTCTGACCCTGCTTGTATTCCATGGGAAAGGTATTATTTAATGTCCTTGCCTGTGTAGATGGGTAAAGTCCCTGCTGAGTTATACTTGTAATCCTGAAAAAAAGAAAAACATGTGCCATTCCAACCCCTGAAAGACTTCCAACATATAAGCTCTTATAAATAAGACAGAAAAACACAAGTTACTTTTTGTAATATTCTAAGTCAAATTTTAACACATGATGGCAGGAAGTTCCTAAATAATTGTTTCCTTCACTTCCATGACCAGACTCTTGAGGTTTATCACTTCCTGCACATCTCTGCTCCATTGATTCTCAGGCAAGGCATTAAACCATAGAGTCTACAATTACTGACTACACCGAGGGAAACCTTTACAAAGATCTATGTTTAACTAATAACCTACCTTGTTTTTAAGGGCAAACCAGCAAAGCCACCTGCAAAGAAACCCAAGGACTCAAAGGTAAATACATAGCAGCATGTTCCCATAAACAAAGGTTTTTTTCGTTCTAGCTGAACTTTTATTTTGCTTTTTAGAAATCTGAAATTTATCGAATGGCTGCCCTGTGCTTGGTACAATGTGAAGATGAGTGGCTGTGTGTGATTTCTCTGTTAGCCCTCACAAGAGCACATTTAGACTCGTTTTTTAGATTGAATAACTGAGGCTTAGAATACTGAGCAAACTTGTGTAAAAGGGAAGAAAGTAAAGCTGTAAGGATTTTCATGTTTTAATTTAGGAAAAGAATGTCAGCAAGGTTTCCTCATTAATACCTTATTTTCAGTGATGTGGAAAAATGTCCCTTACAGTATTTTTGCCTCGTGCTCCTTCACTGATGGTTATTTCTCTTAATATCTCAGAAACCTGAAGATGACAAAGACCCCATTGATGCCCTGTCAGGCGATTTTGACAGCTGTCCTGCACCCACAGGAGCCTCAGAGAACACAGCAGAGGTGCTATACTTCTTAATATGGACTTTGTGTGTCTGCATAGAGCTGTAGGCTGCAGAACAAATTCAGTGATGGCCATAAAGAACTTGAAAAAATCCATAATTATACTACCCAGCATTATTGGGCATATTTAGCTTTTTCCATATGTTTTACATAGTTGTGTGTGTGTATGTATATTCAATACTTTATATGTAATATAATTTATATATTACGTTATATATAATTATATTTATATATACTTAAACATTAAATATATATATAGGATACATATATATGGTCCATTATTTCAGGTAATAGGCATGTGTAAGTTTAAGTTCATATCTAATACAATACTTATTTCATAAGTTTTTTTCATGTCGCTGTATAACCTCCCAAAGCCATCATGTTTGATGGCCACTCTCTTGGCATTGGACCCTAATGGTTTGTCTCTGCTCATTTAAAATGAGAGCAGGCCCCACCCGCATGGCGCCTTCTCCTGGCTGTTGCCCCCTGGGGTTTCCTCTCCTTTCTGCCAGTGCCCAGCTGGCTGATTCCCCCCCGCCCCGCACCCCAGGTCAAGGGCGCCCCCTGGCCTCTGGGCCCCACTTGGCCTGTGTTATACCAGTGCGCTGTGTAGCTGTGCTCAGCGGTAGCAGGTGCTCAGAACATATGATTAAAGGTGAATGGAAAACTAGGGGTACAACAGGTATGCGGCCTTGAAGCTATAGCCATGCCCTTAATACAAATCATGTAGAAAAGTGAATTGAGTGCCCTTGAAAGTCATTTTCAGAACAATACTGCAGATCTGTTTGCTGTTGTTTTGCTCTTATTAAACACCTCCCCCAATCACTGAATTGTCAGTCCTCCCCTTGTTGGGTGATTTAATTTCTAGACTACTTCAGCATCCTTTTTCTTGCTCCTGGATAAATAATGCCTTTTTGGTGAACGGGACTTTGTGTGAGACTTGCCTGCAGCTCTCTGTGATAAGTTTCTATCGTTAAATTTGTTTTCCATAACACTGAAAATGAGTATCCCATTCTTGCTTTGTTGGCACATAAAAACTGGTACCGATAGAAACAAACACTGTTTTGATGAGAATTCCTCATGGAAATTGGCAGAACATCAGTGTGACCCACACTTTCCTCTGTATTTTTAATCCTTTTTACATTCTACCTTAACCACTTCTGTGTATATTCAAAGTTTTCCATTATTTGATTACACTCGATGGGCTGATGATAACAGTAGCCTCATTACGTTTCCTTTGCTTTAGGACAAAGTCAAGAGAACTGCTCCCAGCACCAAAGCAGCCAAGAATGGAGGTAAAGCAAAGGAGTCCGCCAAGGTAAACAGCCCTAAATATTACTACAAAGTAGCAATTACATGGTGTAGCATTTATGCTTTTAACCATTTGGTTTCTAACTGGAATCTAGTCAGAATATCCCAGAGCATATCTTGCTTAAGAAATTGAAGTTTTAGAGACTTAGAAAAGTATGTGGGACTTTAGAAATCTAAATGATCATTCTTAACACAATTCAAATTTCTTGCATTTCCCCCCTCTGTCTCACAGACTCTGGATGAGCCCACTCTAATTTTATGGTCCACAGTGCCCACCGAGCTGTCTGTGCTAGCCCACAATCAATGTAGCCCCCCCTCAATCCCACTTTCTTCGGACTCTCCTCCAGCTACACCCCCTTGTGTGCAGCTACCTTTGCCTTCAACTTCAAAGAGAAAGTGGAGGCCACCCTGCACAAAATCCCGAAGGTCGCCTACCCACCTCCCTACTGACAACCTTCTCTCCTGCTTGCCCCAATGTGGCCCTTCTCTCTGAGGGCTCAATAATCCACTCTCTCCAGTCTGTTCATCTTGACTCTTTGTCCTTGTATTATAAACAATTCCAGTTCTTTCATCACTGTAAAAGCAGTTCTCCAGTTATAAGCCTACAGCCCAATTCCTTCAGTACTTTGACCTCCCTCAGACATCTAGGACTCCTGCTTCCTCTGCTTGAGCCCTACCTGCAACCAGTGATGACTTACTGGTTGCTAGTTCATTGGTCCTTATCCTTCGTTTACTTGATCTCTCAGTAGTAGGCTTTGGGGCATTAAGAGTTGATAATGTGGTAGATTGAGACTTTGGCAAATACTTGGAAGGGTGAATTTTTTTTATCCCTCCCCGCCTCCAGAGAACCATAGCACTACTTGAAATTGCCTATTGCACATTCCCATTTCTGTATAACACATTGACAGATCAGATTCATAATCTGTTTCATTAAATGTAAACCGCTAGTTATAAAAAAAATTATATACCATTAAGGAAAATCAGCAATTTGATTATGAGATGTTATGCACTATAAAAACCGTAGCAAATTCAGACATTTAAATGGTGGTGGCAGCAGTAGGGGAGATAATGCCAAGAAATGGGGTTGGTATAAATTTTAGGACATGGAAGTAGTATACAGAATTAAGATCTGAGGGTTTCTGTGATCCAGAATATTCATTAGATGCTACCTGGAAGGGAAGAGTATTAGTTCTACTTTCTAGAGCACCGTGAAAAATGATGTACTAAGATCAATGAGAAGAAGTTACAGGGTCCAAGGGTACCTGGCTGCCTCAGTCAGTAGAGCTATAACTCTTGATCTCTGGGTTGTGAGCTCAAGCCCCATGCTGGGTGTAGAGATTATTTAAAAAAAAAAAAAGATTACAGGGTCTGATTTCTTAGAGCTGGGCGTTAATGGAGTGAAACTGTTGGGAGATGCCTATTAAAATTACTCCAAGTGTGCTCAGGGCAGGAATGTAAATTAGACGAGACAATTTCTAGATCCTTTCCTATTCTAAGAACATAGAATTTAAAGGGTTATTTCTATGATCCCCTCACTATAATGAGAAACTGAAGGTATAGCTTTAAAAACTATATGCCAGCTGCATCAATATAGGCCAGCTCAGGTCATAAGATCAAGGAACTCTAGGAAGCAAAATGGTGACCTACCTTCTCCCATGGACACACTGAACCTACAGGTGCATATCTAACAATGTCCTGTGAAAAAAAGCCCAAAACTAGCTGAGTGACTCCTACTTACCTGGCAAATGCGAGCAGCCCAAATGGAAGCAGGTGGTAGACAGGAACACAATCTCACCAGAAACACAACCCCAGTCACCATGACCCATAATCAAAAGGGAAGTCAAAACACACAGCTTCTTCCTGAGGAGCAAAGGATTTGAACCCCTCATTAGGCACCGGCACCTTTTAAGACCTGCATTTGAGAGAGAAGCCCACAAATATATAGCTCTGAAATCCAATGGGGCTTGTATCCACAAGCCCCACAAGGCTTTAGTGATCTGAGAAATTTTCTTAAAAGGCTTGAGAGCACAGACTCACCTGCTCCAGAGTCCTGCATGGAGGCAGCCAATTGAAAAGCACCCAGACTTTCTGTGAAAGTGTAGTGGCTCATCTTATGCATTGACCTGAGTGTCAGGCATCTTATGTAACACTTGTCTAGGGACCTGTTTAAATACTTTGCAAGACAGAAAGACAGTGTCCAGCAGCCTCTATCTCCCTCTGCCTCACTTCAGTCATCAGTATCTGCTGGAAAGCAGTTAACATACTCATCTGGAAATCTAGTTTTTAGTGACTGCCACTTAAGGGACCCCCCAGATCACTGGGCTCTGGCAAGCCAGCCGGACTTAGATTGTGGTCTCACTGGACTGTATATATGTGCCTTCTTTAACTGATGCTTTGTAAGGCATTGGCTTCCAATCAGCTTCAATCTGGAAGCTGACAAGAGATCCTCCCCTTTGGGACCCTGACAGAACATGGCACCCTCTCAAACACTAGGACCCACTAAAAATAAAATTGTCTAAGCAGCCTATCACAAAGGTTTGAGAGATAACCAAGAGCTCGGGCAGGGTTAAACAATAAGGTTCCATCTCCTGCATCAGGACACTCCTTCAGGACTACCAGAGTGTCTGTTTGACTTAAAGTATAGAAACCAACACAAAGTCAAGGAACATGAAGCAGTGGATGAATAGCCTCCAAATCAAAGAACAAGATCAAATCTCGGGGGGAACTCAAACAAAAAACAAAATAGAATGGACCTAAGCTATTTACCTGATGAAGAGGTCAACATGATAGTTAAAAAGATGCTCACCAGGGGCACCTGGGTAGCTCAGTCAGTTAAGCGTCCAATTCTTGATTTCAGCTCAGGTCATAAGATCAAGCTCCACATTGGGCTCCGTGCTCAGTAGGGAGTCTGCTTGGGATTCTCCCTCTGCCTCCTCCCTGCCACACACACACACACACACACACACACACATTCTCAAATAAACAAATATTAAAAAAAAAAAACCCAGTTTGGGAGAGGAATAAATGAACACAGTGAGAACTTCAACAAGAGATGGGAATAATGACAAAGTACCAAACAGAAGTCACAGTGCTGAAAAATACAGTAACTGAATTGAAAAATCGAACAGTCTGTGAAGCATAAGAAAGGATTAGTGAACATAAAGACATAGCAGAACCCACCCAATCAGAGCAATAAAAAGAAAAAAGAATGGGGAGAAAAAAAGTAAAGATAGGTTAAGGGACTTACAGGACAACATCAAGTAGATGAACCTTAATATTATCGGGGTCCCAGAAGGAGAAGAGATAATGGCCGAGCCCTTCCCTAACCTGCAGGAAACAGACAGGAAACAGACATCCACATCCAGGATGACCATAGGATCCCCCAAGAAGATGAATTTAAAGACACCCACACCAAGTAACATTATAACTGAAAAATCACAAGTTAAAGTCAAGGAGAGAATCTTCAACACAACAAAAGAAAATCAACTGTGTCTATCAGCAGACTGTTGGCAGAAACTTTGCAGGCCAGAGCTAGTGGCAGCTATTCACAGTGCTGAAATTTAAAAAACAAACAAACAAAAAAAAACGAACTTTCAACTAAGAATCTTCTACCTAGCAAAGTTGTCATTCAGAATAGAAAGAGAGCAAAAGTTTTCCAGACAAGGAAAAGCCAAAAGAGTTCATCAGCACTAAGCTAGCCTTATAAGCCATGTTGAAGGAACTTCTTGGAGCTGAAAATAAAGGGTGCTCATTAGTATCAGGAAAACTTATGGAAGAACAAATCTCACTGCAAAGGTAAATATACAGTAAGATTCAGAATAATGTGAAGGTTGGGTGCCTGGGTGGCTCAGTTGGTTAAGCGACTGCCTTCGGCTCAGGTCATGATCCTGGAGTCCCGGGATCGAGTCCCGCATCAGGCTCCCTGCTCAGCAGGGAGTCTGCTTCTCCCTCTGACCCTCTTCCTTCTCGTGCTCTCTATCTCTCATTCTCTCTCTCTCAAATAAATAAAATCTTTAAAAAAAAATAGAATAATGTGAAGGTGTAAATCAATCATGTACAAAGCCAGCAGGAAGCTTAAAAGACAAAAGTAGTAAAAACTGACTATAATAATCCACTAAGGGATACACGATAAAAATATGTAAAATGCATGTCAAAAAACAAAGAATGGGAGGAGTAAAAATATACAGCTTTAGAGTGCAAACTTGTTATCGACTGTAAATTTACTTTTACGTTGTCATACATAAACTTCATAGTAACTGCAAAGCAAAAATCAATAGTAAATGTGCAAAAAAATAGGAATATAAGCTTACTAATACAGAAAGTCATCAAATCACAAAGGAATAGAGAAAAAAGGAAAAGAGGATCTACAAAACAGCCAAAAAACAATTAAAATGGCAATGAGTGCATAATGACCAGTTACATGCCAACATAATGAACTGTTTAGAAGAGAGAAACCTATATCCTACCGAGACTGAAGTCAGGATGAAATAGTAATTACTGACCAGTTCAGACTAAGGAGATTAAAGCAGTAATCAGAAGCCTCCCAAACATTCAGGACAAGACAGCTTCACTAGAGAATTCTACCAAATATTCAAAGAATAATTAACACCAATCCTTCTCAAACTCTTCCAAAAAATAGAGAAGGAAAGAACACTTCCAAAGTGATGTTATAGGACAAGCATTACTCTGATAACCAAAGCACAGCAGGACATAAAATCACAAGCCAATATTCCTGATGAACATAGATTTTAAAAATATCCTCAAAATATTATCAAATGGATCATATAACATTATCAAGTGGGATTTATTCCAGGGATGCAAGGCTGGTTCAACACCCCTGAATCATTCAATGTGATCTATACCACATTAATAAAATGAAGGATAAAAATCCTCTCATTTCAACAGAAGCAGAAAAAGCATTGGATAAATTTCAACTTTCACTTATGATAACTCAACAAAGTTGGTATATATAGAGACATACCCCAACATAACAAAAGCCATATATGACAGACCCAAAGCTAGCGTCATACTTAATGGTGAAAAGCTGAAAACTTTCTTTTAAAATGAGGAAGACAAAAATGCCCACTCATCACTTTTATTCAACATTCTATTAAAAGTCCTGTTCAAAGCACTTAGGCAAGAAAAAGAAAAGGTATCCAAATTGGAAAGCAAGAAGTAAAACTGTCACTATTTTCAGATGATAGAATATTATATATAAAAGATACCAAAGAATTCCACCAAAGACTGTTGAATTTAGTAAGGCTGCAGCATACGAAAATCGATATACAATAATCTGTTGCAATTCTGTATGTTAATAACAATAAAATTAAGGAAACTCCCATTTACAGTTATATCAAAAAATAAAATACCTAGAAATAAATTTAACCAGGGAGCTCAAAGAACTACCCACTGAGAACTAGAAGACATTGATGAAAGAAATTGAAGGCACAACTAAATGTAAAGATTCTGTACTTATGGGATTGGAAGATTTAATATCGTTAAAATGTCCATACTACCCAAGACAATGTACAGATTCAGTTCATTCCCCATCAATATTGCAATGGCATTTTTTTTCACAAATCTTTTAAAAATCCTAAAATTTGTATAAAACTACAGAAGACCCTGAATAGCCAAAACAGTCTTGAGAATAACTAAGCCAGAGGCATCACACTCCCAATTTTAAACTATCTTACAAAACTATAGTTAACCAAAACAGTAATGGTATTGGCATGAAAACACACACATAGATCAACTGAACAGAGTAGAGAGCCCAGAAATAAGGCCACACATATATGGTCATTTTACAACAAAAGAGTCGAGAATTTACAATGGGGAAAGGGAAAGTCTTTTCAGTAGTTTGGGAAAGCTGGACCCCCGTCTTAAACCATACGTAAAAATAAAATGTTATTAAAGACTTGAATTCAAGACCTGAAACCAGAATACTTCTAGAAGAAAACATAGGTGGTAAGCTCCTTAACATTAGTCTTAGGAGGGATTTCATGGATTTGATACCAAAAGCAAAGTCAACAAAAGCAAAAATTAACAAAAGGGACTAGATCAACTAAAAAGCTTCTACACAGCAAAGGAAACCACCAACAAAATGAAAAAACGAAGAGAAAACAAGGAGAAAAGGGAACCTCATACACTCTTGGTGGGAATGTAAATTGGTGCAGCCACTAAGGAAAGCAGGATGGAGGTTTTTCAAAAAATTACAAATAGAAATAGCCTATGATCCAGCAGTTCTTCCTTTGGGTATTTATCCCTAAGAAAAGGCAAACTTAGGAAAATACATGCACCCCTCTATTCATGGCAGCCTTAATTACAATAGCCTAGAAATGGATACAATCGAAGTGTCCATCCGTGGCTGTATGGATCAAGCCGATGTGTATATATACAATAGGGTACTCTTCAGCCCTAAAAATCTTGCCACTTGTGGTAACATGAATGGACCTTGAGAGCATCATGGTAAGTGAAGTAAGTCATTCAGAGAAAGATAAATACCACACGATCTCACTTACATGGGGAATCTAAAAATAAAAGTAAGCTCATCAGCTGGTGGTTGCCAGAGGGGAGAGGGATGTGGGGTGGATGAGAAGGGTGAAGGTCAAAAGAAACAAACTTCCAGTTATAAAAAAAAAAAAAAAAAGTCATGGGACTATATAGTACAACCTAGTGACTACAGTTCATAATGTTATATTTGCATATTTGAAAGTTGCTAACAGAGATCTTAAATGTTCTTATCACAAGGGGAAAAATTTTACTGTATTCATCATTTTGCAATATATACCGAATACCGAATCATTGTTGTGCACTTGAAACTAATGTTATGTCAATTTTATACCTCAAAAAAGGAGTGAAACCCATAAAGGATATAGGAAACCAGATTTGATAATTAGTCGCTCATGGATTTATCTCTAATAGATTATATTCTCAGCCGATTAGTGCCCAGCAGTGCCCCTAAGAGTGAATTCATCACTATAGAATGAATGAATAGCATCCAAGAACACCTGTGTTTTTTCTTCAATTACCCTAGCCTTCAAAAAAAAAAAAAAAAGGAAAGAAAAAGAAAATTAGAGTAAAATACTTTAAATCACTTAAGGTTATTTTTAGTTTACAAACTTGGAGAACAATTCATAGTTTGGACTAAATGAAATCCTTAGGCCCATCTTATTTTCCTCCACTGACCTGTCATCTTTTGACCCTTTAATTCTGAAAAGCCCATCTCCTCTTAAGCATCTTCTGATAGATTTGCTTTTTGATACTTAATCCAGGAAAGAAGGAGTTCAGTGATGGTTCTGCTTTCCCTTTTAGGCAAAAGAGGAAACTTCCAAGCTAAAAGCTGATGGAAAAAATACAAGTTAAAGTTCACACTATTTGGTAAGTTGCGTGTTTGTTGTGAGTGAAGACTATTGTACCTTCCACAGGCCTGTTATAGGCAAGGGAAACTGAGTCCAATTCTGACCTATGCTCTCTTTACACTATTGACATGAAATGTACATTGCACTGTCCAAGTTAATTTGCTGAAAAGCAATAAATGGAATCATCTGCTACTGGAATGTTTAAAAAATAGTAATCTTATAATTAAGAGCTCTTTAAAATATCAGGCCAGGGGAGGAGGGTGGGGGGATGGGTTGGCCTGGTGATGGGTATTAAAGAGGGCACATTCTGTGGGGAGCACTGGATGTTATGCACAAACAATGAATCATGGAACACTACATCAAGAACTAATGATGTAATGTATGGTGATTAACATAACAATAAAAAAATTAAAAAAAAAAGTATCAGGCCAGACTCCTACTAAAGAAAATGACCACCTAAGTCTAGCCGAGTCTTTGACACCCAAATGCTTGTGACTGCAGGTTACTGTGACAAAGCCCAGTTAGCCTGTGACATCTTACAGAGAAATGTCCTTATGATGCTGATGTTACCAAAAGACCAACATGGTGGGCTGGACAGAAGTACCCCTATGGTCTAGTGGAAATTACAGGGTTTTTTGGAACAAAGGCAAAAGAAAAGATTGCAAAACTAAGATCAACAAAAGTGGTCAAAGTCAAGTGCTTTGTTTAATTCTACTTGATGGGTGACTAAAGAACTCATTTGGATGAGGGAATCTCTGAGATACATGTTGAGGGCCCTTATAATTCTTACTATGTAATTCCTCTTATTGAAGAATAGGTCTTATTCTAAGCCATCGAACCTTATGACCACTGGCTGACCAAAGCCTAAAGAAAATAAAAATGTAGGTTAGATTGGGTTAGTCTTTGTCACCATGGTCTTTTATTTCCTTTAACAAGGGGGAGGTATCCTTATTAGAACTATTCCAAAGATTTTCACCCAAGTTACAAGTTTTCTATTTTCTAAATTCTAGAATTTTCAAAGAACATGCTCATGTTTACTTATAGGAAATTCCTTGTTGCTGTTAGTGCTTTTACTAAATGTTAAATTTACTATGCCTGTATCAAGAAAATTATCAAACGGTTTACTGGATTTTTTTTTTCCTTTGAATTTTTCAAGGTATCTGCCTATAAAATCTTCAGGTGGATGGTGACTTTTGAAGGACAAAAGGTTTTGAACAACAGCAAATTTTTCTGGGTGGCTTCTAAGACAGTGTTACTTGTCGAATCTTGACATCCTAAACATTGGTTATTCTTTTCCCAGAAAGAAAATGAATTTGTGTGGTTCATCTGTGTTATTGTACTGAGTGTTGATAAACTTCGAATTTTTAAAAAATGCCTTCAGTTGGGAGAGATGGGAACTTTATATTTCTACGAGATATATTTGATAGTTTCTTAAAGCAACACACAAAAAAAGGAAAAACCTTTGCAAACTTTTGCACATTCTACACACAGTGCCTGTAAATCTCATTCATATTTTCAGTTAGCACTTAATTCTTTTGTTGTGGTTAGCATTTGGAAAACAATGCTTTGAACATGTTGAATGTCCTGATTTCTCATGATCCATTTCCTCTTGGGCTTTGGAACTGTACTTGAGATTTCTTTGGGTTACTGTTTATAAGTCCCCCAACCTAAAATATTGTACATTGGGCACATTATCTCCTCTTGGGCTGCTAATAAATTGATAACCTGGACAGACCAGGATGCGCTGCACCCAGTACTGTTTTTTGCCAGTAGTTAGGACTTCCGCACCTTAGAGCCAGCACAAAAGATATTGAAACTTGAATCAAGTCAGAAGAGCAAAATGCATTCTCTGTGTCACCACATAACAAGTTCCAAGAATAGTAAAATCTAATCCTTAGAATATGCATAGGCCTTGAACTCACTTGGGTTACCGTGTTAAGCTATGCTTTCCATTTCTGATACATGTAACCAGAACAGCCAGTCGGTTCGCTTAGAGCCATTGCCCTGTTAGTCCGTGCACTGTATCCCATCTGGCTTCAGGGAAGTTGGGTTTACCAAATACAAAAACTTCGACTCGAAAGAAAAATAAAAAGCCATCCGGAATTTAAAAACCTGTTTTCCCCCTAGAGCAATTCAAGAACTAGATTCTGAGATCCTACAACTTTGACTGCTTTCTCAGATCTTTTGGAATGCATTGTTTATGAATATAGCACTGATATCCTTGAGGGGAGTCTGATAAATACTTAATTTCATCCTTATTTCTTGGTCCTGAATGCACGAAAAGATAATCAGGTCCATGTCATCAAACTGATTTGCAATTTGTTTCAGAGAGTACATACCCAGCAGGTATTCTAAGTTTTTATAAGAACTGGACTGACTTCACTAGAACTAAATATCACCAATACTGTCTAACGGTGGGGGAGGGCAAAAAAAAGAACAATTGCTTATAACGGGGCCTAAAATTAATTCTCTTTAAAACTTCTCTTTAAAAATCATGCACATACCTAGAGAATTTCAAACTTCACCCACTTTAAATTCTGTGTATCTATCCCATGAGAGATGCAGGCATTATTCTTTTATTCTAAATCTGGGAAATAAAAGCCAGTGTTAGGGTGACTGAACATAACGAGAACATAAACACATCCTCTAGGATTTAACTGTATTTCTATTCTAATTATATAGTATTAAGTTGGGGTTTTCTTGTTTTTTGTTTTTAAGTGAAACCATCGGCATTGACAGTGTGCAGGGAAGCGGCTGCAGTATTAGTACTTGCATATATACAAGTACTTTTAAATCCAAAGATTTAAGGCATGCTTGTAATAGTAAACATAAAAGGCACTCTGCATATGCCTTTTTGTTCATGAGAAAGGTCTTCAAGACTTGGCGATGATTAGACCAAGCTACAGAACTGGTGTCCTTTGAAACCTAGCTCAGGAGGAAATCATTGCAAATGTCTGCTCAGAGGCCAAGAAAACAATCTTTAGTACCAAAAAAAAGGTATTTGCACATTGTTATAGCAATATTGTATCTATTTAGAAAATGGGACTTTGCCAACAAAAGCAAATTAAAATAGGTTCTGCAGGTGATGAGAAATGAAGGCCACTATTTCCATGTTTCATCCAATCAAAATACAGAACACAATTAAAAATATTTTACATTAAAATCTTGGCTTTGTATGTCTTTTAGAAGGTTAATACCGGGGTTGGAAATTACCAGCAATTTCGGGTTTTGATTTCTCAAACCATCAGGCCATGCAATACATATAAAAATAGAATTGTAAACACATTTATGTCCAGAAGTCACTCTGTTCCACAGTGTATTAGAACACATTGACATTTTTCATATCCTATTCGTTTAAGTTTTACAGTATATTAAAACTCATAAAAGACTTCAAAGACAGTACAGTGTCCACACGCTAATTGTATTTTCAGTTATACAGTAATTTATGGGAGACTGCCGCGACTTAGTCGCACTAAGTGCCACTAACAAGTTACCGGGGAGTTGTGAGCTAGGCTGACACGAAGCAGGGAGAAGCACCACCTACCCAAGGGTCAACAGCTCCCAGGTTCAACTTCAGATGAAAGCTTCTCCTCTAGACCTGAATGCTCTCTGCTTTTTCAGAGGGACACACTATCAGGGTCCCTGAGAAAGGAGACCACACACTCAAATTAGGATTATTTGAGGAGGGTTCCAAAAAAAATTTTTTTCCCCCCGTTATAAGCAATTGTTCTCTGAAGGAGCCCACAGGTACCACCAGGGCCCGTGAAAGCCGGGCGCTCACTTCAGCCCTCCCTCAGCCTGGAGGGATGAGAGGAGGAAGCTGCTACAAGAAGGAAGACTTTGAAAAGACTGAGGGGAAGAGGGCCGCCTCTCAGCAGCTAGCTTGGGTGGCGGTCAGCCAGGGAACCAGGGTAATAAAACCCCCTTGTACTCTCCCACCCCAGCTCCCAGCTGCCTGCCTGGAAGCCTGACCAAAAGAGAGACGACAAGTCTGAGGCCATGGGCCTATAGGTCACCCTCTGGGCCTGCAGCAGATGAACCAAGTGTTCATTGTTCAGTAGTCCCCACTATTCACAAGTCTTTAGGGGACAGTGGCTAAATAGCTTATGGATGACACACACGTGGGGAGCAGGGCTTTGGAAAGCACAAGGCTTAAGTATAAGGAAACAAAAGGAATAAGGTACTCCTCCACAGTAGGGAACCCACCCACCCCTTGGGTTAACATTGCAGGGCAACACCTGTCAATAAAAGACACAGCAGCAGTAACCCATCGCCAGTCTTTTCATAGGAATAGTCCAGTGAGGAAGAAGGAAAAGGAAGTATCTTCAGTGGAGCCAAAACAGCCATCTCTAATTTGAAAATAATCACATTTGACAACATTTAGCGATAATGCATCACAGGAACCAGCGAGGAACAAACTGTTTGTTAGAGCAGTTCAAGCTTCTCGCTCTGTAGCCACACTCTGATCTTCTCAAAATTCTTATCCATCCAACGGATGTTTTCCCCAATGGTTTCAATTGTTTGCTGGACACAACGTAGCTGAGAACCCTTTTCTTTCAAAGAGCCGAAGAATTCTTTTACCTGGTAAGGAAAAACCAGATTTTTAAAAAATTTATTATATTACACAAATCTAAGTTTGGTCTAGTTAAAAGAAAACTGAAGCCAAATTTCCAGTGTTTGTCAAAATTCTACATAGAAGCCAGCGCCAGGTGGGTCTGCATACAATTATGTACACATAAATTTAAGCTATATGAAATGAACCCATGCCTTATGATGTCAAATTTTTATTTTTCTCTGCAGCTTTTTTTATTTATTCACAGTTGCCAGATTCTAAAAGACTTCACTGTATACCGTTTAATAATTAGGGTTTGAGTGTATTTATTATGTGTTGTTATATACATGCAGATGCAAACTTTATTTTTTTAAACATGGTATCTAAAAAGCAGAATGTGCAGAGTATCTTCTTGGCCAAATAAAACAGTTCCAACCACACAAATGCAGTCTTTCTCCATGGGTCTGGCCTTATAGGTCATTAGAGAAACACTGAGGAAAAGGGTTCTTAGCAAGTTATGGTGGTAATCCCCCCAGACGTTGCCAAATTTTTTTTATCCTAATCCACAATTCATGTATTGTTCCTCTAAGATAAAATCCACACAAAGTTGCCCATGTTTTAACGAGATAAGAGACAGCTGTCTCCTCCTCTTGTTTCATGGCTGGGCTTCTTAACTCCTTTAAGCTCACATGAGAAATAGAAATAGTCTGGCTCTGCCACAGCACGGACTGTTGTGGTACTGTTTCACCTTAAAAGGTTCTTAACCTTGTCCCTTAAGTTTTCACAGCATTAATCCATAAATTTTTGACTGTGGAGACAGGAAGTAAGTCTAGGCCAAGATGTATTATTTATTCAGCATGGATTCCAGACAGTTAATTCCTTAAAAATCCATGTTATAATATCCTATTTTAAGTTTGGGAATAAGAGAAGGGGAAGAACAGACTTTTGAAAAGTCAAATTCCAATTTTAAATGATTCGGGGTTCTTTTAAAATTGTATCTCAGTACAACTTTCTGATGAGCTCCAGGCCTGCCCTCCTGCTCTAGCCACCTAAAGAACACGGACTGCACCTCGTGGTCCGCCTTCGGTTGCAGCTCAGCCCACTGTTTCATACTCTGACTCCAGATAAAATATTCAGGCCAAAGAACAACTGTAGGCACTTTTCAGCAGTCCAGTCACATCAAAAATTTTCCTAAGTATTTAATGATTAAACATAGTAAGTTACTTAAATATTTTCAAATAATCCTGAAGGTACCACTAAAAGAGAGAAAGAGAGAGACCTGTAAGAGCTGTAACAAAGCCAGCTAAGCCTTGCCCTCAAACTTTTCCTGACGCCAAATTCTCTCTCCTACCCTCATCGACCTTGGGAAATGCAGCATCCCAACTGAGTGTTGGATTCAAACCTGCGTCCTTGAGAGTATTTTCCGTGCAATAAGCAGCATGATATAGAGATAGAAAAGAAACGGTTTTATCCTACTAACTTGTTTGAGCCTTTGTAAACAATTTAACTTCTCTGGGACTCAATTTCCTCTTTTGTGAAGTAAGGCTGATCTCTCCCTCGCAGAGCACTGGGGAGAATGTAGTTACATAATGTGGGTCAAGTGCAGAACCCAAACCCCAGCATGTATCAGGGATTCAGCCTCATCCGTTTATTCATGAACATGTCCTCTGGCACTTACTCATCCCTCCGGCCTAATTACACTGCTATACACTGAGGAGGCGGCAAGGGACCAGGCAAGGAACCCTTGTCCTCCTAGAGCTTACACTCTACCTAGGAAGACAAGCAGTCAACGTGGTTACTATTAATCTACTATCGTGGACAAAATACACTGAGGCTAGGAGTGACTGGGGCAGGGATGGCCTTCTTTCCACAGAGCAGCCTGGGGAGGTGACCTGTGATGTGGGACCTGTGAAGGATTCAACAAGCGTTTCGGCTGACAAGTTAGGCAAAGAGCAAGCCAGGCAGAGAGAAATTTAGAGGCTTAGAGACAGCATCAGCCCCTTCTAGGCCAGGAGCAGGCAGCAGCTGGGCAGCTCAAGTGTCACAGGAGGGTGACCCACGGCGGCACACGCACACTAGCAGGAGCCCAGTCATGGTTGTGTGCACAAGGGGAGGACAGGTTTGGAATTTATTCTAAGATCAACAGGTCAGGTTTCAAAGGAAGGGTCAGTCATGGGCTGATTTTCAGTTTTAAATGTGGGAAATGGTCTGGTATTGGCAAAGCAGGAAGCCATTCAGGAGGCTCTCGCCGTAGGCCAGGCAAGAACTCAGAAAAGCCTGGGATGCGATAAAAGCAGATGAGTGCACAGACAGGGTACAGATGCTGGAAGCAAAGCCAGTGAGACTCCAGGACGAACTGGATGTGAAGGCCAGAAAGGGTTCTGGGCTGACTCCTACACAGGAGGACGTTCTCCCTTCTGATGACATCCAGGCTTTTTCACTTCCATGCCCTACCTCAGGCCTTTTGCACCTGATGTTTCCTCTGCACACAACAGACACCTGCATTTCCTTCGGTCTCTGCTCACAAGTCTCCTCAACATCCCATAGCACAAAGCTCCCTTACCCCGTCACTCTCTCCTTAGCGCGCCTCATTCATCTTCAGAGCATCTAGCCTGACTTTGGTCGCTTTGTCTCACAGTCCCCCAGTAGAATTGAAGCTCTGTGAGGGCAAGGGCTTGGTCTACCATGTCAATCTTGAGGTAAAAATGTCATATCTTTAAAGAATTACTGAGAAACAAAGGGATGAGCAAGTGACTGAATGCAATGTTTTGTTGCTACAGATCTGGTTTATGGACAGCTGTCTAGCTGCTCCTAGCTCATGACTGGTCCTCATCACACAGACTAGCTCTGCTGTAGACCTCACTAGAGTTCAACCTTGAATTATGTGCCAGTTAATTTTACAAGCCTGCATGAAAACTAGAGAGAAGGGATGTGACATTTTTGCATTTTCAAAGCATTCTCACTGTATCAAGCTCTATCATGGTATAACCAGACTATACAATGGAACTATTCCTAAAAAGATCAGTATTAGGTTCTCAGCTTTTATCTATGTGCAACCTATTTTAAAAGCCTTGTAAAATTTTCTACACCTTTGAAAACATTATTATAGAAGGGACACCACACAACAATGACCTTGACATCAAATTCCATCAAATTTAAGGCTGAAAGAAAAGTCTGCTTTTCTGGGAAACTTGTATGTTCCATGGTTCCCTCCTCCTAGACAGAATAACTCCTACTGTTTTCTCATTTTTTTCCTGACTGCTAGGAACCTGTGGTAGGTACATTTAGGGTACAGTTGCAATAAATTATCCTCAGCATAAATCCCTCATATAGTTACCTCTTTCTGTAAATTATGCAGCTTTTTGTAATTTAACATTTCTTTTACATATCGACCTTGTAAGTTGCCTAAAATTCTTTCTCAAAGTGAATGTCATAAATAAGTAACGAGAAATCTTGATAGCAGAGAACCAAGATTCCAGACCTGCCTCTTTCATAATAACTAGATGGTCATGTAGGTCGTTTATACCTCTAATGATCACTTTTAACATCCTAAGAAATAGAGATTAAATGTCTCCATTAATTTCTTAAGCCCAAATGTTTGTAATGACAGAGCTAAGACTTCTTGATGTGTTGAGGAAGAGGCATAGTTTTCAATAGTTTGCATCCAAAAAGAACATCTACTAGGTGACAAAATCCATTCCTAACTCATCACACCATTTTTTTGTCTACCCCATATTTATTAGCTAATTGTCACTTAAATTTAATTAACTTTTGGTTACCTCTTCAAGCCGTGCTCTTGTGGAGAACTGACTTGTTGTTCCAATTACCATATAGGTTAGGGAAGCTGAGCCAAGTTCAAACCTGGAAATGGAAATTGTCAAGATGTATCATAAAATATTTATTCATTCGACATGTGTTTGTAAGTGCCTTGTGCATGTTACAGCATTTAACTAGAAACTGCTCAGGCATGAAAAATCCATGACATGAGCCCTACCCTCCAATGCGTTAAGATGTAGTTGTAAAAAAAAAAAACACCAACCACTGAATAAATGATTCAGTACCCAAAAGAAAGCAGTAGAGGCTTAGTAAGTACTACAAGAGCAAGGCAAGGGCAGGTGCAAGCAAGCAGAAGTGCTAACCCACGATGTGGGGTGAACTGTGCACAGGAGGGCTTCAAACTGGTCTGTGGGTGCGGAAAAGGATTCTTCCAGATAGACTGGAACAGCTGACTATCCAGATTGATGAGTTAGCACTAAATTTAAGTTCTCTATTTTCTAAGAATAGTTTTTTAAGGACCTCTACTTGCTCTCTTCAATCAAAAAACCCCCTCTAAACAATCACTGTTGTTTTACAAACAAAGCTAAAACACAGGCAGGTTCGTGGACTTTTCTACTCACAACACAATTTTTGGCACTACTTACTTTTGTATCAGTTTATCCCAATTTTCCCTCAGAAACTGCCAGGCCAATCGATATCCCACCGGGTTCCTACCAACAGCTCCAAGAATATGTGGAAACTCTTGAATTTTTATTACATCTCCCTTAAAACCTTCATCTAGTAGCCTAGAATGATTAAGAGAAGAAATGTTAACAATAGAGAGTCCCTGGAAAAGTTATGAATTACTTCAATAAAATAATGTGTGAAAGAAAAAAGCCCATCTGTCAATAATAAACACAAGATAAATAGGTGACCAGAGCACTAATAAAGTTGGTATGGCTACATAATAAAAACTAACATTTAGTATTTACAACACCCATTCTCATATATTCCCTTGCTTGTTCATAAGAGAAAATAGGTAAGAAAGGCCTATGCCATATGTATTTCTAAACATGTTATTTTAAAGAGACACAAATATATATCCCTTTATTTTTCCTAACACCTGCTTGTCCCCTAATTAATTACCGTACCCATCAGATGTATGCCCACTTGAATAAATATTCCCAGCAGAAAAGGCAATTCCCAGCCGAGAGAACAAAAAGATGTTGGAAGGATCTGAGTTCATTTAATTCCTCCTGGCCACATGAACATGAACAAATTACTCACCACTGAAGCTTGTCCTCATCTTGGCTAATACAGAGGGCAAATTCAATTTTTTCTTTCTCAGAAGTAGACAACGATGACTGATACTTTCTATAAAGAAAATCCCATCCTTCAGGGTTCTGGACCCCCACAGCAAACACTGCCAAGGTCACGTCGCTGGGCAGGCTGTGGAAAAGAACATTGCTGGTGACAGTCTGAAATGCAGGAAGCGTGTTTGGATGTAGAGTGGTGACCAATGACAAACTGATACACTGGCCCAGTGATCAGAGCAACATGCCTGGAAATATAAACAAAAATCCGCTCTTTCCTTCAGTTAGATTTTATGAGAGGCAGAGGGAAGTATCTACAATTAGGTTTTAAGTACCCTTCTCAAAAACAATGTGAAAAGCCACTTGGATAAATACCTACGTATCTAACTGGGTAGATGCTGGGTAACTGGACAGATGATCACTTCTTAAGCCAAAAGAAAGAAATTCAAACTAGACTCAATATGTAGTCCATGAACAAAAGTCAGGAATCCAACAGGACCGCTGTTTGGAGGCATTTCTTTAAATGGAACCATATAGATTGTTGGCTATTTCCTAGAGAGATTTAAGCCCCAAATATTAAAGTCCAAGAATAAATTCCAAATACAGGAAGAGCCTACTTAGCTTCGACAGTATCAGCAACTACTGTACACACCTCATCAGGGACTTTGGAGGCCCAAAGAAACAACTATTATGGCATGTACCGCTTCTGTTCCTGTCCAGGACAGCAGTTTCAGTTCTAAGCCTTACCTCTATTAGATGGAAATTATTCTAATCCTATTTTAACTCTCCAGATATTTGACTTTTATATAGAGACGTTCCCTCCTAGCAGTTCTTAAAATAGAAAGTTGAGATACATAGAAAAATCTTAAAAAGCAATTTATTTTCCCAAAAAGTACACCAGGGGAGGTTTGCTTCTACTTGTTTTTTTTTTTTCTCCCAACATTTAGCACTGATGAGGAAAAACAGAACAGAGAGCCTTTATATGAACTAACCGGTTGTTCAGTAAGCACAGACCTCAAATTTCCATCGGCTTCCTTCCACTCTCTGAAGTAGGCTTCTGCCCTCCGCACGCAGGGCTGATACTTGCGCACACACGCAAGGAGCAGCAGCTGACTCCGCAGCATGCGCTGGGAGACTGAGCCCTCATCTGTCCACGTCTGACTATCAATGAGGTCCCTCAGCAGCCACAGGAGAAAGGCCTGCGGGGAAAGCCACATGCGTCACCAGTACCATCCCCGGCCATCTCGGCTTTTAGAGGAGCCGATATATCCTCAGGTGGTGGGAGTTCATTTTTAAAGTTTGATCCAACTCTTTTTTTAAAACCACGCAATTCTGTTTACATTTAATTATAAAAGGGGTCAAGAACAAGAAAATGGTTTTTACTATTTGCATAAAAATCTTTAATTTTTTTATTTTTTATTGTTATGTGAATCACCATACATGACATCATTAGTTTTTGATGTAGTGTTCCATGATTCATTGTTTGTGTATAACACCCAGTGCTCCACGCAGAACGTGCCCTCTTTAATACCCATCACCAGGCCAACCCATCCCCCCACCCCCCTCCCCTCTAGGACCCTCAGTTTGTTTCTCAGAGTCCATAGTCCGTCATGGTTCATCTCCCCCTCCAAATACCCCCCCTTCAGTAAAGTGGCAGGATATGAAATCAATGCACGGAAATCAGTGGCATTCCTATACACCGACAACAAGGCAGAAGAGAAATTAAGGAGTCGATCCCATTTACAATTGCACCCAAAACCATAAGATACCTAGGAATAAATCTAACCAAAGAGGCAAAGAATTTGTACTCAGAAAACTATAAAATACTCATGAAAGAAATTGAGGAAGACACAAAGAAGTGGAAAAACGTTCCATGCTCAAGGATTGGAAGAACAAATATTGTCAGGATGTCAATGCTACCTAGAGCAATCTACACATTTAATGCAATCCCCATCAAAATACCATCAACTTTTTTCAAAGAAATGTCTAACAATCTTTTATAAATACACCTTTCTCTATTTAAAAACCACGATGAACGGCCACTTTTGAAACAAACTAAGTTTATAGGACTGAATTTTGAGAGCAAATTATACAACAGGACTTTGTAACGTTTTGCCAAAAATAACGATTTTGTGCCTCTTCCTCAAGTACCTGAGTCATGGAGTATCTTAAGAGTAACCATCAAAACAAGATACCACCTCACACCGGTCAGAATGGCTAAAATTAAACAAGTCAGGAAACAACAGATGTTGTCAAGGATGCGGAAAAAGGGGAACCCTCCTACACTGTTGGTGGGAATGCAAGCTGGTGCCGCCACTCTGGAAAACAGTATGGAGGTTCCTCAAAAAGTTAAAAATAGAACTACCCTATGACCTAGCAATTGCACTACTGGGTATTTATTCAAAGGATGCAGAAAGAGTGATTCTAAGGGGCATCTGCACCTCAGTATTTATAGCAGCAATGTCCACAATAGCAAAAATGGGAAAGAGCCTAAATGTCCATTGACAGATGAATGGATAAAGAAGGTATGGTGTATGTGTGTATACATATATATGTATATGTATACACACACACACACACACACACACACACACACACACACACACACAATGGAATATTACTCAGCCATCAAAAAGAATGAAATCTTGCCATTTGCAATGATGTGGATCCAACCAGAGGGTATTATGGTAAGCGAAATAAGTCAAAGACAGACAAATACTATATAATTTCACTCATATGTGGAATTTAAGAAACAAAACAGATGAGCATATGGGAAGGGAAGGAAAAATAAAATAATAACAGAGAGGCAAACCATAAAAGACTCTTAACTACAGGGAACAAACTGAGGGTTACTAGAGGAGAAGTGGGTCAGGGATGGGGTTACTGGGTGATGGACATTAAGGATATCACATGATATAATGAGCCCTCATTAACCCATTAACACTGGGTGTTAAAAGCAAGCGATGAATCACTAAATTCTACCCCTGAAACTAATAATGCATTATATGTTAACTTGAACATAATAAAAATTAAATAGGGTAACCATCCAAGGACAAAATGAAATAAAGGATTTGCAAAAAGAAGGGAATAACAAATCCATAAAATTTAAGTACAGATTCTTAGAGTGCTGTGGCTTTAGTGTTGGAATGAAACCCAAATCTTTGCTATTTAATCCAAATACTAATTCTGATGTACTTTTCTTTTATATGAAGACATACATATATATACAATGGTAAGGATGCTTTCCCACACGCACACAAAAGCAAACCAGTATGTAACTACTCAGTTTATTGAGGGCTTCTACCTTGAATTGATTTTCCACTTCATTCATATCTCTTTTCTCCATCAATTTATACATAGGTATCAGCTCATTCAAACCTTGGAACACTGGCATAATTTCAGTTTCACGTTTCAAGTACAGGGTTAAATCCAAAGCTTTTTCAATTGATAGCTTCCCATTGCTGGCAAGAGATACCATGGTTAGCAGTTTAAACAAAAACCAGGCAATCAACTTTGTGTTTCAGAAGATATTTTAATCTCCCAGCAAAACATTCAATCAGATATAAATGCCCTCCTTATTAACAGTGACCTTTATATAAGTATCTTTTCTTTCACATATAACACTGGTTTATTTGCCACTGTGAGGGAAGTTTCTTGAATAATAATAGAGTCAATGCTAACTCGTGGTGAAGACAAAATGGAGACAGGTCAGTATCCGTCCCTCTAAGAAACAACAGACTGGGTGGGTGCTGAACATCCAGAGTAAGATGGTGATGTTTATCAAAATCAGTAACGTTGGTCAGAGAGACTGCCACCCAATCAAAAGTCTGAGTGTCTGGATTAAACACATTCTTGTCTCCATTTCAGAAAGAAAGTGAATATAGATAAAAGCCTTCCATTATGAAATAAAAAAATCTTAAAAACAAACCCTTCATTATGGAGGGCAGGTGTTCAAAGTCTCAGTGGCAGGGTATATGTTAAGTACAAAACCCTACAAGAAATAAGCAATACTATTACAGAGGGAAATAGTCTCAGGTAGGCAGAAACAACCGGATAAACCACTTGTATCTTTATCCCCCATTGCCTTTGCCACCCTGAGAGGTCCAGCAAATGAAGAACCCAACATTTAGAACAAAGGGACATGGGAAATGAGGAGAATTAGAGAATCATTTCTTCCCACCTGGGTCACTGCCCTGGGGACTGCAGCTCTGCTGAAATATTGAAGAATTTTGAGTTTCAGGCTTAGGACCCATTTCCTTAAAAACCATTGGCATAAGGCAAAAAAATTATAGAGTGAACACTGTCCTCAACAACTCAAACGTCATGTGGTTGGGCCACATTTTCTAAGCTCTATTCCATAAAGCTTCCATTAAATTCAGGCATCCAGTTTGAGGAATGTGGGGGGAGAAATCCTTTAACCCAAGAGACAAAAATGCAAACAACTGGGTACTGAGCCACGTGGTCTTCTAAGAAGGCTTCAAAAATGTGAAAGACTCAGCACGGCAGAAACCTCCTGAGCTTTAGGATGGCCAGAAAAGCTACAGGACAAGGCTTTAGGGATGAGGGGCTTCTCCACAAGGTAGGTTGATCTGGTTTTCTGTACTTTTGCATCGGTCTGACCTAAGCTGTTAGTAAGATTAAAATACAGATTACTTGCTTTAGCTTACTCTGTAGACTCAGACACGTGGTTAATCCTAAGACTAAAAGCAACCTTAGAATTTAAGAAGAACTTAGGGGAAAACACCCTTCAGCTTCTTACTAGCAAGTAATCATTTTCATCTTTAGAAATTAAGCGTTTGAATGCTAACAGCTGCTTTCAGAAATAAACCAAGACCTTGAGGAGTATTACCTGACGAGCTGAAATGCATTGTTGATGAGACTGGCCCGGTCATTGCTGCTGACTGTTGTGTGTGCGCCTTTTAAAAGGCCAGTCAAAGAATCCCATCCATCATTCTCATAATGCACAATGTAATAACCGTTCATTCCAACATTAAATTTGATCCATTCTACCTCTTCTGGAAGGATGAGCACATCTAGAGCAAATAAAATAAATCATAGCTCCATTTTCTCTCTTGACTGATGAAAGCTTTTCTGATCAGAGACTGGACAAAGAAACTAAAGTCAAGTTTAATATTGAACAATTTTAATACTGAAAGGAGTTTCATATTGAACACATTTCTTCTAGAAACCAGAAAAGTCCATTCCAATAGGCAAAAGCCAGCACTAGCTTTAGGCACCAATTTTTTGAGATTTATAGATCGATGAGAAGAATACAGCCACATTTCAGGCCATACATGAGACATGATGCAACAGTGTTAGTCAAAGAAGGGGGAATTTTCACTAGTAATCCCTCCTTCTTAGTATTATATAACTTAGCTGCTTTAATCTCTATCTGGCAAGACACTGGCTTTTTTTTGCCACCAGAGACAACTTCTATCTTCACTAGAAATTGAAAGCCAACAATTTGCTGAATATAAAGGTTGACCTGATCCTTCGGTTTTAACCATGATAAACAGTAAAACAAACGTAGTAACTAAGTCTTACATATTTCCAGTTTCTTCTGGACTTAACCTAGTTATTTCTATGGTAAGTTACCTGTTTTTGTCTTCAGCAAAAATCTTTGAACTGAGTCTGATTTGCTGGTAATGAATGTCAATGGAACATGCCACAGGTACCTTGGCAAAGAAAGGACAGATTATTTGTTGATTCAGTCCAACAAACAGTTATTAAATCATCTATCATATACCAGACCCGGGCTAGTTTAAATGACGGTACCAAAACTACTATAGCCAAGAAGTCAAGATGTCACCAGCCTGTTTTCCAGCTTTGCAAGGGGTGTCAGCTCAAGCACTATTCATTCTTCTTGGACTTCTTCAGTAGAGCTGGGAATTTGGGCTCCAGTGATCCCTAGCATCCTCTGCAGAGGTTGGCTGATTGGAACTCAGAGGTCCTACCTTAAAGACTTTGGCCACTATAAATGGCACAAAGTGACATCATGTGACTTCTACATCATTTGTTAAGAATAGATTATCACTTCAGTGGAATTCCTGTCAATGATGCACAAGCTGAATCTCATCATGAAGAAACAGCAGAAAACAAAAACTGGAGGACATTCTATTAAAAAAAAAACTGGCCTGTGCCCTTCAAAAATGTCAAGGACAAGGAAGAAAAATATTGAGGAACTGTTTCAAGAAAAAAAGAAAAAAAATACAACTGAACATATGTGACAATACAATGTGAGCCTACACTTAATCCTGAACCAGAATTTTTTTTTGCTATAAAGAGGTTATTAGGAAAACTGGAAAAGTTAAATCAGGTTTATAGATCAAAGTTATTAGATCAATTTCATAATTTTGATAATTATACTGTGCTTACATAAGTGAACATTCTTGTTTTTTACGGAACTATCACACTGAACTATTTCAGGATACAGGACATCAGGTTTCCAACTTACTTGCAGTTAAAAAAAAAAAAAATATGCTACTGTGGATCCAGGAGGGCAGCATAGGAGGACATTGAACTCCTCTCCTCCTATGGATACACTAAATCTATACCTACATATAGAGCAGTTCCTCCTGAGGAAGAACTGAGGGCTGACTGAATAGCTTCTGCACAACAAATGATAGAGGGACCGCACAGAGAAGGCAGAGACAGAGACGGGATAACAACAGGAATCCCATCCCAACGCAGTGAGGGAGGGCTATTACTGAAGGCCTCACACACGGACTTGCCCACCCTGGGATTTGATGAATAGCAATATAAAGAATAACTAAATAATAAGTGAAGGGAAACCCACTAACTCTAGATCATCCACCAAACAGTGGGTAAACTGCTAGAACTCTCCTCAGTCGTAGGCACTGGTGAGTACCACTGGGTACATTCTCCCCCAACCAGAATATTATGGACAGGAGCAGGGTTCAGTCCCTCTCGCCAGCGGCTTAGGGCCACCCCAGCACATCCGAGGCCCCTAGCCCACACCAGCTCCAGTCGTCCTGCCACAATGGCCCCAGCAGAGTACTCTGAGACCCTCCTGGCTTATACCCAGTCAAGCCCCAGCCATCCTACCACACGGCAGGACAACCCAGGAGCCTATGGACCACACCTGGTCCCACTCTGGCTCTAGACATCCTACCAGGGCAGCATCTCCCCCAACTCCAGCTGTTTCTCCAGGGTGGCCCAGCGAAGGAGTGCCTCAGAGCTCCCCAGTCCATGCACACTCCAGCTCTAGCTGTCTCACCAGGGCAGCTCCAGCACTGTGTTTGGGACTCCTGGGCCCATGCCCTCTCTGGCTCCAGCCAAATGGGGCATTTCCCCCATCCCACTCCAGCTTCAGCTGGACAGCCAAAGCCACTAGGCACACGCAACCTACGCAGGTTACACTAACTCACAGAAATAGACATATGAAGTCAAACAAACTAAGGACACCAAGGATTATATTCCCAACAAGAGAAAATGAAAAAATCCCAGGGGGAAAAAAAAAGAAAACTAATGAAATAGGTAAGTAATTTACCTGATAAAGAGTTCAAAATAATGGTCATAAAGATGTTCACTGAACTAAGAATGGAAGAATACAGTGAGAACTTCAATAAAGAGAAAATTTAAGTACCAAATAGATGTCACAGAGCTGAATAATAAGAAAAATACAAGCCATCAGCAGATTGGATGATACAGAACAGATCAATAATCTAGAAGATAGAACAGTGGAAACCACCCAATCAGAAGAGCAAAAAGAAAACAATTAAAAATGAGAACAGTATGTAAGGGACCTCTGATCAAATGGCAAGTGACATTCACATTCACATTATAATGGTCCCAGAAGGAAAAGAGGGAAGAAAGGGGCAGAAAACTTAAAGAAATAATGGTTGAAAACTTCACTAACCTGCGGAAGGAAATAAACATACAGGCCCCAAAAGCACAGAAACTCCCAAACAAGAGAAATCCAAAAAGATTCACACCAAGACATATTTCAGTTACAATGTCAACAATTAAAGAGAAAATCTTAAAGGCAGCAAAAGAAATACAAACTCACAAGAGAAACCCTAAGGCTATCAGCTTATTCTTCAGCAAAAACTGTGCAGACCAGAAAGGAGTAGCAGAATATATTTAAAGTGCGGAAAGGGGCAAACTTAATACCAAGAATGACCTACCCGGTAAGGCTATTATTCGAAAGAGAAGGAGAGAGAGATTTTCCAGTATAAGCAAAAGATAAAGGAGTTCATGACCACAAACCAGCCTTACAAGAAATGTTAAGGAATCTTAAGAGGAAAAGAAAAGGCCACAATAGAAATAAGAAAAAGAGAACTACAGACCAGTATCTCTCATGAATATAGATGCAAAAATCCTTAACAAGGTATTAGCAAACTGAATCCAACAATACATTAAAAAAAAAAAAAATACGCCACAATCAAGCCAGATTTATTCCCAGGACGCAAAGGTGGCTCAGTCTCTCAATCTCTCTCTCTCTCTCTTTCTCTCTCTCTCTCACACACACACACACACACAGAATCAACATGATACATCCCATAAGGAAAAGGATAAACTATAGGATCATTTCAAAGATGCAGAAAAAGCACTGGACAAAGTAAAACATCCATTCATGATAAAAACCCTCTGAAAAGTAGGTATAGAGGAAACATACCTCAACATAATAAAGGCCTTATATGCAAACCCAAACCAACATTGTACTCAATGGTGAAAAACTGAATGCTCTTCCCCTAATGTCAGGAACAAGAGAAGGATGTCACTCTCATCACTTTTAATCAGCATAGTACTGGAAGTCCTAGCCATAGCAATCAGACAACATTAAAAAAAAAAAAAAGGCATCCAAATTGGCAAGGAAGAAATAAAATTCTCATTATTTGCAGATGACATGATACCATACATAGAAAACTCTCAAGGCTTCATTAAAAAACTACTAGAACTCATATCTGAGTCTAGTGAGGTCATGGGATATAAAAATCAATGTACAGAAATCTGTTGCATTCCTATACACTAATAATGAAACAGCCGAACATGAAATTAAGAAAATAATCCCACTTGCAATTGTACCAGACACAAAGTATCTAGGAATAAACTTAATCTAACAGGTGAAAGACCTGTATTCTGAAAACTATAAAAACACTGATGAAAGAAATTCAAGATGACACAAAGAAATGGAAAGACATTCCATGCTCATGGAATGGAAGAACAAATACTCTTAAAATGTCTATGGCACACAAAGCAATCTACAGATTTAACACAATTCCTATCAAAACACCAACAGCATTTTTCACAGAACTTGAACAAAAAATCCTACAATGTGTATGGAACCACAAAAGACCTCAAATAGCCAAAGCAACCTTGAAAAAGAAAAACAAAACTGGAGGTATCACAATGCCAGATTTTAAGTTATATTACAAAATGGTAGTAATTAAAACCATATGGTACTGGCCTAAGAACAGACACAGAGATCAATAGAACAGAATAGAAAACCCAGATCATATGCTTAATTAATCTTCGACAAGAGAGGAATGAGTAAACAATGGGAAAATGTCTCTTCAACAAATGGTGTTGGCAAACTGGACAGCTACACGCAAAAGAATGAAACCATACCACTTCCTTTCACCATAGACTAAAATAAACTCAAAATGGATTAAAGACCTAAATACAAGCCCTGAAACCAGAGAAGTCCTTGAAGAGAGCACAGGCAGTAAGGTCTCTAACATCAGCTGTAGCAACTTCTTTCTAGAGAGGTCTCTTAAGGTAAGGAAAATAAAAGCAAAAATAAACTACTGAGACTACAGCAAAATAAAAAGCTTCTGCACAGTAAAGGAAACAGCCAACAAGGCTAAAATGCAACCTATGGAATGGTAGAAGATATTTGCAAATGATGTATCCAACAAAGGGTTAGTATCCAAAATATATAGAACTTATCAAACTCCACAGCCAAAAAAAATCCAATTAAAAAATGGACAGAAGCCATGAACAGACATTTCTCCCAAGGAGACATCCATATGGCCAACAGACACATGAAAAAAAAAAATGCTTGACATCACTTACCAGGGAAATGCAAATCAAAACTACAATGAGATATCACCTCACACCTGTCAGAATGGCTAACATCAAAAACACAAGAAACAAGTGTTGGTGAGGATGTGGAGAAAGGGGAACCCTCGTGCACTGGTGGTGGGAATGCAAACTGGGGCAGCAACTCTGGAAAACAGTATGGAGGTTCCTCAAAACATTAAAAATAGAACTACCCCTATGATGCAGCAACCGCACTACTGGGCATCTACCCAAGGAATATGAAGACACTAATTCAAAGGGATACATGCACCATGATGTTTACAGCAGCATTATTTATAATAGCCAAATTATGGAAACAGCCCAAGTATCCATCAATAGATGGATACAGAAGATATGGTATATGTATAAATAATGACTATTACTCAGCCATAGAAAATGAAGTCTTGCCATTTGCAACGACGTGGATAGAACTGGAGAGTATAATGCTAAGCGAAATAAGTCAGAGAAAGACAAAAATACCGTATGATCTCACGCATGAGTGGAATTTAAGAAATAAAACAAACAAGGACAAAAAGAGTAAACCAGGAACCAGAAACAGACTCTTAACTATAGAGAACAAACCGATGGTTACCAGAGGGGAGGTGGGGGGGGGGGGATGCGTGAAACAGGTGTTGGGGATTCAAGAGCACAGTTATCATGATGAAAAGAAAATAAAGTAATAAAAATAACAAGTACAGGTAAGAATGAGGAGGAAATGGAAGGCTCCGTTTTCCTGATGCTGACAGTGTAGATTGGTGCGGTCACCATCATAAACAGTATGTAGGTCGCTCAGAAAATTAAAAATAGAACTACACTATGATCCAGGAATCCTACTTCTGGGTATTTATTCAAAGAAAATGAAAACACCCACCTGAAGAGATACATGCACCTGTGTGTTCACTGCAGCATTGTTTAACTATAGCAAGATACGGAAGCAACCTACGTATCCACTAATAAATGGATAAAAAGATGTATATATACACATATGTACATACACACACAATGGAGTATTAACCATAGAAAAGAATGAAATCTTCCCATTTTCAACAACAGAGATGGACCTGAAGGATATTATGCTAAGTGAAAGAAGTCCTACAGATAAACACAAATACCGTATGATTTCACCTATACGTGTAATCTGAAAAACAAAACAAAACAGAAAGACTCAAATAAAGGAAACAGACTGTTGGTTATGGGGGGTTATGCAGGGCGGGGGTGGGGAGTGAAATAGGTAAAGGAGATTAAGATACAAACTTCCAGTTTTAAAATAAATAAGTCATGAGATGTACGGTGTAAGGAATACAGTCAATAGTACTGTAATAACTTTAGTGACAGATGGTAATAAGATTTAGTGTTGGTATTTTGCAATGTATAAATATACTGAATCAGTATGATGTATATCTGAAATAGGATAGTTTGTCAATTATAATATACATATGCTATATAGAGAGGATACAAAAAGATAAAGAGCACATTTTTAACTGTATTTTGGATTTTACATGGAAAGATTCTCTTTTAGGTTTTATATACATATTTCAGGTTAGATGTAAAGAGAGGAGAGAAGGGGACGGAGGGGGAGAGAGAATGATAAAGCAAATGTGGTCAAGAGTTAACATATGCGGGGCGCTTGGGTGGCTCAGCTGGTTGAGCGTCTGCCTTGGCTCAGGTCATGATCCCAGGGTCCTGGGATCGAGCCCCACATTGGGCTCCCTGCTCAGTGGGAAGCCTGCTTCTCCCTCTGCCCCTGCTGCACCCCCTGCTTGTGCTTTGTCTGTCAAATAAATAAAATCTTAAAAAAGTCAACATATGTGTATCTGGGTAAAGAATACACGAGCATTCTTCGTGCTCTTCCTGCAACTTCTCTGTAAGTCTGAAAGTATTTCAAAAACAAATTTTTTTTAAGTACTGTCCATCTAGGGTCAGTCAAGGTGCACTACTCCTTTCCAGTGGTGTCCTTCTGAAGTATTAAAACCAACAAACAGGCTCCAGGATCTAATGTAGACTTCCAAAAAAGAGGCTCTCATAATCCCCAGAAATCACCTGAATGTTTATGTCCTCAGCTCCAACCCAAATGCCAGGCACTATTGGCATTTAGTGGCAGTTGCTTAGTTTAGAGCTGTTTCCAGTTAGTAACGGGAATTACCATCCCATCAAACTACAGAACACAGGAATGTTAAAACACTGATACATTATGAGCTTTACTGAGATGAACCAAGGTTGAAAGCCACATTTATCCTCTTGGGAAGATGGTAGTGTATAACTCGACTTCACAGGATACAGAGATTTGACTGAAATATTTTAGCGGTCAAGACAAGAGCAGTCTGAAAAATAAAGTCTCCCCGCACAAGGCAGGTGTTACCGAGGCAACAGCCCCAAGTTTTCCACCCTGAACGTTACCCAGTTTCTGAGGCGTCCTCGGGTGCTTTCCTGTAGTGCTCCTGCCTCATGTGCACGTTCCTCCCCCTCACCGTGACCGTTATCAGGGGAAAGCCCTTCTGCAGCGTCCACGTGTTCATCATGGTTTTTACATCAAGGCCTTCCTGTCGCCAGTGCTGATACAGACAGAAAACAGATCCGTGAGCACTCGCCCAACGCTGATGGAGAGCCCAGGCTTGCGCTCACCAGGCGGCTACCTGTTCACAACCCCTGACCCCTTGCTCTGCTCGCCAGCCCCTGCCCACCTCCCTTCCCCACACCGTGCGCTGCCGTGGCCTTCCCGTCCGAGCGCAGACTGCTTGCTTTTCCGTTCTCTTCCTCTACCCACAGGTACAGGTCATGGCTTACGAGCATGTACTGTGTCTGGTTCTACCGGGCATCCCTTGGGCTTGGCACACTGCACCCAGCAATGCTGGCTCAGACAAGCAAGGTGGGAAAAAATGTTCAGCCGCTAACCTGTACTTCCCAAGTGCTAACATCAAGATGGTCCACACTCAGCAGTTGTAAACTCAAAAGCCGATACATTCTTTGATACTAAAAAAGCTTCTAAGGATATTTAAGAGCCAGTCAAAGGATAAAAACACTATATAACAAATCTACTGTACCCCTGAAACAATACATTATGTTAATAAAAATGGATAAATAAAAATAAAAATAAAATTCACACTGGAAAAAAAATAAAATGTTCACAAAAGGCAAAACAAAAAACAAAAAAAACCTAGAAATCACGGAGTAAAGCAATCTCTAAAAACCAAAATGCTCCCAAAAAATGAAAATATGGTGAATAAAATTCAGCTGAATCTCTAGACTCAACCTCCACTGCCTATGAAAATACTCCACAAGTCCAGATAAACAGACTCATATTGTTTTGGGACTCAATTATTATGAATTCTTTACAGCTTAGCAGTTAAAAACGTGAGTTAGATCTAAATTCAATCCCCACGCTGCAATCTACTCAACATATGCTTTTGGATTTCACATTCCCATCTGTTAAGCTAGAAGTACCCCGCTCACAGGTTTACTCTGAGACGTAAAGGAGTCAAGTGCTTAGCACGTGCCTGACACGTAGTAAGTGCTCAAGGATGCCTGCTGCCCCTATTTGTTTTTTCCACAAATGAAGAGCTATAGAAAGGACCCACGTGGCCTGACGGATACAGCCCCAGTGTACCACAAAAACAGGTCATAAATTCACTGCTTTCCAGAGAACGAAGCTGAACGAATTAGTACCAGTGATATGTGTTACCCACAAAGGTTATGCAACTCCATGTAGACAGCTTTGAAGAGAAACTGTAAAAAGCCTGTCAGTCAGCTACAGTTTAAGCACAATCTTATGTGGGGTTAGAGTGATATAATGATGGACTTCAGAGAGTTTGGCCCAGAGATTTCCCTCAAAGAATACGGTGTAAGCATATGAGCTCTGGGGTCCGACGTACAGCTGTAAAAACTTACTGAGGTTGAAGATGAATGCGGATCCCTGGAGCAAAAGCCATCCATCCTTTCTGTGCCATCTGTAGGGCAAATCTAAAAACCAAAACTAAACGTGTTATTCTTGGTTCTCTAGAAAACACTCAGGATTCTTCACAGAGGGATTAATAAGGTGTAGAAAACCACCACCACCACAACATGGTAATAAGCCCGGCGATGCCCGAGGCAGATATAAACAAACCACACTCACACTTGCCATACGATCCCAAAGGTCCTCATTTCTTGTGTTTCTGTAGCTGTACTTCTGGAGATACTGCACAATACCGCTTTTAAATGCGTCGGCACCGAGATAATCCCTCAGCATATTCAGAATACAAGCTCCCTGAAAAGACAACGTAGGTAATTGTCAGTTTAATCATCATCTAATCTGCCGCCACACTTTTATTTTGGAGGAATTCTTTCAAAATGCAACCGTGGTAACATTTTCAAAGTGTCGTGACTTGTGACACAATTAAAGAAAGTGGGTTTACAGAAAAAGAATTTTTTCAAAGAAGTGGGTAAACCTGGCCCTGTCTAGGCAGGGGATTGAACAGGACTGTTTCTCTTCTTAGTCCCCTAGGGCCATCATTTTCTAAGAGCAACCAAGCCTCCCCACAGGGCCAGTGACCACCACCGGCCATTATCCATAGGTCAGGGCACAGTGGTGCTGAACCAACACTTGGCACCACCTCCTGCCTTCCCTGGGGCCACTCCGGAGCAGCAGTGGGGAAAGTAGCTCCAACAAGAGATGGAAGCAGAGGTACCAGTTAAGGAACAGGGGAGGGCAGGCAGCCCGGAGCAGAGAGGGCCAGAGGAACACAGGCAAAAGGAGCAGGAGAAGACTCGAGACCCTGTACTCCTGTGTGAAGAGTCCTTTCCCCTCCACCCTCACAACTGTAGCTCCCTTTTCACATGCAGAAATATTGACCATATAGGTGTGAGTTTATTTCTGGGCTCACTCATCTCTTCCACTGAGCTAGGCCTCTGTAGGTCTGTTTTTACCTCCCCTGCACTGCTGATGAAAACATCGAAGAAATACTGTTCTGTTTATTACAAATAAATCGGCCAAATAAAATGATAAATGACCTTTTCTGCCTTGTTGAAGACAGAATGGTTGGGAATGGAAAGACAATTGGGAAAGCAGAAGCTTGATCTCATGAAGGAGGACCTAGGACTTTAGCTCTGGCTTGTATTGCTGAGGGAAATACACAGGCCCCCTGTGACCAGTGTGACTGCAATTCTTTCCTTTCCCCTGTCCAGAGAAGCCAGCTAAAGATTTTTATATAAAATCTTCCATTAAATGTTAGCAACCATTTCCGATTCTATTATTAAACACATTGTATAGGACAGTATTCGGCAGTTCAACAATACCAACCATTTCTGAAGGCGCCAAAAGGCAAGCTACAGGAGATAGGAATGTTTGCCTGGTGCAAAGGTGAGGCTCAATCAAGACCCATTTGTTGAATGATAAGTAAGAGGCAGCGTTCTTAAAGGCCCTAAGTTTTCATTTTATGACAGAGTAAATGAAAAAACCAACTCAAAGGTCATCTTCAGGACTACCAATCAAACTGCAAGTTAGGCCTTAAAGAGTGAACTCCAGCCAGCATGGGGCAGCATAGAAGGCATTCAATCTGGGTTGTTCCTTATGAAGGGAAAGCCACCCCACAATCCTACCTATCATCTCTCCACCCAAGTCTTTAGCAGTTTCGTGTCCAAAATGTACCCTTATCATCCATTTTTACCTTTTCATAAGAAACCTCATCAAACATCTCCCGAATCTGAGCAGGATCCTCCACAGCTGTTGAAATAGGGTGTGAAGAATTTAATGCATCTACCTCCATCACATTAAAACACTTGCCGAAGAAATAATCATCCTGTTGAGACAAAGACAACATCACCCACGTGATTTATATTTTAGATAATAAATATGAAAGGACTAATGTTTGGTTTGGGATAGTAGGTTTATACTTCAAATTTCTGGCCCAAACCTATTCCGTATTTATAGGGTTTACAAAATAAAATAGAATTGCTATTGCTAAAGAGCATCCAAGAAAAAATTTTAGGTGAACATTTTAGATTTTGTTCATCTTAAATCCTATCACTTTAGAAGACCATATTCTCTTACAAACAAAACCATGATGCCTGGAGCCAAATAGCATCAAAACAACAAACTAAAGTGTATAGATTGCAACATCTCCAATCATCTTATTTTAAAGCAAAGAAATTTAGATTTTAAACCATGTGGTCAAAAAAAAAAAGGGGTAACAAACTCAAAGTATAATCTGTCTTTTTAGGGCATATTACCTAATAGGATAACATACACACATAATCATTTTTATTAAGGGGTATGTGGAAATGGGAAAATATTTATGATCCATTGTAGTGTAATAGTTACATAGACATTTTAACTATAATAAATTATGTGTACAGAAAGATGAAAATGAGAAGTCAAAATTACAGTAGGGTAAAGGACTGTTTGAGGTTTTTTTGTTTTTACTTAAAGTTTCTTTTTAACTTTATTGCATGTGATTTTCACAAGTTAAATACCTGATTAAAAAAAAAACAAACAAAACACGTAAAGGTTTCAAAGCATTCAGTTTGTGACTCCTGAGTGTAGGCTCATATATAAACAAATGTACAGTTACCTAAAGCAAATGGGATCCTATTTGATTTGACAGGTAGAATCCTATTGAAATAACAGCAATCTGTACTTAATAATCCTTCAGTGAACAACCTGAAGGTTGAGGAAATGATATGCAACAGACAGGCTGTCATTACTTCTATTTCTTTGATACTAAAGGAGGGTAAGATTCAACTTCATTTCCTAACAATCATAGGTTTGGAAATAAGCCTTTGTGATACCTTTAAAGTTCACTACCATTTTGGGAACCTGATTCCTAGCTCAACTATCAAGGAGTTAATATGTCTATGAATTCTATCATTGAGGATCAGTAAGTATTTTCCAGCAACACTGAATAAAACAGATCAGCCTGTTAAAAATAAGTAAATACTTACAACTTTCATTTCAGGATGAGTCACACTGACCGACACAAACTCCATAAACTTGGCAAATCCCTCATTTAACCAAAGATCATTCCACCATTGCATGGTGACGAGGTTCCCAAACCACTAAAAGGAAAACAGTAGATTATTCACACATTTCTAGGGAGACTGGATTATGTACACAGCTATAAACATAAGGCATTCAGGAGGAAAGATTTCACATGTGCGATGCCAGTATATGAGCAACATTTATAGAATACTTTATCAAAGTAAAAAGAAAAAACTTTCCATGTTCATTTTAAAAATGCTACCTAATGCTTTAAAGAACTCTCATTTTTACTTTGCCTTTTTTCCATAGGAAATTATCGATCCAATTCGTATGTCAATATGAAAACTCTCTTCTGCCCCGTAAAAGCAACATAGATGTAGTTTCACAATTTTTAAAAGCCTGATTAGCTTTGTGTACCTGGTGGGCGAGTTCATGCGACACTATCATAGTAACGCCAAGCTTATCTGCTGCCGAAGACTTCTCAATGTCAAACAAGAGACTAGATTCTCTGTATGTGGTCAGTCCCCAGTTTTCCATAGCACCACTCTCAAAGTCCGGAATAGCGGCAAGATCTTGGGAAGGACACACAAATCTGTTTCCAGTCTTTAAATGACACACTGCCCGTACACACTAACTTTCAGAACGGATGGGTGTAGGGATCCTAAGAAAATCCAGGCTGGTTGTGCAGAATCCTATTCTAGGCTGGAAGAACCTTTCACAACTGAGAAAAAGAGGCTCTGTGATTCACTGAATTGCTCTGCTGCTGCGTGACCAAGTCAGATGTAGGCCCCAGGCCTCCAGACTCCCAACCTAGCTGTCTGACAGCAGAGTTTGGGAATTGAATACTCTTAAAAATTTCCTCAATAATCCACTAGACTTAGGATGCCCCAGGCTCCAGTTCACCTAAAATCTCAAACACACGAGGGTCTTAAGAGCCCATTTAAGAAGGAAAATGCAGATTTTCCTTACACTGTATAAATTTGTTAAGAAAAATTTATTGAGCACCCTGTATATTCCTACCAAATATGTGCCAATCATGAAAAAAAGAAATGCACCTTCTGCCCTTTGCTGTCTGCCCACTAATCCAGTTGGGTTTATCTTTAAAGTCAGAAGGTAAAATGATCACCATGACATGCGCCTCAGAACCTAATCAAGATCTGTTTCTGCTCTAATTAGAATTTACTGTATAGATTAGGGGTGAGAAGATCAACCTGATGGTCGACACCTGCCAGAGTTTAAGGACTTGAACGGCTGAGATAACCACGGGAATGCCAATTAGGAGGATATAATCCATAGCTGACATCATTAAATGCCACAATTTGCAAAAACTGTGCAAAATCTTCACCTTGTTTGGGTAAGGGATATGGAATGCTGAAATAATCCTCGTAAAATTCTAGAAGAGTCACTGCGGTATCCAGTGCATAATCTGCCTGATGGATCTTGTCTGGCACAGAGTATACGGAAACCTGAAAAGAAATGAAAGATAGTTAGCTCTTCAAATGCTATTGTGGCTTCTCTCCACAACTGTATGGAAGATGGACATCAAAGGCTTCATTTTCTGCTGTACGGTTGCCAATTAAGAAAAGTAGCAGTTCCATTTCCTGTCTTAGTGCTGTTTCTGATCAACTTCCCTTCTGAAAACTATAACATGCTGGATAACATATACAAAAATGTCTTTTCAAATGTTCTTATGACATAGTGGAAAAGTAAAGAAAACTTAGATGCCAAAAGTGAGGGTGGCACCCTCCATAGACAGCAGAGGACACTAACCTAATACAGATAGATTTGAGTTTTCACAGCATTGAAGGTCTCAGGGGATAGGAGACCAGGTCCAGAGCCTGCCCAAGGTAGAAGCCCAACAGAAGACGCACCAGGCATAAAGCTGGACCCTAAAGGACCACACCCTTCTATAAGGGTAAACTAAAAATAGCCACCCTCTTCCTCAAGGAGACTGCAAGGGAAAAAAATGCCTTAGTCAGGTCTTGGTACTACATGGGGGAGGCCGAGGGAAGTCCTAAGAAAATCAGTAAAAGCTACTCTTCATGCTGGTTAGGAGCTACACTCACACTAACCAGGGCGCTCAAAAATCTGAAGCTAATAGGTTGAATTAAAGTGGTTCATGAGTTCGTAAATGCTCCCAGTCACCTGACAGGAGCAAACAAATTCTCTCTGGAAGAATCCACCTTCAACTCAGGCAGTGTAAATTCAATATACACAAAGGAACTAGACACCATAAGCAAGAACCAGCAGAAATAAACCACATGATCAGACAAAGACTTCAGACAGGACAGTTACTAGAATGTAAAATGTATGTTTAATGTTTTTAAAGAAATAAAAGGCCTAAAAATACTAATATGTAAAAGGAGTTCTGGGCCCCAAGTCCAATGTGTGTGTGTGTGTGGGGGGGTGCAGGTTAACCCCACACCTCTAAGCAGTTCAGCAATACCGCCTGGGTGTCCCACAATTCAACTTGATTCTGACACTACCCAGAGATAGCACCAGATTCCACAACATAAAGGTTAAGTCTTACTAAACTGCCCCCTCCTTCCCCTTCAGATGATATTCACAATTCCAGGTTACCATCCGTGCTTCTGATCAATAGGCTATAGTTTGGAAGTTGCAATGACCACCTCTCTAGGTGTGATTAATTTGCAAGAGCAGCTCACAAAACTGGAGAAATCTTTAACTCACTATAAAAGGACATGACTCAGGAACAGCCAGATGGAAGAGATGTACAGGACAAGGTACAGGAAAAGGCAAAGAGCTGCCATACCGCCTCCAGGCAGGCCACTCTGGCTGAACCTCCACACTTGCACCAACCCAGAAGCTCTCTGAAATGTCCTTTGGGTTTTTATGGAGGCTTCATCATACAGGCATGACCAATAAGGTCATAAGCCCTTGGTAATTGAACTCACTCTCCAGCCCTTCTCCACTCCCTGGAGGTCAAGGGGGCGGGACTGAAAGTTCCAACCCTCCAATCACATGGCTGGTTCTCTGGCAACCAACCCCCATCCTTAGGTTACCTACATGCTTTCCACAAGTCATCTCATTAACCTAACTAGAGACACCTTTCTAGCTGTCATCAGAAAATTCCTAGTATTTTATTTAGGAGCTCCATGCTAGGGACTGGGACAAAGACCATGTATATATATTTCTTATTATAAATCACAATATCACAGTATGGAAGAGACATTATTAAAGAAATCTTTCATAAACGATTCCCCAAAGTGGGCAATTCAATGGGTGAGGGTTTTTGCTGATAGTTTCACTGCGAAATTTAGACTGGTCCCTACATTCAAGTCTCAAGCATCACCTTCAAATCTCCAGGTAAGTAGAAAGATCTCTACAAGACGAAGAACTACTAGGGGAACAAAAGATTATTCATCAGAGAAGTCCTACCTATTCAGGCCTCAGTGAAAGCCAGCACAAATAAATGAGGTATCTTCAAATTAAAGCCCTCCCCCCAAAAAAAAATTGTTTGCATTTAGAGCCCAGCATACAGTTGAATAGGTTGTTCACTATACTTTGGTACCCAGAAAAGGGGCAAGCAGTCCTGGAAACAAGATATTCTCTCTAGTATTCCAGTATTTACTGTCACAACTGCTCTCCCCAGAGCGATGTAATACTCTAAGCCAACTGCTCTATTTTACTTCCTTCTCAAGACTAGAGATCCTCTGTTCAGATAGTCAAATCACACTTACTTCCAAACTATAGAAAGTGATAGCCAGAAACAATTTCAGAAACCCCTGCAGGATCTAGTCCAATGTACACATTTTGCAGAAGTATAAACTAAGTTCCACAGGGAGCAGGGCCAAGGACAGAAAACCAGCTAATGGTGGAGCCAGAACCATGAACGAGGCCAGGCCAAGCCTCTCCATGTTTTTGTTATTAGAACCTCATTGTAAATACCAGCATCTGTGACAAGAGGATGCCAACCACCCCGGTTTTTGCCCAAGACTCAGGGGTGTGCCCAAAATGTGGGACTTCCAATATTAAAGCCAGGACAGTCTCAGGCAGATGAGAACAAGTTGGTCACCCTATGTGACAATCTGACAATCCCAGGGTTCACCTTGACTCCGCTCTTGGTCATCTTGCTAATAGACTTAAAATCTGAAATAATGAAAGCCACCAGGTAGGTGCTCATCTTCACAGTGACATCAAAATGGTCTTCTATGAGTCCTTCAGCAACAGTCACAGATTTAACCTAAAATCAGAATAACTGAAATCATCAAACAAATCATCAATCACCCAATACATTGAAAATACTTGATAAAGAGAAATTTCCTAACCACCAGACATAATATTCAAAGTATACAGCACATTTGTATAATTATCTTAAAATTTCTCTTTCCAGTATCTGATTGTAATTTCGATATTAAGGCCATTCTACTCAATTTTTTTTAAGGAGATACAATTCACATACCATATAATTCACCATTTTAAAGTATAGCGTTCAGTGGTTTTTTTATTATATTCACAGAGTTGTGCAACTATCATCACTAAATTTCTTTTCAATAACCCAGATGGTTGCAAACTGGCCCATATTTGGTACCTGAGGATTGATAATATGAATGGGACAAAGCAAAACTGAGATTGTTGGTTTTGCCAAGATGTAGACCACCTGACCTTAAATACAGGTATGAGAATTATCTGCAAAACACTGTCTAATTTGTTTTCTACAATGAGCAAACATGTAACCGTGCACAACTTAAAAAGAGCTTCTGTTTTCCTACAAACTTGAAAGTAACACGGGCCTGACATGGCCAAGCTTCCTCCAAACTCTTGATTTGCTTCATTGGAATCTGCTTTAGGTGCAGTCAGGGAGCCACCCTGCAGTGGGGGGGGTGGTGGAGGGACAGTCTAAGAGGTCTGCTCCCCAAAAGGAAAGTCTAATATGTCAGGCAACACCAAGCAGTGGGGCAGGGCCCTGGAGACGGAGAACGAGAGAAGAACTAGCCTGGTGAACACACGCATTTTCCCTGGAATCTTATTTCCACCTCTATTTCTGTGCCCTCATCCTTCTTTGTAATACCCCCCCACCAGTTCTGGTGTCTGCTGGTCACTCTGTGCTCCCGCCTCTGATAGCCGACCTAGGTTTACTCTTGAAAAACTCCAACTTACCTTTTCTTTTTAAATGCCTTCTACCCGCCCCTAACCAAAACTTTTATTCCTGAAGTTGCGCTATTTACTAGGAAAGTAAGCTAATTAATTCAACTTTAAGTGGGATGAAATCCTGCCCACTGCCCATACACTTCAATGTTCTGATGGGAGTATTTGCTTTTCCAGCCACCAAAATCCTTGGAGACTCCATTGTCCTTCCCCTGAACTCTGGGGCCACAGCCTAACTTCAGGCTAGTCCTGTAAGATTTCTGCCAATGGGCGGGCTTTCCTGTCCAAGAGGCCAGATCACATTAGAGATTTTCCTTTCCTTAACAAATGGGTCCTGGATAGCCATGGATTTAGGCTCCAGCATCTCTGTGAAGCCTTGGGAGCTCCCAGCCTTCACCCTGCAAACCTACGAGTTTCTCTACCAGTCCTTTTTGGTCATCAGTCTCCCCCTTAATTCATCTGCCCCTGTTCTTTATTCTCCCAAAGCTGTGATTGATACTCTAATGAGAGAACTCACTCACAAACCCGGGAGCAATGGCATAACATTGGGGGATGGAACGATAATTGGAACAAGCTTGTTCTCTATCTCAAATTTCATATTCCTGTTTTTTGTTTGTTTTTTTTTCCATCTACAAATGTGAGTGGAATAGACAGAAGTTCTTAGTTGGTAGAGATCTGCTGAAGAGCACTTTTCACAGAGCATGGCCCTCTGAGGGGGGCCTGTCAGAATCCTGTTTGTGGAAAGGATTTTTAAGGTATTCAGTGCTGGGGGCGGGGGGCTGGTGGTCTACAGAGTGTTAAGCGTTGCAAGGTACTATCCTAGAGGCTGGTTGTGGCTCTCAGAGTGCCACGCTAAGATTTGGCCTCCCTGGCCAGCACAGGGTTGAGCGGGGACACCCTTTAAGACTCTAGGCAACATCTGTTCCATGTGAGTCTCATCACAGTGAGCTCTGTGGACAAAGGCTATGTGTGCTTCAGGAGTTGATCCACATCTGTTGCAGGCTGATAGCTCAGTGGACGAGTATTTCTAAGCTGCCAGAATCATTGGGCAGTGGCACGTACTGAGTAGTTTTATTCATTTGGCACAGCCATTTTTCCCACCACTTTTGGGAAAATCAGATGGAACGGCTGTCCACATTTGCTTTGGAATTGGAGGATGATGGTCTCTTCAAAGGGAACTGAGCTATCTATCACTACTTACCTTTGGTACCATAATATTCTAAAAAGATTACTTTTTTTCTGTCAGCCCAATTTCATGGAAATAGTCATAAATCATAGTTATTAGTATATCCTATATAGAAATTAGAGAAAATAACTATATACTAGAAATATACCCTTATGTGACAAAGTGTGCCCTTGAAAAGATCATATGAGAAAAGGAAGGGGAAAGTGCTTTGTGAAGGGCACTCTCATTTAAACCGGACCGGAGTCCCTACAGTGTCCCTCCTGTCAGTACCAGGGACCTGGAATGCCACTTGGACTAAAATCCTACTTGTTTTTAGGGCTAATTTTTTCTCTGACTACAGATAAATTATTGCTTGAAACAAAAGTACGGGTTGGAAATGAAGAAAGAAAAGTTAGCTGTCAGGCAATAAAACAAATAACACTAGTGACCTGAATATTAGTTGTCACTGGGGTAACGCAAGTGACAGCATATCAATGGATTTTTCCTGTGAGTAGATCCACAGGAGTTCAGACTCACCAGTGGCATATTGGAGATGGCGAGGTGTCTTGGCTCCCGTCTGATCTTGACTGAAAAATTCGCTTTGAAGGCAGGTTCATCAAAGCAGGGAAAGGCCATTCTGGCTGCAGTGGGTTCAAAGTGTGTTGATGCAAGTACTCTAAAATTATGGTGAGTGAAATAAAAATACAACATAAAGCACCAGGGACTCTAAAAGAGATGTGTGTTTGGTTTTTAATTCCTAGAGATACCATAAGATTATGGATTTCACTACCAAAAAGAAATCTTTCATAGAACAGAAGTTATCATAAACTAAGTAAAAAGACAAGTAAAAAACTGGGAAAATGGTTTGAACGCTATGTGACAAAGGGTTAACAGCCTTGACAGATAATGAACGCTTATAAATGAGTAAGACTACAACCAGCAACCAGGGGGAATAGCAGGTACGGCCATAAACAGGCAATTCACAGAAGAAGAACCTACAAATCGTAAATAAACCTATCAAAACCTGCTCAACTTCCTCAATAATCAATGAAATGTAAGTCAAAGGGACATATCTGTTGGCTTTTTGGCTTTAAAAAGACTTCCCAGATACAGTGTTAGCTCCAGATGAGGAATATGGCAAGGGATATCAGAAGACTGTAGACCCTTTAACTTAGCAATTTTATGTAGGCATTTATTCTAAGGAAATGATTTACAAAGATATTGCTATTGCTGAAAAGGTGGAAACAACCTAATCTCCACTGATGGGGTATTAGTTAAACCATTGCACGTACATTATAATAAACTCATTAAAATAATGTATAGTGATAGCCATCTATATGAAACATTTCCTCAACATATTAAAATAAGATCCCATATAGGATGGAAAATATAACATAGCTCCATTTATATAATGTTTATCCATAACCAGAGAGAAGTCTGGAAGGATGCTCCCCGAAATAAAAGTAATAGTTATATTTAGGGGCTGTGATAGGGGACAAAATTTACTTTTTTGAAAAAATTTTTTTAACCTCAAAAGAACAATATGGACTCAGAAAAATAAATGAGTATAATCTACTAGCAAATAAAATTTGATTTTAAAATTCAGCATTGGGGTGCCTGGGTGGCTCAGTGGGTTAAACGTCTGCCTTCGGCTCAGGTCATGACCCCGGAGTCCTGGGATCGAGCCCTATGCCGGGCTCCCTGCTTAGTGGGGAGTCTGCTTCTCCCTCTCTGTCTGCCCCTCCCCCTGCTCCATTTCTCTCTCGCTCACTCTCTCTCTAATAAATTTAAAAAATAATAAATAAAATTCAGTATCAATTAACCCAAAATAGTTTGCCTCCTTAAAAAACAGAACAAAAGCAAGGCAGAGGAGGATCTAAGGAAAAAAAAAATGTTTCTTCTAATAGGCTGTATGTATGGGATAAATTGCATCCTCCAAAAATATGTGGAAGTCTTAATCCCTCGTACCTGGAATTATGACTTTATTTGGAAATAGGGTCTTATGTAATCAAATTAAGATGAGGCCATGAAGTTGGGCCCTAGTCTAAAAAGACTAGTGTCCTTATAAGGAGGGAAATTTGGAGAATGGCCATGTGATAACAGAGGTAGAGTCTAAACTGATGTTGGTGCAAGCCAAGGAATGCCAACAATCGATGGCCACCACAAACTAGAAAGAGGGAAGGAAGGATTCTTCGCAGAGATTTAGAGAGAGCCTAGCCCTACTAATACCTTGATTTTGGACTGCTAGCCTCCATAACTGTGAGAGCATAAATTTCTGTTGTTTCAAGCCACCCAGTTTCTGGTACTTCGTTATAGCAGCTCTAGGAAACTAATACTAGGCTAAGAGAATTAAAAATGTTTATTATATACCAGAAATCTAATTAAATGAACAAACAGGTACTTTGACAGAACTGAAGGAAAGAAAACTGGTTAAGACAGAATGAAAAAAATGAGATCCGAAAAACAAGGAAAAGAATCTATTGGCTATTTTTAGCTATATAAATGAAACACACAATCAAAACATTCAACAACCAGGGGAGATTGAAGAAATAATCCATATGAAATAACAAATTTAGTATGGGCAGCACTTGAAGTTTTCAAAAAAAAAAAATAGAAAAAAGTACCTCACTTCCCCTTCCTTGGTCCTGTAAGTGCTTTTATAAAATCCATTTAAATGCTCAGAAAGACGGCCAGCGTAGTCAATGACAACTGTGTATGGGATCCCAACAGCCAGGGGCTCGGGAGCCAGAAGTGCGATTTGTTCATGAGGCGGGTACTCCAGGACTCTCAAGGGTTCTGCAGAGAGCCTCTCTCCGACTCTCGTCTTGAGCGTGGCCTTAGATATTTGCAGGAGGTGACTGTGCAGGATGATGGTACTAGTAGGCTGGCTGGCTGTGATTTCTATCTCCGTGGTTCCCTCAAAAGTCAGAGTCGTGAGATTTACATGGATCAGGAGATCATAATAAACTGGGATGATGTGCTCAGGAAGTCGCATTTTCTCCCAGGGGAACGGAGTCCCATTACCAGCTTTTGGAGACATCATGTCACTGCTCTGACACGACGAAGGAGTTGACACAGTTAAGAGAATCAGCAATGAGGACGGTAGAAACAGCATGGTTGCCAGTGGCCATCTGATGGACAGAGATATCATCTTCTTGCTCAAACTACCTAGTGGCAAAATGTATAAAAGCCCCCCCCAAAAAAAAACTGAGTCACTAAAATATTATCAAGACAGCATAATTTCACAATGTATCTACCCAGCATTAACCATTATAGATACAAACTTTCAAAAGTTCTAGGTCTTTACCCTGTTATTGATTCACAGAAGAAAGAGGTTACTGGTTAGCAACAATCTTCACACCTATTAAAAAATATCATTTGGCTCTCCAAGTTTAAATGCACTCTATTTGTCAGGGTTCTTGGTTGAAAGCAATAGAACAAGTTCACTAAATAGTTCATAAAAATGGTCAGAGTTGTCAGGACATTTGGGAAGCCAGCCACATGAAACAGGCCAAGACGGATAGCCAAAACCACCTTGGAGAAATTGACCAGGTGACCTCTCCCCACCCACACTGCGCCTTGGAGGAAGCTGCCCTACTGCCTAGAGATCAGGTGCTGGACACTGCCTCGGCCACTGTCAATATGAGGTCTCTACGGGCCCTGCCACTTGGCAGGACTTCTTTCAGCCGAGGTAAGGTGTTCACGCTACCAGTCAGGGAGGTTGGAAAAGCAAGAATCTGGACTTCACAGCTTCTGCAGTAGAGGACAGGTCTGGCTCCCCACCAAGCTTATAAAGTAGAGAATTCCTAACCTAGGAAGGAGACACAGAGGCTGAGTAGCAAGGGGTGGGGGGAGGCAAGTATCCATTAACAGTAACCCTTAATAACAGCAGTGTCTTTGTCAAATGTCATGCCAAAAGTTCATCTAATACGTGCTTAGCCAGGAATGACTTAAAGGGTTTATGGTGATTTTCACACCAATCGTTTGTGACAAACATAACAGTCTCCTGGATTCTCTCTTACAGTCATCCAAAAATACATGTTGAATGCCTGCCACATACAAGGCGGCGTGCTGAGTACTGTGTGGGATATAATAACACACAAGACACAAATCCCACAGTCAAGGACTTCAAAATCTGGAAAGGCAGAAAACATTCATATACGAATGACAGAATGCACCAGAGAAAGTATGGAGCATTTTAAGAATAATAATAACAGCAAGTGCTGGGGGAGAAGGGAGAGAGTGACATCTGCTGCACAGCGACTCTGGGGTGCCTTCATGCAAGACCAGCACTGGAGCATGGTTTGGAAGGATGGGTTGGATTTGGAAATGAAGGGAGGGCATTAAAGACACTGCAGGTGGAGCAAACCAGGGCAGGAGTTAAAGCACGAAGGGAGAAAGCTGAGGGCTGGCTGGGCCATCAATGTGGACAGGGCAATCAATCTGGATGGAGAGTGATTATTCACAAGGCAAGGAAGGGAGCGACTCCAAGATTATGCTCAAAGTGTGTTGGGAGTCATGCTGCAGACTATATTTGGCACTTTATTTTAAAGGTCTTAGGACACAAAAGGAATGTGAATTATAAGACAGTTGGCAACCATGGCTGAGAACTCAGCACATTTCTCTCTGTTAGACAAAGACATCTCTCTAAAAGGTGTTTGCCAGGACTCATCTAACAGATGAGTCTAACAGACTCATCTGTTAGATGAGTCCAGGTAATTGGTCCTAATTCCCTCAAACTCCTTGGGCTCCGAACACAGACATCAAATGAGAAAAGTAGTAATGCTACAGTCTGGTACATGGGATTCTACCTCTACGTCAGCACTTAACTCTAACATCACCAAGGCAGCTTTTAAAATGACTGAGGCCTGGGTCCCTATCTAGAACAATTAAACTGAAATCTATGGTGATGAGGTCGGGGCACCAGAATTTTTAAAAATCTTCCCAGAGATTCTATTGGAGAGCCAATCTGAGAACCTTCTAGATAATCCTTGCCAAACTCCGGTCTTAGCCCTCGAACGCTATGTGGAAGAATACCCCTTCAAGGTAATAACCGATGTGCTCTCCCTGACCCCTCACTCTCCATCCTGCTCCCCTGATAGAAGGCCCCCCATCCCCCTTCCCCACAGAGCAGACCTGCAGGCAAACAGAAAGGATACCAACGCAGTAGAGACAGTCAAGCACAGAGGCACCATAATCTCAGTTCAAAAGGTATCACCCAGATGAAAGGGAAGAGAGAATCAAAGGTTCAACAGAGAGAACAGGGTTTTTTTGTTTATGTGTTTCTTGTTTTGTATGTGTGTGTAGGAACCAACTAGAGGATGCTTCTAGCTATGGAGAACTGAAGCAATTTGAGGGAGAAGAATAAAGTTTAAACACCAGAATAATAAAGGGTTCCCACTTTAACTTCCTCAGGCAGAATTCTAGTGCAGGGGCAAAACGATGGATTTCCCTTGACGCTGGGACATGAGAAATAAAGGGAACTTGAGTGATGCTTCCATTTTGAATTTCTGACGGCAGTGGCTTTGTGGGTGCAGCCCATGCTCCAAGAAGGTAGGGAGTGCAATGAGGGTGGCAGGTTCAGGCATGGGAGATGCCCCGAAGTCCCCAAGTGTTCCCCAAAGTCCAGGAGGAGGAAATCTAAAAATTCCAACTGGTTCTGAGCTGCCAGCCAGGCCTACAGGCTGCTAAAGGAGTTGGCAGTGGGACCCACACCCAAGGCTTTGCAAGGTTGAGTCCATGAGGAGACAGAGTCAAAGAGAACCATGGCTGTGTCTCAAAAGAGGATATAATGCCAGGAAACCACAATGGAACATGTAAGGTAGACAGCATACATGTCAGAATACAGATATACATATTTATAACTATAGCTATATTAACAATAATACATATTACACTTACAGTCAGAAAAGAAAACCTGGCAAAGTTCTTGCTCTTCCACCGACTGTGATCTTGGACAGGTTACATTTTCTTCTCTTTTTTTTTTTTGATATTTTATTTATTTATTTGACAGAGAGAGAGAGAAAGAGAGCAAGCACAAGCAGGGGGAGCGGCAGGCAGAGGGAGAGGGGGAGGGAGAAGCAGGCTCCCCACTGAGCAGGGAGTCCGATGTGGGGCTTGATCCCAGGACCCTGGGATCATGAACTAAGCCAAAGGCAGATGCTTAACCGACTGAGTCACCCAGGCGCCCCATTTTCTTCATGTGTAATTTGAGAAAATAATACCTCTCTCACAGTATGTTGTAAAGACTAAGTTAAAATATTCTCAATCATTCATTCCCCAAATATTTACTGAGGACCTATTACGTGCCAGGGATTTTGCTGGACACTAGCAATGTAAGACAGCACAGATCCTTGAACTCAAACCGCTTATGGGGCTCAGGGTAGGGAGGAATTTTTAACCGTGATTAGAGCTATGAAAGAAAAACACACACCTCCTGAAAGAGAGTAACGGGGCAGAGTGATTTACATCGGGGGCTCACTGAGGACATTTAAGCTGATTTCAAGGACAAATTCAAATTAGCTAAGAAAAGAAGGAGAAGGAGAGTTTTCCAGACAGAGGGAACAACAAGCTTGTTCCTAGGTACAGTAGGCGAGTCCTGGTTATGAAGGCCAGGGAACCCGAGGCACATCATGCAGCAGAAAGATGCACCTGGAGAGGCGGATGCGACCAGACCACCACTCAGCCTGTAAGCTTGTTAAGGATTTTGGCTCCCAGCCTAAGTGCAATGAGAAGCCACTGGGTGTTGAGCTGGGAGGTCTTAGGATCCAGTTCACACTTTAAGAAGCTACATGGATCAAGAAAGGAGCAGGAGGAATGGCCAAGAAAACAGTTAGAAACTAGTCTAGACAAAGTTAAGCTGGTGGCTTGCACTCTGGCGGTGTCACCAGAGAAAACGCAAGGGAGTGGGGGAGGGGGAGACAGAGATGGATGCACTCGACATCTACATCTGGGCTGGACTGGAAGTGGGGGCGGTGACTGAAAGAACGCATCGGAATGGCTGCCAGGTTTCTAAAATGAGCATCTGGGTAGTCCTAGGTGCCATTGACTGAGAAGAAGACGAGAGATGGGAGAGTTTTAAAAGAGAGGACAGGGAATTAAGGATTCATTTTTTTTAAATATTTGTGCTATCTCTGAGATATCCAAGGAAAACTACCAGCAGACAGATGAATACACATGTTTAGAGCACAGAGATAAAGGCTTTCAAGGACTTTCCTGTCCTTTACTGCATTTCTTTACAGTTTTAAAAAGTATCTGCCTTTGGCATCTGATTTTACTAAATAAAGCATCTTTCCCAGTCAAGGTGGTGGTAACAGAGTACCTAACTTCACTGCCAGGAAGAGTTCAAAGTTACTTTAGGAAACTTATTTAGTCGTCTTTAGTGATTATGACTTTTCCCACTCACAAAGAAGGCAGGGGCAACTGATCCTGGGTTAGCTCACCCTTCCCTTTATTGGAACACTGCTCAATGTGAAATCTATCATCAAGAGGTAACAGACTTCCTTCCAAAATATTCTGAATGATGAAATTAACAAGCACTGTAGTAGGTTGTTACTGCTGGTAAACAAACAAATAAATGTTGAATTAACTTGCATTTTTTTTTAACCAATTAGAATTTTTTCATTTAGGTCCACCTGAAAATGGGCTATGGTATCAGTACAAGTCCAAATCCTTGGGAAAAGAAAAGCACTGGCCAATTTTTTAAAGGTTTTTGTTCTTGTTTCTAATTGCTGACCACATCCTGAGTTGAGAGCAAATGCTCTGGGCATTTACCAGAAAACTGAGCATTTCTTTCAGAACCTGGCCTACACACACAAAAAAAAAACCTCCAGGAAAACGGTAAGGAAGTGTCTGCTCCTTTCCTTCCCTGAAATTAACTTGCAGGCCCACCTGGCAAGTAAGGCACCCAGACAGGAAACTTTAATTTGCTCACATAGGAGAACTTTACCTGAATAAAACTCTGGCTTGGAGCCAGAGTGAAGGGAAGACAATTGCTGGGAATAAGTACAGGAGAAGCAAGGAAAGAACTGATCTTGAGGACATGTATGGACTCCGATCCCTCAACACGCCCAACCCACTAGTTAATGCAAAGCCACGTTTGTTTCTCTGGCAACTATCCCCAAGGTACCCTTCGCAGCCGAACCCGCCGTCCTCCCCGCCCTTCCGTTTGGCGCCACTCGGGAGGCTGGGGGACCCGGAGGCTGGCAGGAACCCAGCTGCGAGGCGTAGCACGGAGGGGGAGGCTCGCGCCTGCCCGCGAGTGGCGCGGCCGAGAGAACGCGCGGAACAGGCGTACTGGCCCTGCGCCCCCTGCGTTCTCGCGCCCGAGAAGGACCCGAGCAAGGCTGGGCCGGCCGCCAAACCTGCCGCCCTCCGTGAGGACTCCGGCCCAGGTCCCACGACTCTCCCCGGCTCGGCGTCCCGGCGCCTCACTCTCCTCCGCCGCGCGCCCGGGTTTTCGGGCCTCCCCGGCGGGCACCAGGAGGTTGCCGGGACCGAGCCCTTCTCCAGCCTCCCCGAGAGCTGCGCTGGGGACGGGCACGTTGTACCTGGGGGTCCGCGACGGAATCGGCTCACCCTCGCGCCGCTGCCGCCGGCCTCCCTTACCCCGGAACAGAAAGTGAAAGTGGAGCCCGGGCAGAGGCAGGCAGGCAGGCGCGAGGTGCGCGTCGGCCGGGGCCCTTCTGACCGGCGCGGGAGAACCCCCGGCGGAGGCGGGAGCCGGGGAAGGAGAAACCCGGCAGTGGGGCCGCGCGAAGGAGACCGCGGGACCCCCGACGGAAATTCGCAGATGCGCAAGGGAAACAGCGGAGTTGCAATACAGGGTGGGGATCAGGTGGGAAGCAGCACTCCTTTCTGAACGCAGATCGTTCTCTCTGAGTGTCTTTGGAGGTTATTTTTTTCCAACGGTTAGCCATCGGCCCAGCGGGGCGTTGAAAACATTAAAAACGGGCGTGTGTTCCGGAAAGTGACCGAGGCTGGACTCCAGCCCGCGGCTCCACCAACTCTGGACGGGCTCCACGCCGGTTGGACTCAAGCGGTGTCCATCATCTCGTCTCTGCAAATGGGCTGGGAGCTCTTGGCCCGCCTCCGAAAGAAACAAGAACCTTGGAAGGACTCCTTGTGCAGAATGTTGAATCCTCTGGGCTTTTAGTGGAGTGGGGGTTACTCTAGGAGATGCCTCGGAGGACGAAGGGGATGTAGATAGCCCCCCCACCCCTGGAACTTCCCGCCACCACATGGGGGCGCTTGGGCCCCAAAGATTTGCTGCTCCCCACAGTAAAACGTTCCCTCTGCTTTTCCAAATCAGATGACCATTTATTCGATACCCTTAGAACATCAAGACTGGATGAAATGTCCAAAAAAGCCCATCTTTAAACAATTGAGGGTAAATGAGGTAACAAGACAAGAAAACACAAGCTTTCATACTCATTAAATGCTACAAGTTGGTGAATGGACCAACCCCTCTGGGAACTTTTTCTTGCTTTACTCAGGCTGTCTTCTCTCATTTCTTTCCTGGCCTCCTTCCCTTTGAGAGCTTGGGGTTCCAAGTCCCTGGAACAGTATTTCTTAACTTCTGTTTCTCAATTTTATGTCCGTTTTGAAAAATAACGAAATATATTTTGTTCTGCATAGTCTCTCCAGTCAAGGATATTTTGTAATATAAAATTAACAATCTGTCCCCAGCCCCCAAACAGGGTGAGATCAAGGCAAGTTTTCTTTCTTTACAATTCAACAAGAAATGGGCTTTGGGGTTAGGTGATTTTTTCATTTGCAGTTGTGGCAGGGGAGTCAGTGGATAGCTATAGCCTCCAAGGCCTCCAGATGTCAGTGAGTGAGCCAGGTTGCTCGGGTGAGAACTTCTTACCCAGTAAGTTCATGCATGCTCTGTGGATCTGGAGAGGCAAATGGAAGATCTCCGACACAGGCATATTGAATAATAGCAGGTGTTCCCTAAGAATCCAACAAACCCCTTATCAGTGACTGTGATCACTTTCCAATTCACCTGTTCACTAAAAGCAACAATAAAGCCAACCTCATTTTGTGTTTAGTATGCATATAATCAAAAAGATGGAAAAGAAGAATGAAACAGCCAAAATGTCCAGTGATCTTTTAAAGACTAATTTCTGTGTTGTATCAGTGAGGGTTCAATCACAGAGAATAGAATCCATTCAAGCTATTTAATTAAAGAAGGATTTATTGCCGGCTTTCACGTGACTTACATAATCACTGGGAACATTTAAAACACACACACTAGGGGGAGCTTCCAAGAACAAATTCCAAAGCCATAAGGTAGAACTTGGCCACCACTGAAACTAGTTCTTTTGCTACAACCCAGAAGCCATCTGCTAAACTGGGCAGCTGCTAGCACAGGTTCTGGCTTTGGAACCATGTCATGATGTTAAAGTCTGTCCAGCAAAATGAGTATCTCAAGCCGGGCCTCTCTCCCCACTTAAAACTCAGTTTCAAATTCAGCTGTCCTACCAGTGGTTCTGTTCGGTAGAGCCTGATGTGTACCCAGAACCTAGGTGCAAGGAGATCTGGGAAAAGAAGTATTTGCTTTCCAGACTCTGCAGTGGAGTGAGGAATTCTGAAACGACATTGGAAGACGTACCAAGTAAGCCAATCACAATATTCACCATGAATATTAACCTGTATTGAAACTGAACAAATAGGGGTACCTGGGTGGCTCAGTCGGTTAAGCGTCTGCCTTTGGCTCAGGTCATGTTGGGATCGAGCCCCACGTTGGGCTCCCTGCTCAGGGGTGAGCCTGCTTCTCTGTCTGCCTCTGCTGCTCCCCCTGCTTGTTCTCTCTCTGTCAAATAAATAAATAAAATATTTAAAAAAGAAACTGAACAAATAAAACAATTATAAGGAGATATCAAGTAATTTTGAATGTCTTTATGGACAAAAAATAATTAGAAAATTGATTGTAAGTCTAATGAGAGGCATGGGGCACTTGGGAGAATGATGAATGTTTACCTCTGTGACATAAACACATTGCCAAGCATCGAGTTATGATTTATTATCTTTGAATGTCTCTAGGGACTTTTCTCCCCGCTTTTGTCTGTTCAGCATGTGTTCTTCCCCTCCTGGTAAAAGCACAGTCACATGACTCAATCTCAGTCTAGGACGAACATAACAACCCCAGTCTCTGGCCACAGTGATTGGCCCAAGTGACATAGGCTGGCTGGGTCTGAGAACCCGGACGGGGTCCCGCAGGACCCACAAAGACGGTCCTTGGCTTCATGTAGGATAGAAATAAAACAGAAGCCAAGAGGAAGTGAGAGCAGAATTTACTGAAGATGTAGAGAGACTGGAGATACAGACAGAACATCTGGGAAACTGGGAAAGGAGAGTGAGTCTTGACTTTGCTTGGGTCTTGGGGTTTTATTGAGAATTGCGGTCTGGTGTACATGTCCTCTCAGGCATCTAGGAATTGGTCAAAACAAGGACGAGTGCTCAGGTGTCCTCCATAAGTCACTTAGGCCCTGGAGCCCTGCAGGGGTCTTGGCCTCAAGGTGTCTGGAAAACATACAGGATGACCTCAACTGGTCACTCCTCAGATGTTATCTATTGTGCTGGAAGAGTCCAAAAAAAAAAAAAAATAACTCCTCGGCCTGTACAAGGAGGACCTACATTCACTGTACTATAAGTCATGTGTAAGGTGGGGGTGCAGGTGCTAGCAAGAAAAGAAGCAGGAAAAGGAGAAAGAAAAAAAAAAGCAGTTCTTCGTGAAGTCCCTTCAGTTTCCCTATCTCACAAGGATGGGCACATGACAAAAGCCGGATCAGTCAGAGGCCTTGCCCAGCATTATTCTGGCTGATGCTGGCAGGGAAGCCCCCCCTTTTTTTCCTTTGTGGTCCCAGTGCTGGAAGAATATGGCCTTAGAGTTAACGGCCAAATTCTCACCGTGGCACAATGCCTAAGACAATGAACCCTGCACCAAAGAGGACAAAAAGAAAGAAGAGGCAGAGTTTGAGAGATCCCTTTCTGTGCGCATTTTCTGATCTCAGCCTCATGGCTGAAGCTGCCTCCTTCCTGAGGCTAGCTCTTCAGGCCTGTGGGCCATCCTGCATCCTCTCAATAAACCAGCTCTTTTGGATTAAGACTGATTGAATTGGCTATCAGCCACATGCAATTTTAAGAGAGGTAACAAATCACAGTCTCATAACCCACTAGCTCCACTAGTCACTTAACGGAAGGTAGTGTCCTTGGTGTGCCACGGGAAACAGGAGTGTTGGTTTTTTTTTTTTCCTTCACTTCCCATACCTTGTTTAAAGTTGACTGACCGAAATTCCGGTGAAGCCTAAACCTGAACTACATTTCACATCAACCAACTTCATTTAAGTAAGTTGGATGTCGCTCAATTTCAGATAAGGAGCCCCTAAGAACAACTCCATCTTTTGACAGACTCATTGATAAAGCCGCATAATCACCACATCTTCACTCTACAGTTGCCCGCTGTGTAGTCTGCAGAACCCCAGAAATTTCACTGGCGATGGGGAGTGGCCAAAGGAAAGGGACTGTGACACCAGGAAGGGAGGAGAGCCTATGGCCTCATGGGTCAGGCTTTGTAAGTGTGGCGCGCGTGTGCGTGTGCGTGTGCGTGAGTGAGACAGAGAGGGAAAAGGGGGAATCAGAGACTTTTCCTACCACTTGTTTAACACTCAGGTGTGTTTCTTTTACTTGCCTTTCAATGTCCTCAAAGCTCATTTCTACCGTAAGTTTGAATGGCAAAAAACCTGCCCCAGACTCTGTCTGTTCAGACACTGCAAGACCAGATCAGCTCAGCATTTAGAAATATGGCATACGAAATAATCACTCTCAAAGATGGCTTAAATCAGGGATGAGTTCTTTCTAAACACTCTGTGCATTCAGCACAGTATTGTCGTATTTTGTGAATGATATCGCTGTCTTCCAGGACATCATCAAAAAAAATAAGCATATAATAGACTTTCATCAGCCGTGGATTTAATATTCACTGTTTTGACTCTTTGGGAGGGGGGGACTCGATATCTAGAACTTGAGTAGTTGGTAATTTCCCTGAGGCATGGATTAGAATTATAATGAGCTGATGTGAGAGGAAGAGCCACTTGACTCTTGAGTGGACCTGCCCAACCACGCAAAATCCACACCGCAGTCCAATCCTGTTGTTCTGTTCATCATCATAGGCACGGTCAATTTCTGAAGTGGTAAAAATCTAAAAAGAAAAAAGACTGAAGCTGCATTTCTAAAATTTCATGAAGGAGTTAAAGCAGTCACAAAGTTTTAAAACTCACTTTGCTGCATTTTGCAGGAGAAATCATGTACTCAAATGTATTTAAAATTACAGTCCTCCCAAAGCCTTTCAAAAGTCTGCTGTATAGATTTCTCTGTTGGCAGATCTAGAAGAAAAGCAGGCCTGGGCATTCGGTCCCTTGGACCCAGCTGAAACACGAGGTGAAGAAAGGGGCAGAAGCCTAAACCTGAAGGATTCCTTATCTATGGCCAGGTACTGGCAGTCATGTCCTAAGCCTA